GACGGTTGAAGATGGGGTAATAATAAAGAAAGTAAAAAAAAAAGTTAAAAATGACGTGGATAAATGATGTCGAGTTGGCGATGATGTGGCGCCCGCGTGGCATCCACCTCAGCGTCACGGAGGGCTTACTGACGCCGTCTGTTTTTCCGTTTATGTTAGTAACGGAATTGGCTAAATTTGCCAGTCAAGTTTTCAAAAGTGGCTATACGAGTGTATTTTTCAAAAACTGGCTATATTTGTCACAACGCGAATAGATTTGGCTATGAAAGTGTATTTTGCCAAAAGGTTATTTTACTTTCTCAGTACCTGATTCTTTTTCCGTTTTCATATCTACACGATGTGTGCTTCTTTTAGTCACCAGATTATAAACAAGGGATGATTCAATGGTGATGATAACTAAGGACCACGGAAGAATTGATGAAGAAGAAATCAATTAACAGTCGTATCACGCCCCAGAAGATTTCCATGGTGCAGTACTGTCCCTCATCTTCTGTTAGGAAGCTCAAGAAAATCAATCAGGCATAATATATAATACATACTCCACCGTTCATGGAATGAGATAAATAAATGTGAAAATATTTTGCTGGTTGATGCTTCACATATTATCTTTCTCAGTATGCTGTTGTAACTGTAACCACCCTTTTTTGTCACTAATTAAGTAATTATAATGGTGGCGGTTATGGCAAACCGCGGAGTTAAAAGAGTTCAGCCAATAATAATTAAATAGTGGAAATAAATCGCACAAGATGACGGACATTAAATAGTCTTCCACCACTAGGAAAAGAGCATTAGCGACTGAAATATCCATCCCGTGGCCAATGCTGTGACAAATTGCTCTGCTTCTTTCAGTTCTATGATTCACATTCAAAATTTACCCAAAAGGTGTTGGGGACAAAAACCACAACACACATTATAGAAGGCATGATTTGATGACCTCTATTTCTACCAATCTCATAGTGTTATTTATTCTCATTATAAACTGTTGGTTGAATTTAGGCAAATCGCCTCCAAGATTCTATTCAACCAAAGTCTGGACTCTGGAAGCTTGTGTTTGTGATTTAGAGAAGAAAAATTGTAAGGGGGAAAAATTTCCCAAGTTGGTAGAATTTTTTTTTTTTTTTGGTAATTAAGTTGGTAGAATTTAGTTAAATCACCCCCAAGATTTTATTCAACCAAAATCTGGAAGCTTGTGTTTGTGATTTAGAGAAGGAAAATTGAAAAAGAAGAATATCGGAAAAATGATTTCTGTTGACAAAACACTTATATTTAGAGAAGGAATATATACATTTATCAAATAATTAATTAATTAAATAAATCATCGAAAGTTCAATTTTAAACAACGATACGCAAACGTGCTAAAAGCGTTGTGCAATCGTATTTTTCATTCAATAAACATATTAACCACTCAACCAATAGGATAGAGTGGGAAGAGACTTATAAGTTATAAACACACTTTCTATTAACACTCCTTCCAATATGTTATTTCTCATTCTTGACTATTTCTAACAGAAGGAATTGCAACTATAACTAATTAATGAACTACTCTTAGGGGTCGTTTGGAAGTTGCGATTGTTAAATAGATGTATTGTTGAGAATGCATGTATAATATTATACATGTATTGTCGAATTTGATGCATTGTAGAATACAACATTTGGTATGTGTGATTGTATATGTCGCATCAGCTAAAAGCTGAGACAAAACAATCTCAACTCAACTATCTCAACAATCACAACTAAAAGTTGAGAGATAACAATCAATCAAAATGAGTGATAGTTTCTGTCACATCACAGAAACAATTCATGTATTGTTTCTGCTAAAAAACGATGCATTGTAAACAATCCATGCTTAATGACAATCTTAACAAAACTATCGTAACTTCCAAACCACCCCTTATATTCCACTACTACTAGCAAATAGTGATAGGAATGAGGTGGTTGCGGGACCGGTATACCTTGATATTCATACCGGCCCTACACAAAGTATGAGTCACTAATACGTGTCAGGACATATTGACCCATTATTACATTAAAAACACCAATTCTGACTTGCATTTGTCGAAAAAATAAGTTTTTCTCAATAAATTAATATATTCTTAAAATGCAGGCTGCAAACTAATGATGCCCTAGTATGGGTTATAACCATATGCTGTTTTTATGGTGATCACCTCTCCTCAATAACATAATTAGGGATATATGGTTCGATCCGGTTAAATCGGCCCAAATTGATTCGTTCATGGTTCATTTTTTTTTTTTAATATAAGGACCAAAAATTAGATTGGATATAGTTCGGTCTTGATGCGGTCCGGTCTTGAACCGGTCCGGTCCCAATTCAGTCTTGATTTTATATTGAGCTTGTGGAGATTTGAGTGTCCTGAGGGGGGGTTTGAGTGGCCTAAGACCTAAAAGGGTGAGAATGTTAAATTTTGAGTGTTGGGCTCACTTATCCAGTTTTCGGTCTGGTACCAAACGATTTTTTACCTCAAATCTAGGCCCGAAAATTGTATTGTATTGTTTACTATCCGATCCCGATCCGATCTTAGTCCGCGTTATACGGTCCAGTTTCGGGTAAAACCAAAAAGCCCTGACCAAATAGCCAGCCCTAGACATAATAACACTTATCTATTCGGCCCTTTTGCATTCTACTTCTTTCTGTAGCAATACCTTTTGCTTTCTCAAAGCCTTCATCTTTTCGTCTAATTACCTAGTAATAATCTAATGCTATAAACAAACTTATGTATCAGTCTTTTCTTCAATACAAAATATACAATATATATGCTCTTTATGGTGCCAAATGGATGGCAGTAAAGAAAGATATGCATATTGGGGAGTGAGTGGGAGCATATATATAAAATGGGATTCCCGGCCCATGCATGCAAAGCAAACACAAAATCGACAGCAATTAGCTACCTAATTAAGTCCCACCACCATATCCATGCAACTTAATCAGCCCATGCAAATGCAGAATTACAATGGGGAACTGGCTGTCAATGCCATTAATTATCTTTACTGTTTAGGGAAAGCCGTGTGGTACAGCTTTATGCTTTCTTCCTCCTTTTCCCCCATCCCTTTAAGAATATATTCGCCATGCTTGCATGCATGGTGAAGAAGTCAAGGCATATAAAAGAGTGGCCGAACGAACCAAAGGTGCGGATGACCTGCCGATTTGGGCAACTATGGACCAATTCCAAATGGCGGATTGGTCGGAATAATCATGCTGAGAAATGAATGCCTAAACGACACGACACGGCTTTGCCTTTTCGACAACATGTCACAAGTCAACTCGAAAGAAGAAGAAGAAACGATGCTTGTTACGGAAACGCACTAGATAACCGTCATCTTCTTGCCGGATACAACCTCCGATACGATTTTATAGCTAGTCCAAAGTTATTTATTAAGGAAACCCATTTTGCAGTATAATTAAGCACAAAATACTTTACTATTGAACCTTATTTAATGGTTGAATCCTGATTAAAACACCATTTAAGCACAAAATACTATACTATTGACTTGTTCAGTGCAACTTCCGATACAATTTTATAATTCCTAAAAGAAATGTAAGAATTTTTCGAGATGAGCAAAGCAGTAGTTATTGAGTTCCTGTAAAATCGATCATTATACCTGTTTTCAGACGGGACATACATTCCTGATGGTGATTATCTCAATACTCCCAATTAATCATATGTCCATTATTGCCATATTGACAGGGATGGGTTAGGAAAATATAACATACTGTTTGAAAACTCGTAGACCAAACCGTATTGCACAGTTTGGCATATATTGTAGACCGTTAAGAATGGTCTCATCTAGTCCATGATCTTTATTATAGTATGCGTGGATTTTTTGGTCTGTTTTGATCTAGATCGTGATTTATTGGACCTAACACACTTTCCGTTTCGTGCTACCAACTCACTCAGCCACTCTCTCAACTTTTCATCAATACCCAATTCTCATCCCTAATTTTTTTAATCTCGTATCCTTCTTCATTCATAAACAACACTCCATCGCATATAGTTTAGACATAGCTATTATGACGTTAGTGGAAAACATTTTTTTCCTTAGTTATTGGTTCAATTTTTTGTGTGGATGACTAAACAAACTGTTCATTGCGTCTCAATGTGGTATGCATGGTCCAAGCAGTACTAGACCAGATTGTAAATCCATGATCTAATATGGACTGTCTATATTGCTCTTGTCCCTGGTCTATACTCCAGCTTCTTGGTTTTTACCATAGAAGAGTAAAACCGTCAATTTGTAAGTTTTAAATCGCGATTTTAGCTACTCTTGTAAATGAAAAGTGTGATTTCATGTAGAAGTGTTTAGGTGACATATAAGCGCAAAGTGTAAAAAGCGATTTTGACTAAACCGTAGGTATGTTTCGGTCTAGATTGGACAACACCGTTTTCCCAGTCCTATTGACGGGATAGGATGAGCAGATCATCAAATTAATCTAGATCCAACTCTAGATTGAGTCCTATCAAATAATTTAGGGTTCATACTCTATTTTGGTATGAAGTTTGGCATAAGTGATAGTTTTAGGCTGAACTTTTAAATAACATAGTTATGGGCTTATGGCCAACTTTTCAAATAAATGGACGGATTTGACCCATTTTTTAATTGAACATTAAAATTGACGGTCAACTATTTTCTCCGTTAGTGATTCAACATTTTGTGCTCACTAGGATAGTACACATATAAAAACAAAAAGAAAAAGGGAGGAGCAGATCATCAAATTAATCAAGATCCAACCCTATATTGAGTCCTATCAAATAGTTTATTAGTTATTCATTCAAGATGATATAGGGTTGGATCTGGATTAAGTTTGGATATGGGCCGAGGTGCCGCACCACCACCAGCCTATGCCCCACAATCGGTTCCACCACAGCTCGCACGCTGGACAGGTCGTCGGCCTTGAGCCTGTACAATTAACGGACTGCTATCTTACTCATGCCAGGCCTCCTTTCTGAACCCACACCCAACCCAGCCCAATCTAGCCAAGCCCGAGCCCAATTCAAGCATTTGTTAATTCAAGGAAAGTCAGGAGTTACAAGAGAAGGTGTGGTGGGACAGATCACATTGGATCACAAACCCATCTGTAATCTAAGCAGAGCAGCTCATCATCTTCAACAGCAGCAAGCTGCAGCAGCATCCTATCGAAATTCAACAAACCCATCCCTTGAAAGCCAATCCATCTCTTCCCATTCACAACAATAGCCAAATCCTAATCAAATTCAAAATCAAGACCTAACCCATCTTCCCTTCCCCTCCCGCTATCCCGAATTACTTACCAATCTCCGTTTTTCCTGCTTCCCCCCTCCCCTGGTCTTCAATGGAGACTCTGACTTCTCTCTGTGCGAGCCAAACTCTTGTTTCCCACACAGCCCGCCCGATGCCCATTTCCGCCGCCGGAAGCTCCGTCTCCGCAAATGGCTACGCTTACTCTCTCAATTCTCGAGCTTTCCTTCCGAGGAAGCAGAGGATGAGCATCATTAAGGCCTCTGTCGCCGTGGAGCAGCAGACAGAGAAGCCCAAGGTTGCCCTCGTCAGAATCGGCACCAGGGGAAGGTGCTTACTCTTCAATTCCTTTTCCTGTTAGTAGACTCTTCGATTCTGATCTTGCCATCGTATAATGTGGGTTTGTTGCCCTTGTTATTGTTTCCCATTCCGAGAATTACGAAATGGGGTTTTGGAGGCTGTGAAGGTCTTAGGTTGGCTGGCTTGATTATGATATGTACACATTTCTTCTTGCGAGGAACTCTTGGAATTCCTGGATATAGGTTGTAGTTTAGGAATCAGTGTGCTGAATGTTTGAATTACTAGCTACCAATGCTACTACAATTTCTGCTCAATTTGATGTTATTGGTTTCAAGGAAAGCCCGCTGGCACTAGCTCAGGCTCATGAGACCAGGGAGAAACTCATGGCGGCACATTCCGAGTTAGCTGAGGAAGGTGCTATCGAGATTGTGATTATAAAGACCACAGGAGATAAGATCCTCAGTCAGCCACTTGCCGACATTGGAGGAAAAGGGTTGTTTACCAAGGAAATTGATGAGGCACTGATCAACGGTGACATTGACATTGCGGTGCACTCCATGAAAGACGTTCCTACCTATTTACCTGAACAGACAATCCTGCCTTGTAACATGGAGCGAGAAGATGTTAGAGATGCATTCATCTCGTTGAATGCATCTTCACTGGCAGATCTCGCTGCTGGGAGCATAATTGGCACGGCTTCCCTCAGGAGAAAATCGCAGATACTCCACCGGTATCCCTCGCTTAAGGTAAGCATGTTCTAGAATATGTATTGGATTATTGTTGCAAATTTGTGTGGGAAGTTAGAGCTCCATAACAGCTTCCTCATTTAGGTCATTTAGTATCCTCTACTCTGCATAGTGAGCCGTGTCTAGCTCTGAATACACTAGAAAGATATACTAAGGCCACCTGGTTCCCTTGGGGAATTAGTAAATCTCCTTGGACCTTGTTTCCATGTGGGGACACCTTGCTCATGAATTAGAATGGTTACTGGATATCCTTCGTTGCGAAATGGTTCAGTTCAAATAGAGTGAGAACTTGTATGACTTCATTTTCTACTGGGTTATGCTTGAAATATCCTCACAGGTTCGTTGGTTAATATGTGGTATCTTTCTTCTGATTTCTGACATGCCTTTGATAATTTCCTGATTGCAGGTGGTCGAAAACTTCCGTGGAAATGTGCAGACGAGGTTGCGGAAACTGAATGAGGGAGTAGTGCACGCAACGTTGTTAGCATTAGCTGGCCTGAGACGTTTGAACATGACAGATAACGTAACAGCCACTCTGTCAATCGACGACATGCTCCCAGCGGTTGCTCAAGGAGCAATTGGAATCGCCTGCAGAACCAATGATGATAAAATGGTAAGGCGGGAGACTAATGCAGAATTTCAAATGAACCCTACCAGGGGACACCAATTCGTTTGATTAACTTGATTGACAATGGCTGCAACAATTGGATTCACAGGCCGAGTACCTAGCTTCACTGAACCATGAAGAGACCAGGCTGGCAGTTACCTGTGAGAGGGCCTTCCTCGAAACTCTGGATGGGTCTTGCCGCACTCCTATTGCCGGATATGCAAGCAGAGATGAGAATGGTGATTGCTTGTTCAAGGGACTGGTTGCTTCTCCAGACGGGACTCGTGGTGTGTGCATTTTTCATTCCATTCCATTCCATTCATATAGACTATGCTTGCTTCTCTCTCTTTTTCCCAATGAATCCCTGCTGTGTTCTGATGATAGAGCATGAATCGTTTTGGATGTTTACAGTGCTAGAGACTTCCAGGAAAGGTCGGTATGCTCTCGATGATATGATATTGATGGGTAAGGATGCTGGGAAGGAATTGCTTTCTAGGGCAGGTCCTGGATTCTTCAATTCATGAACCAATCGACAGCAAGTTTAGAAAAGAAAGCAGAAGCGAGAAGGCTAGTGTAGGTAAGTTGGAAACTCTTTTTTGGATAGGATGCAGGGATCTGAGTGCGATTTGTTTCATTTGCAACATGGAACATGAAATTGTTTGTTTGTAACGGTTTGCAGGTAGAAATGTAAGTTTTCTGTAAGCTTAAGACCTAGTCTTTATTTGCTATGCATTCACCATCGAATTCTGCCCTAAATGCAGTAGATACATTAAAATAAGAAAACCAATCGCAACAACAATCCTAATCGAACCCCAATAAACAAATGTACGAATGTGTACCATATAGCATTTTTAGGTAGAACGCCAAGGGAAAGCGGGCATTTTCTTGTCTCCCAAGAAACGCTTGATCAGCACCAGCGCCTGCATCGGCTTGAAAGTAGGAACCTGGTGACCGGCTCCTCTTATCGTCACGAACGTCAGCCCGTCGTACTCAATCGTCCATCCTCCGACCTGCCGCCGGAAGTACCACGGAGCCCACTCTTTCGTAGTGTTCAGGCCAAGCTTGTTCAGCGTCAACCGTGTAGACGTCACCGGAATCCTCCCGTCGGTATCCCCACTGCACCACAAATTTACAATGATAAAAAATGAGGTGAGAAAACCAGGCTTGAGTTCCGGTACAAAACCCCGACCTACAAAACCCTAGTCGTATTATCCTGTCACGACGTAGTATTATCATGTCACGACGTAGTGATACAATGATACCACACGATGGTCGAAATTTTGTACCCTATTCGCACTGTCGAGAAAAATTGTGTACCTGTAGACCCAGACCCTGACGCCGCCGGCGACGAGCTTCTTGATCACCGGGAGAACGGAGTGTGGAGCATCGTGCCAAGACTGGATGGTGTCGCTGCAGTGGGTCCACGGGTAGGGGATCCTCCCGCTCACGTTAGCATGGAGGGCTTCCTGCACGTCTTTTCTGTTAAAGTACGCCTCGGTGACCGTCGAGATGCACGGGTCGTACCCCGCGGCCGGCTCCTTGTGCCACGTGGCGGGGAATTTGGACAAGGAACGAGGGCCGCGAACGAGAGGACGTTTCGTGGCGGCGGCGGCGAAGGTGGTGCCGTTGAAGCACCGGGGAGCGAACAGGCTGTACATGTCGATGAGGTTGTAGACGTTGAAGTAAAGCTCGAGCGCGTCGTCGCAGGCCGACGTCGTTCCCTCGACGTCGAAGTTGCATGCATGCTTGATCTTGTCGTAGACTTGGTCGGAGATGACGGCGTGGTCCCACGCGTAGTCCACCATCCCCTTTTGGTCCGTCGCGTCGTCCATCAGAGCGTTCCCTATCTGATGAAGTTATCAATGCAGTCAAATTTACGTTTTAAAAATTAAAAGTTTATACAGTCAAAATATTTCTATTTATAACTGTGTTTAATTTTCACTTACCTGATGTAATCAAAATCTAAACATTATAGCTTAAAAAGCTTACATTTTTTTTTAGACTTTTAAGTCACGAAAACGCTTGTACAAAGTTTAGAGTGAGGGAGTGTGTGTTGCTTGCTTACTATGAAACCCTTGAAGTTGATATGGTCGTCTTTAGAGGCGTTCTTGTTGCCGTCGAACACCGCCTCCGCCAGCTGCGGGACGTAGTGTCCGGCGTAGCTTTCGCCGGCGATGAAGAAGTCGTGAGAGCGGAACTGAGGGAATCTCTTGAACCAGTTGAGGAGGAATGTGTGGGCGTCGCTAGCAGCCATTGCGTCGCCGAGTTGAGTGAAGTCTTGGGAAGTGTTGGTGTAGGAAAATCCGACTCCTATTGGGGATTCAAGGAACAACATGTTCGCGGCTGTTTCAAATTAACCAAACTCTTCCGTGAGAATATGGAAACAAAGGAGCAAAAGGAAGAAGAGAAGAAGGTTTATACCTTTGTTCCAAGAGTGACGGTTGAAGGTGAGCTCTGGTTTCCCTCTCTTGGGGAAGAAAGGTCCCAACTCTTCTGCTTCACCATAACCTATCGAAGAGCAACCTGGGCCTGCAACAAGCCCACCGCAATTTCCAGCTTAGTTTTAAGATGAAGAAATTAAATGTCCAATTGTATAGCAGCTATATATTCCACCAGTCAAATAATTACTCGGTAACTAGCTAGTAGTGGTGTTATAAACGCGCTGATACGGATCGAAAAATCGCTGGAATCGATAAAACAAGAATACGAGAATGAGAATCGAAAAAACACAGACACACTATTTATGTGGTTCACTAACACGATGTGTGTTAGCTAGTCCACGGGCGAGAGAGAGTCAGTTTCACAGATCGAGGATATTACAGAGGAGTATGACAATTGATAAGTATTTATAGTACTTCTCCATGTGGGTCTAAACCTAATCCAATCTGGTAAAGGAAACGGTTACAGACCGGGCCCAGAACCCGAACCCAAATAACATTGAGCCCATACACCGCGGCCGAGGGCGTTGCCCCTGGACCCCACTCGCTGATCGGGCAGCGAAACCTCCAACTACCACTGATAGTCCAATTCAAGTCACATCAACAAGTGGATTACTAGCTATACGCAGTCAATTCAGTTAAGGTTCACGTACTTAGACTTTTCTGCTGGTTTCCAGAACGTCATGATCACATGGGCATAACATATTCTTCAAGGAATCCGATTATTATTAATTAGTGACCACTCTAATTAATTAAAACACACGTAACTAATTTTTAAATACTACCATGCACTATTTAATCTTACCATACACATACTGTAACACAGAATCCCATCGAGAAGCAATAATCAACGTTTGCTAGGCAATTTAAGTTAGGCGAGATCGTCAAAAGTAACTATTTAATGAATTTAATTAATAATTTATATATATTGAAAATTATTAATTTCATACCATAATTCGCTTATTAATACTATGAGGTGGAACGCTTAAAAAATGTCAAGTAGGTCAATCGGTCATTAAAAATAATTATATGTCAATTTGTCAAATCAAAATTACAGTAATTAATACAAATGTACACACTACACACCCACTTATTCGTCATATTTATGACCCGATGATTGTAATATTGTACATCACAAAAATTGAGAAAATATTTCCCTCTCTTTTTTTTCCCCTCGCAACTTAAACACGATATATATTCAGCAAAATATCTCCGGTACAAATCAAATTCCAAGGAAACGGTATGGCACGTCATAGTCACTCACAGATCAGCCTTCTCAACGTGCATTCATATATAATAATGCAGAGTCTATCAATATATACTCATTTATTTTCTGTGGTACGCAAAATTTTCCCCACAGAATATAATCCGCGGTGGAATGAACAACAAATATAACGCAACAGCAAATTATATTTATTTACTGGAGTGAAATTGGTATAAATACGTTAAATCAAAATAATAAAAAAATTGTACCTCCATTGAGCCAGAGGAGGAGGGGCTTGTCCTGAGGGTTTTCGGTGGCTTCGAAGAACCAATAGAACAGCGCTCTCCCGTGGCTTTCGTCCACCGTCACGTAGCCGGCGTACTGCTTGAAGCTCACTTCCGGCTGCCCCGGCAGCCTCTTCACCAGGTCTGCTTCCTGCTCTTCCACATCGCCGGCGGCCGAAACAGCCACCAAGAGAAAACCCAGAAGAAGAAGAGGAAGGGAAACAGTACTGGTACGGGAAGAAGACACCAAGCCCATTTTTTTGTATGTGTCAAATAACAATTTCTATACAGTAATGGACCGGCCGGCGCCAGTGAACTATGTATATATAATGGCGTGGCGGCCGATCGAATAAGAAAATATTGAACCGAATATGGGAAGCCAAAGTTATATAAGGAGAGGAGGAGTAGGAGACAGATAAGAGACTATGCTAGGCTGGCTACTGGCTGGCTGGTTTTATTCCCTCATAACAACCAAATATTTATTCCATAACAGTTTCCGGATGTACGTACCCCTAAAATAATAATTAATTCACTTTTGCTACCATATATCTCTTGATAAAAAAAATTAAAAAGTTGTTAGTGTATCCAATCCAACGATTCAGCTCGATACTTACCCTTAATTATTATTATCAGCATAATAATTCCAAATGATTCGTTTTTCATTATCATGAATATTCACAATTTTCCATCTGTGAATTATCAATGGGAATGTATAGGTGTTAGGATCATCGTTGTCAAACCGAGTTAATTCGTATACATGATTTGACAGGTGGTTTGAGAATTAATGGTAGGATGGAGTTTAACCAGTTTAACCGAGTTTCAATAGAATATGCTAGAGAAACCTCTTATACATACCAGATAAATTATGTATATATTTGACATGTTTTTAAAACATCTGCACTTATCTACGTTCATGTATTACCAAATTATCAACCCTGTATCTTCAACCCCGATCAAACGAACTGGTTTTGATTTGTTCGACCCGATTTTGATTGGTTTAATTTGATTTTGACTTCTTTCATGAACTGTTCAATCGAAGCATATTCCAACAGTTTGGAATCTTAGATGATTGATTACGATTGAACTAAGTTGGATCGACAGCCGGATACTGATTTGAAAACCCTGTTGAGAATGGAAAGGGAAGAAAATATAGAAGTGGGATAACTTCTTATCATGAATATTCAGTCATTTCCATCTGTGAATTATCATTCATTCAGATTTGGAGTTATTTTAAAACAAAAATGTATAGGTTTAGGATGGAATAGGAAGAATCTAAATGCAAACATAGAAGTCGGATTATTATTTGGGTTAATACCTTATTTTGGCCAAACTATGACTATATAATCAACTTTGACACATGGTTTCAGAAATAAACATTCTAGCCTCAATTATGTAGCATACAGACTCAACTAGCCAGACACATGGTTTGACCGTTAGTCAATATGCCATGTCATTGTCTTGTTAGCCTAAAAATCATTAAAAAATTCAAATTATTTTCCTAATTTATATTATTTATCATTTTAACCAAAAATTAGAATTTAAAATAATTTGATAATTTTTTTTTAATTTATAAAATTTATCATTTTCAAATTACAAAAAAAAATGAATTTTTTTAATGATTTTAAGGTTGACGAGACAATGACATGGCGTGTTGACAGTCAAATCATGTGTCGTGCCAGTTGAGTCCATATGTTGCATAGTTGAGTCTAATATGTTAATTTCTGATACAACGAACCAAAGTTGATTATATGATCATAATTCGGTCAATAATAAAGTATTATCCTTTATTATTTCTAGGGAAAGGAATCTCGATGGGAAGATTTGTGCGGGCCGGGCCGGGCCGGGCCGAGCGGGTGGGTCAACGTACGTATCATTACTTCATTATCAGAGATGCGCTCGTGGGGTTTGGCTGTAATTATATTGTTTGGGATTATTTGCTTCCGGTGGAGATAAAGGGGGAACATTTTTGTCGAACGAAACAACGACCAACCCGCCGGCCGGCAGGGATGGTGGGATTCTCCGAATCTCCCGTTTACTACTACTACTACTTCTTAATTTGCCTCCGCCGGAAATGCAACGATCAGTCTAGTTGCATTGGACACTTGGTGAGAGTCAATTGCTTCGAAACCAAACTTTTGACCCAATAGAAAATGAACTCTTTAATCCTCTCAAGATCCAATAAGTTTGTTTCAAGTCTAAGGAAGCTGCTGCTATAGGCAAAGGTAAGCTCTCGCCGGATAACCTTTTCAATGTTCTCTTGTTGTCTGCCCTTCTTTCTGGCCAAAAAACAAGTTGGAGGATCAAATGGGAGGTTCATTTTAAGCATAATTACTAAAAAATATGTTACTCCGACTTTAGTCTTTAGATGTTCGAAGATGAAGAGGCTAATTAATGGTGATGAGTTACAGAACAGATGAATGCTGATTCTGGAAGCAATGAGGCAGATACCGAAGGAGGCAACCCGTCAACAGAAATTGGTACAACATTGTCAAAACAATAGAACGAACCGTATGAGAAATTACAGTGAAAACACAGACGATAAGCTAGGATTGGGGAAAATTGCAGACGGATTATAACGATGGTGAGAAATGAACTAATGAATCAAGAGGCAGCACGTGGCAAGTCGATGTTGTCGAGGAAGTGAGAGACGAGGAGGAGAGCGCGGTCTGGTGCTAGTACAGGGACGGCGTGACCAGCTCCTCTCACCGTCGCCATTGTCAGCCCTCCTGCATAACTTATTGTCCATCCTCCGACCTGCATTAAGTTTCACTCGTATCATTCAGAAATCTGGTCACACTCAACTTCGGTTAATCAGCAACATTGCCACTGATTACAATTAGATAACATTACCTCTTCTTGGTTGTACCAAGGAGTCCAATCCTGGGTTATGTTCACCCCAAGCTTGGTCAGTGCATACCTCGTCGAGGTCACTGGTATCCTACCATCTGCATCTCCACTATATAATACCAAAACCAGTAAACAAAATGAAATATGGATTAGTTCTTGCATATGTTACTTTGATTAGTAAGAGCAGCCATTCTAAGATGATGCTATTAAGTTACCTATAGAGCCAAATTCGAAGGCCTCCATCAAGCAGCTTCCTAATCACCGGGAGCACCGAGAACGCACTTTCGTTCCAGTCATTGCCCACCTGATTACTGCAGTAACATATAGACATAGTTGTTCACATCCTTAACTCTGGTTTTACCACCCTAACCATATCTAAATCCAGAGATGAAGAATAGACTGACCTGCAAAGGTCCCACGGGCGAGGGACTTTGTTGAGATCAGCATGCAATGCTTCCTGGACATCCTGTCGGTTGAAATACTCAAACACGTAGTCGCTGGTGCATGCATCATACCCACCAGCACCAGCTGCAGGTACCCTAAACTTGGACGTCATTGTCCTGTTGCTTGGTAGTCGGCCGAAGAAACTATGGCTGGAATTGGTAGGCAGATGGCACGTTGGGGAGTTGATGCCGTACATGTCTATCATTGAATACAGTCGGTAGTAATTCGCCATTCCATTTTGACATTGCTCGGTCTGGTTTGAGTCGCTCCTCGTAAAATCACAGCTCGACAAGATGGACTGGTAATCCTTGTCCGAGAGCATCGCATGACTCCATGCATAGTCGATCATTCCTTTCCTGTCTGTTTCATCGTCCAATGATGGGTTTCCTAACTGCCCCATATAACAACATAACAAGAATTAAGTAAATGGTGGTAATCATTTCCGTGATTAAATACTAAATACTGAGTGTCTGATTAATATACCATGAAACCTTTGAGGTTGATGTAATTAGAGGAGTCATTGAGGGAGTAGTAGATCTTGTTCTGATCAAAGATTACTTCAGCCAGTTGCGGTGCATAGTGCCCTGCATAGCTTTCCCCTGCTATGAACAGTTCACTATTCCTGTACTGCGGGAATCTCTTCAACCACTTGTTCAAGAAGTTGTAGGAATCCCACGCTACATTAAGGTTGACAAAACAGTTCAGGGATGATTAGTTACTTTGATTAAAATATATGTAACAAGCAGTTTCAGATAACTAGTTTCCAAAACACAAAGCATATAACTACCTGTGACGCTGTCTCCTGGAGCATAAGTGTTGTTTGAATACGAAAATCCAACCCCAGCAGGAGCTTCCAAGAACAGTAGGTTGGCAGCTAAGGAAGATCAAAGCAAGCAAAAAAAGTAATTAGTTAAGGATTCTGAAAATAATTATACAGAGAGAAATGAGAACAGAAAACAATGGGGACAAGAATTGCCTTTGTTCCAAGCATAGTGGTTAAGTTCTATTTGATGTCCTTTCTTCACCAGAAAGGGTCCAATCTCTTGTGCTGCCCCATACCCAACAGAAGAACATCCTGGCCCTGCAAAAGATTATACATTCACCGTTACTTATTCAGTAATCATAACTCCATTTTCACTTTTCAACATGATGGAAACAACAGAATGGTCAAGATTTTGATGAGTATGTGCTAGAATGGGTACCTCCATTGAGCCACACGAGCAAAGGTTTATCTTCTGACTTGTGAGCTGCCTCAAAGAACCAATAGAACAGCGCCCTCTCTTGACTCTGGTCAACTGTGATATGCCCCGCATACTGCAGGAAGTTCACAGAAGGCTGCTCTGGGATGTAGAAGACCCGGTCAGCTGATTGAGCTGCAATGATCTCGGGATCCACAGCTCCCCATGATGGTGAAACACCCACCAAGCACAGAAACATGCACAGTGACAATGCATCTAAACCTGAAACCCCCATTGGTTTGAAGTTTATCTGCACCAGTCACTGCTTAGCTTCTGTGATGGGGTTCTGTTGATTGGTGATGCAAAACCTGGACCGCCACATTCTGTATATATAACGAAATTATCATAAATCATAGTATGATGAATAAGGCCAAAAAGTGGGACTCTTTCCCAGCTTCATATATTCTTCTTCTATAGAGAATTTTTCTAGTAATCGGTATATATATTCCAAAATAAAAATACCAGGTTTGGGATGTATTGGATACCAAAAGGGGTTGTTTAGTGCCTAAGGAGGATCCCTATCGTTATCTGCATGCAAGCTTAAGAAGCTGTAAGCAATAAGAAACTAAATTCACTATTTGTAACTTTCTTTCCTTTCTTTCCTGGTCTCTAAAGTCAAGCACTGGAACCTAAAGGGAACAAACTAAAGTAACAAACCAATTAAATATAACTCACGTAAGAAGCAACTCAGGGTATAAGGTTGAGAAGCTGGCAGGACTTCAGACCTGCGTATAACATATAAAAGTGTCACCAATAGCAAGCCAAGCACTGCATCTTGCTCCATAGTTCACGATGGCCTCCAATAGCAAGACAATACTGCAAGTACACCAAACTCCCAAAGACTGATCTTTCATTGCTAATTACAAAAACGACCTAAAAATGTAACAAGATGAAAATATAAATGTAAAGGTTGTGGCAGAAACCGGGGACTTCAAAGGGGATATGCTTAGTTAAGCATTAGCATCAACAAGAAAGCCATGGGTGTTTTCTGCCATTTCTTCACTGTTACAAAAGAAAACGACATAATTCTTTAGCATCCCGTGTTATGTTGTTGTACATGACTCAAGTCTAAAATTGCTCTCAACTTTGCGAGATGAATGCAAAACTGATCACCCCAGACTATATTTTCTTGCATGTATCCCTCAATAGAAATTAAAGCTACGAGAACTGAAGCTTTTAAGGGATATGATGGGTAAACTCGGGTTTCCGGATGACCTAAGGCCATCAGAATAATCTCTGCAACAAGACAAAGATGTTTGAAACTACTTCAGGGACAAATCTTTTAGCTCCATCTCCTCCTGTCTTCTTCTTCATCCACTGGAGTGTACCATGCTGGCCGCTTCTTCGAGTTGCTAAGTCTGTAGTTCAACAAAACTTCTTCATCACAGAGCGCCCTGGTAGTCACCAGGACAAGTGCCTTCATAATGGGGACATCAGAACCGCTTTCTTTGGACCCAGTTCTCCACCAAAAACTGCCAAATCTTCTCATACTTACTTCTTCTGGATTGCCAAACGAAACATTTGGCACATAAGTCCTCATTTCCTTCTCAGTCAACGGGAAGTCATATGGACAAATCATGACATTAGGAGCCATCCCCTTTGCAGGGTGGTTTGCAAAATGAGCCAAAGCAAGTGGATTCCGTCTCTCAATGATTTCACCAACACCACCAATGATTCGTGTCCCTTCCAAAGGCTTGCTGAGTGTTTTCCAAAGCCGATCTGATCCTTTCTCATCATTGCTATGTGAGATGGGCTGGTTTTCTGGAAGCCTTGACCCATCCCATAGTTCCCGAGTTTCACCACCAGAACCCCAAGGCTGAGCATTGACCACAGTTCCGTCATACCTTGTGATCAAGTAAGGGTTCTTCGCATCAACCTTTGGATATCCAGGGATATACCGGTAGTAAGCAGGGGCATAAATCACACCCGGGTAGAAGGCAATCACGGTGCCAACATCTGCTTCACCATTGACAAACAAACCTGTTCCAGCTGCCTCATGGGATATCTGAGACGGCTTGAGATCAAGTGTGTAGCCAATGCTCTCCTTTAATCTCAGAGAGACTTCAGCAAGGTTTAACGGCTTTGTCTTGGGAATAGCTGTATAGTAGAATATGGAAGAAAGGTTAAAGGCAATGAACAGTCAACAACTTGAGATTACCAAAAGCATATATTAAGTTATTAACTAAGGGTTTGACCTGGATGCTTGGAAGATGGCCCCCTCTGGCCAACAGCAAGACTAAGGCCACTTCTGCGAGGGGCAGCATCTGCGTTTTTAGAGCTTCCACCACCTGCCCCATCTCCTTCAGTAGAGTCAGAGAGAAGAATAGAGTCCATAGCTGTGGAGAAGTTTCTAGTTTGAGAATGGATGTTTTCCTGCACTTGCTTCTGCTGATCATCAACAGAAGCTTTATTGGCCATTTCAATTACCTCGTCCACATCAGCCTCTTCCGCACTCTTACCTAATCGATTGTAGCTGCAAATATTGAACTTCCAGAATTGAAAAAATCGCCCATGGAGAGGAACTAAATGAATAAGCGATTAGACGAGAACCTGACCATGTATACAGAAATAGCCGATTGATGTCTGCTTCGAATTGCATTTTCCTTGGATCCCTAGCAAATGTGGGGCTTTTCGCAAGAACTTTCACTGCCTAATCAATGAGAATAAGAACACTAGTCACAAAAATAAAATAAAAAATCTTTCCCCATAACAAGGCATGGGCACCATTCCAAATTATTGGTACTATAGCAAGATTCCACTGCACCACTGTGTTCTTCAATGTTCAAACAAAAGTTTGTAGCTTTTTAGTGCAAATTGGAGCTTGAAGGTTCGGAATCCGGTTGTCAAACGAAATTCTACGCTTTTTTACCGTTTCCGGCACCAAACAAGCCCCATTGGGCTGGGGCAGATCAGCATTTCCCAGACCAACAAAAAATGGCGGCTATCTCAATCGAAGTCCAGCCTAGCAACTAACGAAGAAAATTTCAACTCGAAGAAGAGAGTGACTAGGTTTACCTCTTGAAATTTGTTAAAGAGAAACGCCATTGATGGGAAAAGTGGAAGAGGAAACGGCAGAACAGCGGGTGACCGGGGTAGCTTTCAGTTTGTCTCGCTGATCTTCGGCAGCCGGCACGCTTCCGGAGCTACGAACCTGAGAAAATAGATTCTGCTTCTTGGCTCTCACGTGGGCCGCTTGTACGATGACTTTTCAATTTATCAATTGGGCTTATAGGCCCAGAAGTTAGATGGTTCGGGGACCTCAGAACCCCGGACTTCATATATACGACTACCGTGGGCCTAACGTCGGCCTAGATCTCCGATCTGGTCAGACCAGCCCATTTGCCATATTTCAAAAACTTTTAAATACTTAGAGGTTGGTTTGGTTTTGGTGATAGTTTGATTGGAATAGTTACAATGTATGTAATGTCCACAATGTATTTTTTAATTTTCTTTGCAAACAATACATGCAATGTTTGTTTGATTTGACACAAACTATCACTCAAAATGAATGATAGTTAAATCTCAAGTTTTCATTGAAATTGTTGAGATTGTTTGATGGAGATTATTGTGTTTTCTTCTTCTTCTAAATATGTCTACCTTTTTTCGTGTGTTGCTTTTTTATATTAAAAACAAAGGGTAAAAGTGACATTTCACCCAAAAAGTAATATAATTTATTTAAATACTACAATAACTATCACAAAAAATCAAACGATATAAACTACAATACACCAATTTTCTTATATACATGTATATTATTATGCATGCATTGATGACAATACATCGATTTAACTATCACCAAAACCAAACGACCCCTTAGGTTTATCCTTTATTGTCGAGAGATCTTTCAATTCCGTCAATTTACACTCAACTAACTCAAACATTCTGATCGTATTGTTATCAATGAAGTCAAAATTGCAATTAAAAACTTACAATATTACGATTCTAGGCCACCAAAACACTTCTACGTAGAATTGCACTTTTCACTTACAAGTGTAGTCAAAATCTATGCTTCAAAGGTTAAAAGCTTATGATTCTACTATTCAAGGTCACCAAAACACTTATGCATAAAATCACACTTGTGACTACATTGATAATTATGGTCCTCGATAATAACACGCGAAATGTTTGTGGATGGTGATTCCAGAATTCGAAATCATCACACATACTCAAAAAACGAAGAAATTTCAGAAAAAGACACGTGTCGTTGCGTAACACGCGATCGCGGTGCGCATAAACGTACATACGACAACACAAATATCTGATAATCAAATTAGGGCCTTGTCATCAACCAATATATTACTAGATTAACTAGGATCCGATTGATAATGCTGGTGGTAATTATTCTAGCTAGACGCCTGAAGGAGAAGAAGGAAGCTGAGTGGCAGAAAGGAAGTGAGCAAAGAGAGAGAGCGACTGCTGCGGCGCCAGGACGGGGACTTGATGGCCAGCTCCCCTCACCGTGGCTAGGACCAGCCCGCCTCTGTAAGTCTCGACCCAGCCAGCGACCTGTGACTTGTGGAACCACGCCCGCCATTCTTCCTCCACCTCTAGCCCCATCGAGTTTACGCTGTACCGAGTAGACGTCACCGGCACCCTTCCATCCGTATCCCCACTGCATGCGCGCGCAAATTCGATCGATAACAAGATTTATTCGGGCAAACATCCTACTACAACATATTCGAGGTATTCATTGAATCGAAGATCACGTTGCTCGTTGATTACGAATGTACCTGTAGATCCAAATACGCAATCCAGCTTTTATGAGCTTGCGAATGATGGGCAGCACGGTGTCTTGGGTGTCATCCCACTTCACGATCATTGAGCTGCAGCGAATTAAGTCAAGCAAAACCCTAAATCAGTACGCATGTCACATGTGTTAATTTAATTTGTAGTACTGTCTTTGGTATGTCCTGTGCATCAGACCATTACTGGTTATTTTATTTGTCGATGACATAATGTACGTAGAGATATAGGTCTATACATAATTATGGAGGGTAGGTAGGTGAAGACTGAAAGGTTGTATATGATGATCCTGGCTAGCTAGCATGAAAGTGAAAGAGAGAGACAGAGAAGTCTACTTCAACGACATTAATCCTTCACTGCAGCTATGCAGCCAGCCATCCATCCACCTCCAGCAAATTGCATGCATTTATTAGCTAGCTAGTCAATATGCACAGGAAACAATACAATACAATGCAGAGCAGAGCAGAGAAGAAAAGGAAGGCTCTAATTTCCACTGATTCATCAGTACGTACGATAGTAACAGCGGCGCGACTCGATCGAGGGTTTCATTCATCATTACAGAGCTGTAACATTTTATTACGGGGCAATCCAAGTACCACATCGGTGATACAAAGGAAGGGACCCTTGTATATTAGTGACCACCAAACTCATTAGTACGAGGCCTTTTGGAGAGGACGTCCAAGAATAAATCCGTACGGGCTTGGCCCAAAGCTGACAATATCGCGTACTAATTGATCACCCTGGTATGACACTTTTTTTTTTTTTTTTGGTCTTTTGGGGCGCAGTGAAAAAAGTACTGGTGGAGTTAGTTACGAAACTTGCGCTTAATTATTACCTGCAGGTATCATAAGGGTAGGGCAATTTGGTGAGGTTGGCATGAAGCGCCTTCTGGACGTCTGGCCTGTTGAAATACGCCTTTGCATAGGTTTCTGTACATGGGTCGTACCCTGACGACGGCAGCTTATAATGGCGCCACAGATCCTAGTTCGATCATTCATCATCAAACAATTAATACGCAACCCGCGCCTACAGTAAATTAAATTGTACCTATACGAAATATTATATATAATACGTTACCTTGAAGAAGGTACGAACGTTGAGATTGTGGTGATTGTTGGCGAACTTGGGAGTGGTGGTGGTGGTAGTGGTTAGGCAAAGTGGTGTGTAAATGCTGTAAATGTCGATTCCGGTGTAGGCTTGAGCGAACCCGTTCAGATGGTTGCTGCAGTTCATCATTTCTGCTTCTAAATTGTTACTGCCCTGGCGCCGGTGACGGCTTTTGCGACGACTGTACTCGTCGGCAAAGCACTGCTTTACGTTGCGGTGGAGTTGGTCGGAGATGATCCCGTGGTTCCAAGCAAAATCAACCATCCCCATTGCGTCCGTTTCGTCGTTAATCACCGCGTTCCCTATCTGCCACCAACCCAGATGCAGTTATTTGCCACCGGAATTGCTCTCTAACGACCAAAACCAGAATCGGTCACTAAAAAGCAAGCAATAGGTACCATGAAGCCTTTGAGGTTTATGTATGCACTTCTAGGGGCCGCCTTGTTTCTTTCGTAGATAAGCTCAGCCAATTGGGGTACATAATGACCTATGTGTAGTTATTAATTAGATGTTAAGTTATTAGTGCAGTACTGATCAGATGTTAAGTTCGTGATTAATAATTTAAGTATATATGATTGGTTACCGGCGTAGCTCTCTCCCGCAAGGTAGAAATCATGGGACTTGAAAGCTGGGAACCTCTTGAACCAGTTGATCAAGAAAGCGTGCGAGTCGTCGGCGGTAACTCTGTCGCCTAGCTTCTGGACGTCATTTGAGTCGTTTGTGTAGGAAAAGCCCACACCCACAGGCGACTCCAGAAACAGCATATTTGCAGCTGATTAATCGCGCACATTAGAGCAAATTTCAATTAATTACAATGAATAACTATGATTAGGGGGGAAAAAAGTTTGTACTTTCTGCATGAGTCAACAATACGTGTTCACACATTGTGGAATTCATGGACTGTCATTCGGTGTAATTCATTTAATTTGGTACTTATTCACTCAATTTGGTAATATATCGTAATCGATACAAAGACATTATTTTGATATATTTTAAAATTAATTCTACAATAACGACATACATGAATAACCATTATTTTTTACATGAATAATCACCATTGTTGTGTGAATAAATCTCAATGTGAAGTGAATAAACAAAAAAAAATACCTAATTAATGTTGGTGTCACCTCTATAAACAGCAACCCATGTTTTGTGATTAGATTATTATAATCAACGGAATAGCAATTAATTAACAACGTATACCTTTGTTCCAAGAATGTTTGTTAAACACAAGTCGAGTTCCGTTCTCGGCAACAAGGAACGGGCCAAGCTCCTGGGCCGCGCCGAAAGCTATCGAAGAGCATCCCGGCCCTATCATAAACCATTTTCGTTCCTGATTAAATTAATATACAATGTGAAAATGAAAGTTTAGTTGTATATATATATATATATATATATATATTTTATTACCTCCATTAAGCCAGAGGACGAGAGGTTTGCGGGAAGCATGATGTTGAGCTTGGAAGAACCAGTAGAACAGTGCTTTGCTCTGGTTGGGCCTGAGCTTGACGTAGCCGGAGTAGTGCCGGAACTTCACCGGCGGCTGTCCAGGCAAGTCCGTCACCCTATCCACCGCCGCTGCAGCCTCTTCTCCGCTAGCTATACCATCACCGGAATGAACAGCTAATAAGAGAAAGAACAAACGTAGAAGCTGCCTCCTCGTGAAGCTGTAGCTATTAGCCATAAGGAGATAATTAATACAGAAATGAAGCGAACTGATGGATCGGAATCCAGAGACTAAAAAGAGAGAAAAAGAACTCGGCTTTTTATATGAAACAACGGCCGGCCGCCCGCATGCAGTTGGACACAGTAAATTACTACAGTAAATTCTCTCTGCCTTTGCACTTTTTTCATTCTTTACTGTGGCGTGATTAGAAGGAATATTTATGGAACTGATGGGGCTGAGAAGTACTGTCGTGCGACTTGACTACAGACCTCAACTTTTGTCTTTTCTGTTGTCGTTTATCGAGAGGGAAAAAAAAAGGCTGAAACAGACAATGGCTAGTAGTATGGGCGTGCAAGATTCAGGCCCAGCCTAGCTCCAGTAAATTTTTAACTACTGGGCCAATGCATTTTGACGAATACGGCCCATCTTCGCCAGGCTTGTGTGGGATTGGGTTCTTTTTTCTCGTGGTAGATAACGGGTTCGAATCCATAGTAGTTTTTCCATCCAAGCCCAATACCTTTCATAAATCATGACCATTGCATGTGCATGTCTGCCGCATCATGAAAAACTCATTGGGTTCGCTTAGACCAGACGAATTGAACTCTTTATCATAAACCATGCATACATTTCCCATGCTTATGTGTTGCACTATATTATATGCACGACTTTCCCGGCATATATATTATATCCAATTAGAATCAATAACACACCGACCATTTTTTTGGTATAGTACTTTTTCGACGGGCTTGTTCCCACATTATTTGTCAGAATAAGAAACAAAGTGGAAGCTGGTCCTGCCGAGAAAGTACTATACGCTCTAATAAAATAGTAATCTTCACCCAATAATTAGTTACATATGTTGCCAAGAAAGTGATATACCTTACGGAAAAAAACGTGATTCATAAACAAGAATATGTAGCTTAAGTTTAGCGGTTACGATCGTGATCTCTCAATCCATGAGGTTCGACGTATGCTCGATAGCAACAACGTGCTTTGAGGCGTAAATTCATGTGCATTCTAGTATGGAGTACGTACAGTGAGTATTGAGCAAAGGCCATTTATTAATATTTTGTAATATGAAATTTGATGGCTAAATAAACCAGGTCGGGTCGAAAGTCTTGCAATTGTTCCTTTTTTTCAATTGTTACCATTCTTACCATTCTCCAAAAGACTTACAAGCACTGCATAGAGTTGCGCTTCCTCCGACAAGGTTTTCAATATACTTGCCTGATGGCCATTCATGTTTTAATGATACGCCTTTAATTGCATCTTTTTACCTTTGTTTTTTGAGTTCTCGATGTTGTAACTTGTAAGTAGTGTTCCTAGTCGTACTTGCTTGGCCAATTGTTCGGGACATTTGATTCCCAGAAAAAACTGTAATGTCAATGTCATGCATGCTCTCAACTGCCTTGCTCTTGTCTGTGAAGATGCTTCTTCTCTCCCCATTGATCAATGTCAACTAGCTAAATAGGAATTACATGCTCAATGCAACTAGCTGGGAAGAAGGGTAAATTCGTAGGGAGAGAAGATTCTATAAAATATGAAGTGATTAAATACCCTTGAATAACGATATTGTAGTATCGTCAAGGTAGAAATTCACTTACAAATTAGATAGGTTATGATTATGAGTAGTTTTTGTTTGTGATTTCAATCTAATAATGCATTGTGATGTAGTCAGAATTATAGTTCGGGGAGATCCGAATACAATCTAATGCAACGTGTGTCCCAACATTCAAGCTATTGCTCTGAAAGAGGGAGATCAATATTGTTCAAAAGTTTACCCGTGATTGTTGTAACTTGTAACTCTGTAACAAAACATCTGTTGCAGCCACATACAATTAGTGACCAAGAAGATAGCTTAGAATATCGAAACACCTAATTAAACCCGAGTTGGTAGCTAGCTAGCCAGAATTTTGCTGATTCTGACCGTTAACCGTTTCTAGCTAATATATGTATGGTAGTTACGGCGGAAAACCGCTGTTTACGGTTGATGGGTTTGCTCCAAACGACAGGAAAACTCTGCCCACCCTACATTTTTGCCTTTGGGTGGGTCAAATGGGTTTGCCACGCGGGACAAAAAAAGGGTCCATAAATACAAGCAGCAAATGTTTCAAATTTTGGGATGATGTGATTGATAATGTTGAGCTAATATTTTTTAAGGATAACTTGTGATGCCTACCGATCTTAGTATCTTTGGTAGCAGAATGGTAGACCTGAAAGTGATATAATTATCTGCTTGATTATTTTATGACTTAGGTTAACTGTCGCCACCCACTTCCCATCCGCCTTCCCTCCACAGTTTTTTTTTTTTTTTTTTTGTCGAAATGGAACAGGAGATAGTGTAAATTAAGCTTGTTTTCTTACTCGCTGGAAAAAGAAACATCAAGCCCAACAGGCAGCAGCTTCGTCCCAGGCCGACTAGACTAATCAACGAATCATCCACCGCCCCCATCATCGACAATAATCAATTTCACGATTCACATTTTTTCAAATAAAGTTTGAAAAAAAGTATTTGACATTTTTATAATTTTTTGAAGAATTTTCAAATTGTGGTTATTCTTACCAAGGTTATTCGGCGAGAGACTGAGAATTGACATGTGTGCGAGAGTTATAAATTTTCAAACTTTTATTTAACTTTTCTTTTACGAAGAGATGATCAATCATCATGCAGAACCACTGGCTTGGTTACAGCTCCTCCCACTGTCTAGGTGTTTTGAGGTAACTTGTTGGACACCTTGACTCTTGTTACTTACTTGAAGACCACTTAATACCTTCGTGTCGCCACTTTTAATCTTCAAGTCGACAAGATGTCAAAAAGAGGAAATGCAATTAGGCAAGAAGAAAGTCGACCACGGCAACATGTAAAGTCTGCGCCTCATATTTGATGGAAGAAGACAGAACTTATGTTGATCCAACTCAGTGCTGGTTATTCCAGTTTTAGAAAGGTAGTTAATTACGTAATAAGTTTAGTTTGCAGGTAAGTAAAATTGTAAAATCCAAATTTTGAAGGAATCAAGTCGTAATATACATACAATTGTGGGAAGTACAACAATATTTTGTAGTGACTTTTACGGTGTACTTACAAAAATGAGCGTATACTATGCATACAATTATAAGAATAGTATTAAAACATAGAATTTTTGAACTCTAGTTCATAGCATTAGTCTAATATTATGATATAACATACGAGCACGACTAATCAATGCATTATCCTAAGCCTTACGCCTTCAATTTTGAACTCTAATTCTAAATCCAAAATTGTAAACCATAAATCGCTAAGCTCTAAATACATCAAATGAAAGTAATTGAAAATCTTGAATAATTTTGTACAAATTCATGCATTATTTTCTGGTTCATCATATCACAAGAGACGATTGAAATCGTTTTAACATGAATCGTCTGCTCGAAATGATGAATTATGAGGTGTTATGCCCACAAAAAAGTGAGTGCAATCCGCATATGGGAGAACGTTACTCTATGATGATAGCAACTCATTTACCCGAGTTAGGATTTTGCTTGTAACTAACAAGCGAGAGAACGACTTTGGCGTCGAAAGACCTTTTCTTACCGATTCGATCACCTGCACTAACACCGAACATACACATATTTATAGGGCAGAAACCCTAATACCCGACTAGGCCACTCGGCCTCTACCCCTAATTAATCCGCCACCCCTAAGAAGTCCAGCCCCTCGTGAATTACGCACTAGGCCCTAACCTGCAACATAATACTAACCGAACAAGCCCAAATCCATAACATAATAATAAAACTAAAACTAAAAATAACATCTAAGCCCGCTATACTACGAGTTGCTATCATATGAATGGTAGAATTTGGACTGTATTGAAATATGTTGTGTTTGCTCTGCTGGTTTGGGGGGTCCAAAACGGGCCGGGAAATGGGATAAGAAGAATGAGAGGGCAAAGTAATTAAGTAGCTAGCTTTGCTAGGAGAGGGAAATGTACAGCAAGAAAGAACCACGCCACGCCAGGGCTGCTACTACAACTCGATCGATCGTCCGTACACCTCCCACATAAATACACAGGAGCATTCATTCCCCTCACCTAAGCGCTCTTAATTTGCAGCAAGTTGCCTGCCTCCCAAGCCTCACCCATTTTCCGACCAGCTAGCTACCGTGCTCCAACCGGCCACACAATACGATCTTTGATTGATTGACGATTCTTTGTAAATGGTATGTATGAATCCAAAGGGGAGGTAGCTAAAAACAGTAATGGGTTGCCAGCTGCCTGCCTGCCTGGCCCCAACATATTTAACAAGAAGTTACCTAGCTAGGCCCAGCCACTTATTGCTAGCTGCTGCTAAAAAAAAAAAACTGCAGTTTCACTGCTGTGATTCATCAAATCACAAACAAGAAGGTTGCTTTTTTTCTTTCTCTTCATTGTGAAAGTACCAATCCTCGTGACTGTATTGAAAATATGATGTTAGAAGAACAAGTGAGTGTAAAATTTAGGACCGGAATAAGCTCGTTGTTGAAATGAATTAGTTATCATGAGAGGTTTAGCAATTTGGTAGCCTCATTTTGAATACTTTTTTATGATATAATAATATGAACCTTTACAATATGATTTTAGAAATTTCAATGGTTTAGTTTTCATTTGATGAAGTTTATTGATATCAAAGCTCATAAGGGTTTTTGGTCGCGTGTGGGTGAAACCCGTTTTAGAGATTGGCAAGTTGGGTTGGATGCATGTTTGGGCAAAATCCGACCCACTGAACACCTAACCTGCCGCCGGAAAGAAAAATGACTTTGTTTTGCATCTAATCCTAATAATATGAATATTTTACTGGTGTTCTTAGTTTTCATAGCAATATAGTTACAATAATATGGTTAATTGTTGTTGTTATTAGTCTCTATGGCAATATAGTCACAGGAAAAAAAATGATAAAATAAAAATGTAGGTTTTTGAAGAAATTATTTACGATTATGTACTCATGGATATCCATACATCTACACTCTCATGAATACCCGCTGTATTAGATTTTCTCTTTCTAAATTCCATAAAATATATATAGCAATCATGTTTTGGATGGACAGTATACAAATGTGTATATAGTATATGACATACCTAAGCAGCATATTTGTACATTCCCAACATGGCTGCAAATTAAAAGTACCTACCCCATTCCAGGGCAAACACATATTAATGCATATATGCTATGCACATCTCAACCCCAAAACACAATCGACATCAAATCCCAAATCAAACAGATGACCAAACTAAAACCATCACCATCCACCATGTTTCTTTATTCATTCTTTTAATTCTAGATTCCATCTATAATTATCACGCTCGCATTATGTTTATTCTTTATTCCCTTTAATTGGATAAATATATCCAACCCATAATAATAAACCAGAATTAAAAGTGTTTTTGAAATATATAGATGTTAAGAGCGAATGAGGGTTTGGCTTTGTAGTGCTATCACTAGGCTCTGATACATATATATCGGAGTGTGCAGCTGATTTGTTTTTATAAGCATAATGTAACATTTTTATTATTGTTAGATGTTATTTTAAAAATTTCATTGATTACGTTAGTAGATAATAATTGATTACAAGTTTGATACACAAAGTTAGATTGAAGTGAGGCTAAAATTATATGTAAAAAAAAAAAAAAAGTGGTTGGCAAACAGTACAATTCTGAGGATAAGTAATATGCAGGACTTCAAAGAGTACATGGTCGATAATTTCATTTTCCATGAAGGGCAAACACCCTCTTGTTGAACTGCCAAATTCTCCATAAGCGTCAGGTTACTATCATTTCATTTATTATATAGACACGCACATATACAATAGTGAATTGAAACCATTGACCTTAAAATAATAATACAAATACAAAACGAAGATGACACCAAGATTATCTAGATCAGGGAGCGGATATGGTACTAATATTGAGAAGTGTATAATGGTTTGGTTAAGTTCGACCAGATCAAACTCATGTAAATTATGGTCTAACAGTGAAACAAAACTTAGAACCGAACCAACATTTAGTGGAGTAGCTAGTATTTCACTTAAGATGGGTCCGGGGACCCGCTCTATTATAAGTTGGCTCCGTCAATGCTAACTTTGCATTTGGTCCGATTTGGTTCGGTACAATTGTTAAGTTGGTTCATTTTTCTTTAGTATTTGCGAAATTCGTAGGATCAAGAATCATACCACATCATATTCGATTCGCTGACCACATCATATTCGATTCGTTGTGGTCCGATTCAAATATCGCCTTAGTTCGATGTGACCCCATACCGATCAAACCGTTGCAGTCATCTTAACATTAACATCATGCTAACATAATCACTAGAAATATTATGGTAACTATTGTACATAGTAGTCACTCACACGTCCTCGTCCTTTTTTCCGCCTCCATATCTCCTCCTCTCCCTCTGTAAAAAAAGAAAACCCCATCAAGTTACTTGTAAAAAAAATTGGGGTATTGGCAGTTTACCCTTCGCCTCTAGATCATCAAAGAATCAAATATATTAATCATTAATCATTTCCAAAAGAAGAAGAAAAAAGCACCACTAATAAAAGATAAAGAATCAAAACACGAAGAAAAAAGAATTCAAACGAACAGCGACTTAATTAGGAAGCAGGAGTTGAACAGGCCGAAGAACACAACTCGGCAAGTCAGCTAATTATAGCACTACAACACAAAAATAATCAGAGCCATTGCCCCGGAGCAGGCCGCCCACATTTGCACTTTTCCGCTCACCAAAATCACCAAATTCACCTCTTTCCAGCCCCAAATAAAATACCCCACGACAAGCAACGGCTAATTATATAATTAATTCCCTTATAATAGCTAATTATACAATTATTAAGCCTTCCCACCAAAAATAAACTCCACAAAAATCCCCTCCTTAAAACCCACCATATGATCCCCATTGCCAACCTACCTCTCCCCCTTCCCCCCAAAAAAACACAACACACACAAAACACATTGCATGGCAACTCACTCCCATCTCATTTCAACTCACCACCACCACCACCACCCTCATCCCGCCGCCATGATCATCAACACCACCGCCTCCTTTTCCCCGGCACCGGCGGCCGCAATCCGCAGGATCCTCTTCCTCCGCGACGTCCAGCTCGCCGAGCTCTTCCTCGCCCTCGCCGTCTTCGTCACCATCCACTCCCTCCGCCAGCGCAAGCGCCACGGCCTCCCCGTCTGGCCGCTCCTCGGGATGCTCCCTTCCCTCGTCGCCGGCGTCCGACACAACATGTACGACTGGATCACCTCCGTCCTCTGCCGCCGCAACGGCACCTTCCTCTTCCGCGGCCCTTCGTTTAGCAGCCTCAAGTGCGTCATCACCGCCGACCCGCGGAACCTCGAGTATCTCCTCAAGACCAAGTTCTCGAATTTCCCCAAGGGGCAGTACTTCCGCGACAACCTCCGCGACCTCCTCGGCGACGGCATCTTCAACGCCGACGATGCCACGTGGCACAAGCAGCGCAAGACCTCCAGCCTCGAGTTCCACTCCGCCAGGTAACCAAAAAAAAAAAAATTATATCTACAATAGTCACCACTTTTTCTTGTCGCGAGAAAAGCTCCTTTCTCGATTCCTTTTTCAGCTAGTAAACGCTAGCCTTTTTTGCAACGGACCTAAAAGACCTTTACTCACGAAAAAGACCGTCACTACAACCAATTGACGAGTGCAACTTTTCTTTAAGACATTTCTCTGTCGCGAAAAAAAGTGTTAAAATTAACAAAATTAGTTCACCCGTTACTGTTTCCCATTGTTGGTGAAATCCGATGGTTTGATTTGAAAAAATTTCGAATCAAAAACTAAATTAATAGAAGATTTTAATGGTGTAGGATATAATTAAATCACGATTTCATCATAACTCTATCGTTAACCTTTCTGGTTCAACCTATCCTACGATTTCACAATCTCCTAGCTAATAAATTGTGGACATTTTTTTTTTTTTTTTTGGATTGATATAGGTTCAGGAACCTGACGTACTCGTCGCTGTACGAGCTGGTCCACGGCCGGCTGCTGCCGGTCCTCGAAACGGCCTCGAACCGAAACGTTTCGATCGACCTACAAGACGTGCTGCTCCGCCTGACGTTCGACAACGTGTGCATGATCGCATTCGGCGTCGACCCGGGGTGCCTGAGCCCCGGCCTCCCGGAGATCCCGTTCGCCAGGGCGTTCGAGGACGCCACGGAGGCGACGGTGATGCGGTTCGTGATGCCGACGTGCGCGTGGAAGGCGATGAGGTGGCTCGACGTGGGTCCCGAGCGCGTCCTCAGGAAGTCCATCGAAGGAGTCGACGCGTTCGCCGAGGAAGTGATCCGCGCGAGAAAAAAGGAGCTCGCCCTGCTGGACAGCGACGACGACGACGTGGACGCTGACGTGGACGGGCGGGAGCGGCGGGTGATTAGGAGGAGGTCGGACATACTGACGGTGTTCATGGGACTGCGTGACGACAAGGGGGCGCCGTTCTCCGACAAGTTCCTGAGGGATATTTGTGTGAATTTTATACTGGCGGGGAGGGACACGTCATCGGTGGCGCTGAGCTGGTTTTTTTGGCTGGTGGACGGGCATCCGGAGGTTGAGGAGAAGATTGTTGGGGAGATTGGGAGGATTGTGAAGGAGAGATCGTCGGGAGGTGAGAATAATGGCGGCGAGGAGGAGGAGGAAGAAGGAGTGGTGTTTAGGCCGGAGGAGATTAAGAGGATGGATTATCTGCAGGCGGCGTTGTCGGAGGCGTTGAGGCTTTACCCTTCGGTGCCTGTTGATCATAAAGAGGTAAAAAAAAGAGAAAACTTACCTTTTTTCCTGTCCTTTGCTTTCTAACTGTTTTGTTCACTTCTCTTTTTTTTACCGGTTTGGAGCTCGACATTTCACTGCAAATACTCTGTTCCTGTTTTCCTGTGTCTGTACGTGTGTCAGATTTTTGGTTTGGGTAAAACAGGGAATTTTCAAAATTACTGGTCGAGTGATTAGAGTAGTGGTCTCGATTTCGTAAGATTTCAAATTTAAATTCGACAAAATAATTTTCTTAATAACGCTTTTTGATTATGTGAGAGTTAAGATGTTTCTGTTGCGGTTGTTTGTTTAAACGACACCATTTTCACATTTTCCTGATAGCACGTCAAACGTTATCGGGAAGATGTGAAAATGGTCATCTAATGACATTTAGTCACCAGATGAGTCGTCTCCTAATATGGGTAGTGAGGTGCACCTACCAATACAACAAAGACCAATTTTGCACGCCTTTTTCTGTAGCTAAATAAGGCCTAAAATGATGCTGGCGCTGTCAGTTGGATTCCACGGCTGTACTGCGTTGCATGGCTTTGATTTGGGTGAGCAAACAGTGGTTCAACGACGCATAGTTTCCAAGAGTCAATTTCGAGATAATCGAAGTTAGGTGACTGACCTAAAACTAACCAAGGAACACAAAGATACAGACTGAGCTTTCCAGGGGTCAAGGTCAAACGTCATTGGGGAAAAACATTGATCTTCCCATTAATGACACATCAAACCGTAGGATCAGTGCATGCGATGACAATTATTTGTCAAAATTTCCTTCAACTGCGGCTCGTGGTGGAATGCCCAATCCAACGATGTAAGCACGTGCTTGCGATTGACCGGATTGATGACCCACATCCCTAACTAGACCATTTGCTAGGAATTTATTTCACGTTTGAAATTTTACCTCATTTGCTCTGGTTGTTGGTTGGGCAATGAAACATTAAACGCTCCTATTAGTTATGTTTCTCTGGAGCCTGGGGCCTTGCTCTGGTCCTATGAGAAGTTATGGCTTTGGTGGATAGTGGCTTTTACTGCAATTGAAATTCTCAAAAGTTAATTCCCCAAATTGGGTTGTTGCAGGTTGTAGAGGATGACATGTTCCCTGATGGGACTGTACTGAAGAAGGGAACCAAGGTGATCTACGCAATCTACTCAATGGGGAGGATGGAATCTATCTGGGGGAAGGACTGCAGGGAGTTCAAGCCCGAGAGGTGGCTGAGGGACGGCCGATTCATGAGCGAGTCGGCATACAAGTTCACCGCTTTCAATGGCGGTCCTAGGCTGTGCTTGGGGAAGGACTTTGCGATCTACCAGATGAGGTTTGCGGCTGCCTCGATCATGCTTCGCTACAAGGTGAAGGTCGTGGCTGGTCACCCTGTCACCCCGAAGCTCGCCTTGACTATGTACATGAAACACGGGCTCAAGGTGAACCTCTACAGGCGCGACCAGGTCGCTGACAACAAGGTGGATAGTTAAATCAATGAAAGGATGAGAATGTTTGATAAATAAGTGATGGTCTTTGCTTATATTTACGTTGATTTGTATTTTCTTTTGCTTTTGGTGTTATTGTTATTGTTGTTATGTGGTTGTAGATGAAGCATACTTATTGTTTTATTTGGGATGATGAAGAAGATAATCAAGAGATAGAGGTAATCTAGAGTGGTAACTTGTGAGACAAGGCAAGATGAGAGGGGTGATTATTGGATTATGTGGGGTTGCAATAACGGGATGAAGTTTATTATCATGTTATATGTACTGGGATCTTAGAGGTTGTGTAATTATTTTTACAATAAATTGTGACAAATTTATAGTTGTTGATCTCTGTTCCTAATCTTTGGAATCAATACATTTCTTCACTTGCAAGTTATAAACAGTCAACACGAACGTTTCAATAAAGTCAATATGATGATGATCATTACACGAGGAAGCAACAGTTGACTGAACAGATTAACATGAAGCAATACAGAATAAGAAAGATGGTGACTTGAGATTCAAGTAACCCCCCTTAATAGTTGGTATATATGGTTGGAGAATGGAGACCATATGACTATCCAGAGTTCCAACCATGGAGTTAACTGTTACTATCAAGCAAAAGCCAAACCATACTAGACTTTTTTCTTGCTTGTACACATACAATTGCTGAAAGAGGTCGGAGCGACTTAGATCGTTCATTTTGGATGAAAACTGTTTGTCAATTCAAGGTCGAGTTTCAGAAGCACTTTGATATTGGGGAGGGGAAACTTGGATAACTTGCCTTGTTTAAGCTCTGCCATCCCATTCCTCATAGAACTGGTTCAGATACTCCTCCATGAACTTGTGCCTTTTCTCAGCCCTTTTCTTCCCAGCCTGGGAGATCACAAATCTCGTTATAAAGCTTTGAGCAGGTCTGCATAGCTTCTCAGAAATTTGGTGAATGTAAGGATTGTACCTCAGTTTTCATCAAGTCTTTCAGCTTGAGAAGTTTCTCGTGGAAGTGATTGATGGTGGTCTGCTCTTCTTTCTTCATGTACTGCTCCTTGGATAAATCCGAACGGGGATGAATGGTGGGATCGTGAAGCACTCGGCTCCTACTTCCTCCAAATGTAAAGCAGCGTGCAATTCCTGGAAGTCGGTATAAATTGACATATCGTCATGCATGGAACGTAGTAAATGGAGAAAAAGAGCGCAAGCAGAGTTCATGAGCTATACTGGTTGCCAATCAATATCCAAGAAACAAATACTAAATACAGCATAGAACTTTCTGATTACAACTACAAAGTCTGAATGTAAATCCTAACAAGCAGTCCATCAAACTGTAATAATTCATTTGAGAACAGTAATCACCTATTGCACCAATTGCATCAAGGCGGTCGGCATCTTGGACAACCCCAAATTCAGGACAGTTTTCACTGTTGCCATGTCCTGCAAGTTCCTCTTTGAAACCTGGGAAGTTGAAAGCACCAAATTAACATCTTCAGGACCGATCTAAGATTTTTAGCAAACAACACGAACTCTTGAAACAAGTACACAGAGCTGTTCACTTCAGTCAATTTTCCCTCCCACTATAGTTCTTAGTACATTTGGCACCTTGGTATCACAGTTGAAGAACATATCTAATGCAGGTACCCCATCCTGACATGCCTACTGCCCATGAAAAATAAATGAAAGAGGGCGCGTAAACTTCTTTGGCATTGATACCATTACTTATTAGAATGATCCAACTCAAGATTTAGTTCAATTGACTGAATCACAGTAGCTGGTATCAAAGCCACCTTACCCATCCCCCTAATGATTGATAGTATCTTCACTTTCTTGACCTCTTCAATACCCTCTTCCTCAAGAAACTTCTCCACAATTTTTTCTTCAGATGGATCCCTACATTAGTTTTTCCAGAAGAATCACATCCACAAAACATGAATGCAGGGAACAAAGAAAGAAAATGGTGAAATGATGAAAAATCTTTTCAGTAGCCCCTCAGAGAAATGCATTAAACTAAACAATGAGAGCAAATTTTCAATGAAGCTAAACACAGGAGAGTGAGGGATATGTTCTGAGATGGGATATGCTCCCTTACCACATACCTTAAGTACTTATAGTCACCTGCAACAACCGAAAATTGCACATAAACACAAGTCAAGACCAGGGGATGCTACCATAATACTGTATCAGCAAACAGCATAATAATGGATGATGAAGAGTTTAGAACGAATGATAACCATAACCAGGCACAGTGGTAACAGAAACAGTTACAACGAAAGAAAGTAAACTTCTTTCAGTTCTCATTCCATTATCAGCTAAAGCTAATGAGCATGTATTCCAACAAGTCAAACTGCACTGTATCTACTAGACCAAACATGGCTCCCTGCTTCACTACTAGATACCCCATTAAAATTCATTCCAGAATTCTTAGACCCATCATCCCATTATTCAAAGTTCACCACTTTATTGATGCAAATAGTTGAGGGGAGAAGAAGGATAACCTATGTCGTGAAGAAGAGCAGCGAGTTCTACCTGCAACAACATCATAAACACAGCTTATCATAAGCAAAAATTGATAACCATAAGATTGGAGATAGAGGAGATTAGGTTTGTGGCGATTACGATTTGCAAAGAATCGGAGTTGGAAGAGAGGGCTTCTTCTTCACTAGCCAAAGAGAGCGCGAGGCTCCTAACTCTCCAGACATGGAAAGCGTCATGCGACGCGTCGTTCCCTTTCATCGTTCTCTCCACCAGCTGCTCCGCCTTCTTCACCGTTTCCGCCCATTTCGTCCCCATTTCCCAACTTGATTTCCTCACCGGCAACCTATCACTCGCTCTGAGTTCTGCAAACGCGAGAGGTGAGCGGCAAATGGGGTGGCTGGCGTTGAAGGTAATTTTGACGGAGCAGGGAAGGTTGATCATTTGAGTCAATTCACAGTCAAAATAGATACGATTATACGAAGCTTTGACGGATTATCGCAAGCGCCGGTGCCGGCTTGGCGGTGGCGCCTTGGGTGGGGTCAGGTCAGGATTAACTGTACGGATAACGTGTCCTTTTGGGCTGGGTTCTTAGCTTTTGGGTCATTCAAGCCCAATGATTCGCCCGCTTCCGGTAACGTTCAATTTTCCATCATGGAGGTCCGAGTCACAAACCCAACTGGGCTGGGCCCATGTCAGAACCTACCTTTTCTCCCTTTTTATCATCACTTGTATTACCAAGAAAAAAAGGATAATAATGTCTATACTCTATACACCAAATCACAACCAATGTCTATAATAAATAATCTCTACACTTGCCAGAAACAAAGAAATGACCTTCCTGACCACCTCATGGGCCACTAGATTGTTACTCATGCCGATAAACTCCACTGCTAAAGCTCGATACTGTTGCCGAAGCAGCCAAATCTCCTTAAGAATTCTTCCTCCACGAGCATCCTGCGAATCCGCTGCCCCAATCTTGTCAATGACGTTCTTCAAAGGAACCACTGTATGAGTTGATTTGTTGCCTTCCAAAGGTTATACTTTTCATGTTAATATGTATGTAAATGTTAACATATTTGTAGGACTTATAAAGAGAAATTATTACCCATAGATAACTATGGATACCCGAACGGTACGAGGATGGTTTTGATTTTCTACCCGATTGTTTATGTGAGTATGAATATGAATATGAGCAAAACTCGAACTACTTTGGATAAGATAACATAAATGCACTATCCGCCCGACCCGCACGTTGCTACTCCTAAATGTAGGTAAAACTTCACTTTACCTATAACACACAAATCAAATATTATTATTGTAAGAAAAATGTAGGGAAAATTCATCAAAAAAATGTAGGTAAACTTAGGAAAAGAAACAGGAAGTCCACTCTTGCTGTGTCGCGTCGCATTTTCCTTGTGTTCAAACCAAATTATTAAAACCAACGAAAACAACACAAACATAAATCTATGCGTGTGGTCACCCATGATGCAGAAATTAGTTTCTTCATCGACAAGTAAACATTTGCTAGCTTCTTGTTTTCTTCATTCTTTGAAGTACCCAAAAAAAAAACGTTATATATGTTCCTGTAATCCTGTTGTTTTCGTGTTACGTACGACATAGCCGCCACCGTTTTCGCTGGCACGGCCACCTCTCACCATCAGGCATCATATATTCATATGTAACTTGCGTGCTTTTTTACCTCTTATTTTTTCTATGTGAAATACATTCTACAAATTTCCCATCGATCTCCCCGATCACTCCGACGTCACCACTAACCTTGTCTCGACCGTACACCCTCGCGTCTCAAAAGTCACAACAACGGGATGCACTCCGGTGAATTGCGCCGGCGGCCGTTGAAGTCCGATCAACAGAAAGGCAAGTGATCATTCATCATAAGAAATATTCAGGTGGGATAAAGTAAATAAGTATTTATGAAGTAATAAATAAACGGCAACAAAGGCAGTTGGATCGGATCTTTACCCATGGAATAGATGACATAATCGAAATTAAAACAGAGGGGGGGAAAAGGTGGTTGATGTATATATCACGGGTAGCCCGGCAGCCTAGCTGAGATGACACAAGGTTCAAGATATGGGGGAACGATCTGGACAAAAATCCAAAGTAATAGATTGTAGATCTGAAAATGTATTATACTAGTTAACTACTTCCGCTCAGCTACAGTGGCGTAGCCAGATTTTGAGTTTACTAGGTATTTAAAAATTTAATAACATTTGAAGTCTGTGTGTATCTAATAAATTTGGAGTTGATTAGGGTCTTTAAATAAGTTAGCATCGATGAGAGTATATGGTGCTAAACTTAAATGATCATTAACTATGTTCTAAGGGATTTTGCTGTCCCATTTTTTACCAGGTGAGGTCCTAGGAACCTTATCCTCAATACCTCCCTCCGCCACTGTTCAGATATCGGTCTATAGATTACCTTTATTTTTAATACCGGAGATAAATAGTTTCGCTTGTTACGTTTCTATCATATAACGGATCAAAAATAAATTTAGTTGGTTGCTAGGCTATCAAATTATGTGATTCCCAATATACATATTTACCGTGGTGAATATATTGTCATTTAAGAGTATCCTGATACATTTAGGGAGGAAATTGGAGATTACAAATTTTTCGATAGTAATTTGAGTTTAGAGTACGGGGTGGATTCATGATCTTTTAGGGTGTTCGGGTAGCAATATTTTTTAAAAAATAATAATTATATATTTATATCCCGGAAATACAACAGATATCCATATATTTAAAGAATATGGATCTGAATGTACAGTGCAATCTGACTGCCAAAGTCTGGTGAAGGCACTGAATCATAATCAGTCTCGATGGCCCTGGAGATGCACAACCTGGATTAGAACAATGGTTGAGATCCTTAGGAATAACCCTGCAATTTCGGTTAAAGAGGTTCCAAGGACTTTGAACGTTAGGGCTGATTGGGTGGCAAGATCGAAAGCTAGATCCACTCTGCCAGAAGACTGGATTAATATTCTTGACCTAATTTCTGATCTCCTTTAAGTGTAATCGCTGTTTGGCACGTTTCGTTTTTGGTGGAATAAAAGTTGGAATTATTGTCAAAAAAAAAAAAATCCAGGTTCGGCTAGGAGATGGAGTATTGTAGACTACCAAATACCAATAGTTGTAGTTCCACTATTTTTCAAACTATAACAACTAGAGAACAACAAAACGTGGGACTGGAGGAAACGTGTAACATCAACAACTGAGCCACGAATGGTGTCCAAAGTCTTCCTTCCTTGGCCCCAATTCCCCACACAGATTACAAATTTTCAAGGAAATTACTCATATCCCCAACCCCAAGTATTTTTCTACCTACTTAAGTTAATCAATTTGTTTATACTCATATAAATATTTTTAGTTTGACCAATATATAAGCCTTAATCTATGAACCAACGGAATTATAATTAAGAAGTATGATACAAAATACTATTTGTGAAACCTAATTGTTGAATGTTCGAGTCTAGGCGACTTTCCTCAACATACGAATATGTTCATTTTTTTTTTGTAAATGTAGTAATAATGGTAATATTTGAATTTATTTAATTTTATCAGTTGACCCGAAAGAACATTTCCATTTATTTAAGAAAAAAATAGTTATACCTAGGAAAATAATGCATCGCCAAGGGATCCTTGCTATTGATTCACCCTGAAATTCTTTCGGATACTAATTGTACTTCGGTCGAATGAGATTTTCACCTCGTAATTTGTTTGATGAACAAAAATAATAATGCATTTTAAAGTCTCATTTTTTTACAACAATAAAAAACAGGAAACATCATCGCCGAATATTTATTTTTGAGATGTGTTTTTGGCTCAAACATTCAATAATCGTGTTACACTATTGGTAGCGTATTGTTACATTAAAAGCATGTATTGAAATCAAATGATCACAACAGTCCAAGAAAAAACGAACAAAAAACAAATATATAGGAGTGGTTCAGCCAATCAATGTAGAAAAATCACATTAGAAAACAATGCAATCGATACTAGTTGATTAATTAATTATATTCATAGCTGATAAGTTTGAAAGTGTTGGTTCTGTATTTTAGACTTAATTAGGAGAAAAAAGGAAAACACATGGAAATGAATATGCGATCACAATTAAATTCGAATTAAATAAAAAGTTGTACTACTACTTAATTACTCACTATATTAATACCAAAGGTGATCCATAGTCCCAACCGTTCAACCAAAAAAGTATTCAAAACCTCCTCCATATGTCGCGATTTCTCCCCAATGGCCGGCCACTCCAACAACAAACCCCATCTCCCCGTCAAACCTAAACCGCCGCCCGCCACCACCGCCACCGTCTCCTTCAGCGGCTGGTTCGGCTGTTCAAACAGAAACTCCGTCGCAATAATCAAAGTCGCAGCAGCTCCTCCTGATCACAATCATCACATCCAGAAGCAAAAGAAGCACAAGCCGCGGTTTCCTAATTGGTCAATGAAAAATCCCCCCGCCACCGCCACCGCCGCCGCCGCAGTTTCCTTAACTGCACCTCGCGACGATTCTTCCTCCCCGGCCGCCGAGAGCAATAGCATCAAATTAGGCAATCACAGAAAGTCAACGGATTCCCCCAAGTCAAAGTTCATCAAGTGGAAGCCCAACTGTAAGGCTTCCAAGAAAAGTCACCCTACGCCCGCCGTCGTGACGGAGGAGGAGAAGGTTTCCTCCGCCGCCGGCGGAGTTGCTCCTCCGGAAACCCCCAAAGAGGTATGTGAAATTGTAAATAATAAATAATCAGAAAACAAATCCGAACATAGAGCAACGATATGGGGAAAATTAAAACACTTAATTCGTGCGAAATTAGTTAGAAATTTCTAACTTCTGATTTTTAATAATTAATGATTTTATATTCATCGGGTTATTGTTGCAGGCTCCGAAGACTGGGTCATCGGAAGAGAACGACGTCGTGCTTGGAAACGGCAGCGTTTGGGAGAACCGCGGTGACGTGGAGTCCCCAAAGAGCGGCACGTGCAGAAAGCGGTTGTCATTTCGCCGGAAGAAAGCTGAAAATGGGGACAAAACGAAGACCGGGTCAAGCAGTAGCAATCCGGGCTCCCCGCTATCCAGGCCCGACCCGGAGGCCCGAAACGACAGCGTGGTGATCTCCCGGTCCACAACACTCCCGGCGCCGGATCTGCACCAGGTTCAACCAATTATTGTTGCGGCGGCGGGCAGCAGGAGAAATCGGAAAAGGGAGGATGGGGAATTGGATTCGGTGGTGGGGCTATCGATTATTGCGGTGACGTTGGTGATCATGGTGGTGTGGGGCCGATTCTGTGCAATTGTTTGTACGGCGGCGTGGTTGTATTTCGTTCCGCGATTGAGAACAACCATGGCGGAGGTCAAGGTCAAGGCTAACCACGGTAGCAACCGCGGCTCGATTCTTAGGAGAGCCGACAGTGAATTTGGTGTTTCGGGTTTGGGTACGGGTACGGGTTCGGGTCGACCGGATTTGGATTCCGTGGAATACAAGAGAAGGGTGGTGTTGGAAGGTCTTCTTGAGAGGAACCGTCGCCCCGTTGCTTGAACAAAATTTTGTTTTTTTTGGGTTCTTTTTCCTCCTTGCATTTTCAGAACGGGTATGTACATGCATGTAAGATTTTGTTGTTAGCCTAAATTGTAATTTAAACAGTAAATAACATATTTTCCAATAAGCCCGAAATTCGACAAATTCGAAAATCTCGACCCATATTAATATTTGACAAACTCATGAAAATGGTCAAAACTAGCATACAGTTTGTGGAGGTCCTAAGAAAATATTTAGTGTTTACATAATTCAGCATACTTTGAACGCTAATTTAGACTATGTTGCCATGATTACGAAATTCTAACTAACATCATTATAAAACATAGGTTGCAATATGCATTTGAAAGTGCCCCTTCTTTAGTCAAAACCAAATATAATTATTGAGTTTTGTTGAAATCAAAGACAAAAAAAATAAAAAAATCAAAGGGGACTATTTAGTCAAAACTAATTATATTATTAATAAAAAACTGTTTTTTCCTTTTGAAAAAACTAAAAAATTATCTTCAGTGACAGAAAAAAAAACGAAATTGTGCATAAATGTTCTCTTTGCATTGTTAAATTGCTATAACGAACAAAACTAGTGTTTATCAATTAGTAATTTTTCGTGTCTCATATTAGCATTTTTCTTTTACCATAATGCAATCGCAACATGTCTTCTTTAGTCTGTTGCTATACACATCCTTTTTATTAGTTGCATCTTCAACATTTGCTTTGTACTAGATATTCTTAATTTTTTTTTTGTAAAATTGAATAAATATCATGATAGAGCTTTTATCATTTATAAAAATAATTGAACGCAAGGAAATTTGAATGAAAAATAAAAGAGTTATGGAATACCTTAGCTATCATTCAATATAGAGCGGATTAATTCTACTACACCATAATATTTCACGTAGGGTAGGACTAGCACAATACATATATAATTTTAGAACAAGAAAACGTGTTTTCGACTTCGGCAAGGTGGATAAGGAAAACCATGACTCTCACCTATAATTTAAAGCACGGAACAGGAGAAGATTAAGAAGAAATTATCAAATTATTCTGAATATAAAATGTCAAGTTGCTACCAATACCATCCTTCATTGACACTCATTTTCTTCGTATGGAACAGAGGAAATTTGACATGTAAAATCCAGATTCTAGAATTCTGACTACCTAATTCATCTTATTACATATTCCAAAAGGAGAATTTCCTAGCTTCAGCTCTTTATATAATAGTCCAATCGATGTGTCATGGTGCCTTGGGAGAAGGAGTTCTAATTTAGGCAAGGTTGTCAAACCGGATTAAGCCATCAAGCCGGTTTGGCAAGGGGTTTGGGGTTTAATGGTTGGATCGGGGTTCAACCGGATAAAGCCGGTTTTGACGGGATATGTAGATAGGGGATATTGAGAAGTCATTGTCCGATTCCATCAGGTATAATTTGCAGAACCATTAACATAACATAAATACAATTCCGCCCACAACATACAATTATCCATCCAACTTCCCCGTTTTTCACTTCAATGATCAATCCAAAAACAAATTACCTAAAATTTCAATCCGCCCACAGAGCACCAATCACACACCAATCCCTAGATTAGCACCATTCATAAAATGATAAAATCATTCAATCGAAGGAGGAAGATAGGGAACATAGCAGATCTTGCTGTTTTGGGAGAAGGAAAGACGCGGAGCAACGCCGATGTTATGTGCAACCAGCGATGAGCTGTGAAGTCGACCGGGTAGCTCCGAAAGACGACGGAGGGAAGCTGAGGAAGACGAAGTCCCTCCAGAAAGTGGTCTGCGACCGAGGTGCGGCGGGCTGGGGAGCTGCGACACGAGAGGACGGTGGGAGCAGAGGCTGCTTCGCCTGGCGGTTGCTTCGTCGGCGGCTTCTTCGCCTGCTTCGAAGATGAGTGGGAGAGGCGGAGAGTTGTCAAACTCGACAGGGTTAGGTGGCCTCCTTAGGGTTAGGCAGCGTTGGGCAATTTATGGCCATGAAAATGGCGTCGTTCCAACAAAAGTCGGAAGCCGCTGAAACCGGCCGGACCCCGGGTTTTCCCGGTTTTGACCGATTTTTCCCGGTTTTGACCGGCTGCCGGCTAGCTGTGGAATATGGCTGGCTAGAGCCGTTTTAATGCCCGGTTCCGGTCAGACCCGGTTGAACCGGCCGGCCGAAAAGGGGTTTGACAACCTTGAATTTAGGTATATACTTCGGGCCTCTTTACAAAACATTTCATAATAAGACCACTTGTCATTTTTCCGACGCTTATAATTCATTATCTCATCGAGAAAAAATCTTCAATCGAATAATACATACGTCGGTCTTCTGAAATCATGCAGAAATATGAATTCTGCACAGTATCTTAGTTTGAATTTTGATTAGTACGTCCAAAGACGACATCAAATAATTTTATTAAAACCTTCAATACTTTTGTGTTGTGTGTTGAATTCTCAACAAATAGTATATTTGGACATCAAATAATTTCATTAACACCTTCAATACTTTTGTGTTATGTGTTGAATTCTCAACAAATAGTATAGTCGTTTAGCTTGATGATCCAATTTTGTTTTTATGAGCCGACTCATCCTTTTCGCTCTATTGCTAGAGTTGGTTATAAACCTACCCCGGGCCGACGCTAGAAATAACAATAAGGACGAGTGAGAAGGCAAACATCTTCACTCGCCACTGGTTCAGGTTGAGCGGGAGAAGTATGCGACATAGAAGGTTGGTGAGGTAGAACGCGGGGGGGGGGGGGGGGGGGGGGGGCGATTTCGAGATATACTTGTGACATTTTACTTATCGTGCGGGGAGCCTGCATGTTGCAATACACTAATTTGAAAGTTGACGGCTATACGATACGAGTGCACGAGCTGCTTGGACGACAAGAATGCTTATTAGTAGGTGTTGATTGTTTAAAAGAATCATATCAGGGCTTGTTTGTTAATTTTTCATACAGCATAACAACGTAAACATCAATTAATACTTACTTTAACAAACTGCGCATATATAGTATTCTATATATTATACTTATACATCTCACTACACATTCATGGAACATGAATGTCGCACTCTGATCCTTCTGTCAGTATGTGTTAACTGACTTGACTATTCCATTCATTAAGTTATGTTTTGTTGAAGGAAGTAGGAAATTGTGAAAGCAACTTTGTAGTTTCGATCATAAATTATTGCTATTAGGTTAACTCATGGGATGAGGGCAGCCCACCCAGAAATGTTGAAGTTGACTTAGTCATCTAGGCAGGGTGTGGGGGGAATTGTAGTTCCTTCAAAGATACCAATTAAGAAGATAAGTCATTAATTAGTATATTTAATTAGTGAACTTGATTTTACGAGCTGAAATGCCTATCATATGTTGTCCAATACAATACAACTTATTAAATATAATCACAGGGTAATAATTTGTTGCACGCACTGAAATTCCTATGCATATGTTGTCCAATACATAAATATAACTACAGAGCAAAATAATTTGTGTATTTTTTTTTTGAATTTTGACAAATCATAATTATTGATTATTTTTTTTTAGTAAATTGATATTCGGGTTTGAGTTTGAAGATCGAGATATGTAATTTATCCAATAGAAGCATACCCCAACTCTAGTAAATTGATAATATACTACATAAGTTCACCGGTTTGCCCTATAATGACAAAAGTATGTACTCGTAAGCTCAAACAAAAAGTTGACACAAATTGTAAGAATACTTAACTCTAATCTACGGAAATCAGAATTCCTATGTCTTTCATAGTTGAAGTCTTTATTTCGTTTCATGATAAATTATAAGGTAATTGAACGAAATAGAAGTGGAACCTATAACAACGCGAGTTGATGAAATGGCGAAAAATATTTTTTTTTATAAGCGAAAATGTATTATTTTCACTAACTTAAGAACTTACCATCTTTGACGTACTTATGAAGCGGTTACACACAAACCCTAAAGCACCTAGAACAGTCCATTTGGCGGCCAAACCTCACCCAGGCGTATTTAGCATTAATACATTAGCGGGCAGGAAGAATCAAAGTTTGATTTTGTTTGTTAACAAACCACATTAATTATGTCAGTAGTTTGCTGATTTTTTAATTGTTTTCATTTTTATTTCTTTAAGTCGCAAAGCCCATAAAATGCACATTTTGATCGTTGAGCCCATATTTAGAAGGCCCAGAGATCGCATGACGAAGGCCCACAACAATACCACTCTAGAATAACAGAGGCAATGAACAAAAAGCCCATATTGGCTTTCGAGAAAAAACAATAGGCCTGTCCGATATACAGTCGGTCCCCCAATCCAGGCTGATTAATACTCGCTAACCCTAGCACCCTTTTCACCATAGCTGCTAAGGATACACCGTTGAATCACGCCGAGGGTTCCGAAGCTCCAACTCCGCCGCAGCAATGGTAAACTTTCCCTCCGTTTGTCTCTCTTTCCTTCGTAGTTCGCTTGAGCTGATTTCAATGGCTTCCGTTCTAAATGTTCTGTGTTGCCAGCGAAATTACAATGAAAGATTGTGGTTAGATGGTAATAGGGAGTTGAATAATTCGCTTCTGTAGGTTTGAATGGGATTTTAGGTTCTTCAACGCCGGAGAAGCTTGATTTTGTTGTTCATTTTGCTACCTTTTTCCCCCCTCTCCTTGAAAGCGTTAGAGGGTTCAGTAAAAGCACGGCGACGATGTATGAGTGGAATTTGATTCTGGTCTTACACTTGGTTCATTTGGGTGCTTCACGTTTATCTTACTTCTCGATAGGGTTAGTGTTGAGTTACTGCTGTCGTGTTTGCCGTGGTTATGAAATTCGGCTGTTAATCGTGCTATTCTGCTCTGGGTCATGAAGTTCTGTTTGTTGGTTGATCCTTCTACACGGTTTTCGTATCGTGGTGTTCATGGCGTCTGGCTAGTTGTTGTAGTTTCCTTTTGGTGAACATGTGTAGTGATGGTCAAAATCCTGTTGAGTGCAGGTGAACGTTCCTAAGACAAAGAAGACCTACTGCAAGAGCAAGGAGTGCAAGAAGCACACTCTCCATAAGGTCACCCAGTACAAGAAGGGTAAGGACAGTCTTGCTGCTCAGGGAAAGCGTCGTTATGACAGGAAGCAATCCGGTTATGGTGGTCAGACCAAGCCCGTTTTCCACAAGAAGGTAACCTACTTGTTTAACGATAGTATTGTTTGTGTATTGGTGTTCATCAAATCTTTCCTCCTGTTTCATATCTGCTTTCTCTGGCTATCATAAGGATTACACATCCGTATTGTTTGTGTATTGGTGTTCATCAAATCTTTCTCCTTTTTCTTATTTGCTCTCTCTGGCTATTATAACTATTCAACATCCCTTGTTCTTAAAACTTGATTGGGTCTACTGTCTAGTTAAGGCTTGTTTTTGCATATGGGCTATCTTATATCTTGGTTTTTTTTATAACAATAGAGAGGCCTGGGATGATGATAATTTGCCTACATTGTCTGATGTCTTACAAATGACAGACATGTATAGTTTCTGAGGCCTGGTTTCCTAAAAGAATACATCGCTTATGAGTCATTGGGGTTAAACCATGTTCCACATGTTGTGATATTTCTCCACACCCTTCTTGCCAATTATCACAGGCAAAAACCACTAAGAAGATTGTCCTGAGGCTCCAGTGCCAAGGCTGCAAGCATGTCTCTCAACACCCAATCAAGGTCAGTACTAGTTACACTTCCGTCGTATCCAGCATGCTCGTTACTTTCAAATCTCGCGCTAACTAACTTTTTTGTTGCTCTGGGATGCAGAGGTGCAAGCACTTTGAAATCGGTGGAGACAAGAAGGGCAAGGGAACATCTTTGTTCTAGATGCAGTAGTTCAGCTGTATCGTTTGTTATATTTCTACAGTAGTAGAACTGCAATCCTCGAGTACTTAGTATTGGTTTGAGTTTGTAACAGTTTGTCTGTTCGAAGTTTTCTTGTTATGCAATGTAGTAGACTATCGAAAATCAGTTTTGGTTTCTGTTCTCTTGTGATCCCTTCCGAGTTCATTCCATTTGAGAAGAGGTTTCATGTTAAGCTCATTCGATTCGTGAATGATATCGAACATCTCAATCTATTTTCCTAGGCAAGAGTGTTAGGGAATTTTAGAGTTATGGTCATTCACTTCCTGAATAATCTTCTTCCCTTAGCAAAAGTCTGTGTTGATGAATCGGCGATCTTGCGAGTTATATATGCCGAGGAACGAACAAATGCTCCATAATTCTCCATACCAAATTCAGCGATCTTTCGAGTTATATATGCCGAGGAACGAACAAATGCTCCATAATTCTCCATACCAAATTCAGTATAGCTTGTTGAGCAAAGAGAAGCTAAATATTGTGGTAGCCAGAGCTATCGAATCGAAGAGGGCAAACCGGCTAGGCCTTAGCTTGTTGAGCAAAGAGAAGCTAAATATTGTGGTAGCCAGAGCTATCGAATCGAAGAGGGCAAACCGGCAAGGCAAAGGCCTAGGGATGGCAATGGGTAGGGTCGGGTGCGGGTTTATCCTATACCAACTCCTAACCTGCTGGATAGAGCCCTCTAAAATACCCGAGCAAATAACCATATGGTATGAAAATTATATAACCATACCCTACCCACCGGGTAACCACGGGTATTCGGGTAACCATGAGTACGAATCCTAAACTATAAACTTATACACATATATGCACATACATATTGTTGTCCATTAAAAATTCTCAATACTTCTAATTGTTCTAGCTTCAACAATCCACACAAATAAAAACAACAAACACATAATAATTGTTCTTGCTTCTAGAATCCACACAAACATAATAATCGTCTACATCTTCATCATCAATAATGGTAGCTAAACTAAATTTCTCAAGCTAAACTAAATTTCTGAAGGGAAATTAACCCTTTGATTAGCGGGGCGGGTATAACGGGGCGAGTATTATCGATTATCATACCCGTACTCTACCCTTTATTTTGAAACCGGGTATTACCCGTACCCGCCCCTTAACCCGTCAAAGCGGGTAATTACCCTCGTTGACCGATTACGATCGGGTAGGGTACCCATGATTACAGGTTGGATTGACATCCCTAGGCAAAGCTAACTGGAGCTATAAGGTTCTGTAAGAATTAAGAAACATCTTTGGAAGGATTAAGATAAAACCATTTTCTTTACCCTGGGAGAGAGAATAGAGAGATCGTGGTGCGAGTTTGTTGCCCGTTCTCGCTATGTACTACCACTCGAGCTCGATCCACATAACTCCACGAACCCAACTCATAAACCCCAACAACCCACGGCCTCTCCTCCATTCCTTCTCTTCCTCTTCCTCCACCGCCGTCCGCTTGCCGCCGTCCACCGTCGACATGAGGGCTCTCATTTCCCGCGCCAAGATGTTCGCCGGTAGCCCTATCCTTACTCTCACCGCCGGGAGGACAGCTTCCTCCTCGACCACCGCGTCTCGCGCCTACAGCTTAATCCCGATGGTAATCGAGCACTCCTCCCGCGGCGAGAGAGCCTACGATATCTTCTCGAGGCTACTCAAGGAGCGGATCGTCTGTATTAACGGCCCCATCAACGACGATACCGCTCACGTTGTCGTCGCTCAGCTTCTCTTCCTCGAGTCCGAGAATCCTTCCAAGCCTATCCATATGTACCTCAACTCTCCCGGCGGCCAAGTAACCGCTGGTCTGTAACTCTCTCTCTCTCTCTCTAGTTTCTTTGAATAATTTGCCTCCAATTACTCATTCTCCCTTCGTGCCGCTTTTGCGCTTAGGCATCCATTGATCCGGGTGATTGAATCGTTCGTTCTACTTGATTTGGAATGAGCTTTTGGCTTCGCTGTGGTTTTGTTCTTCGTGCAGTGCAGTTAACCTTATTGGTCTTCTTTCGTTCATTGTTTCTAGCCCTCCTAATTGATTAGAGTATTTGGTTTAACTGCACAACCCGTTTAGCCGTGTTCTGGTTATTGCCCCGGTAGAATGCCCCCAAGTCTTTAGTCATCTAGCTGTAGTTACTTAGGGTTTTGGAGTTAACCTCTTTAGCAGATTTCTCCTGTGGAGTTTATGTCACATTTGCTACTGCTAAAGGGAATTTAGGTGGCAGCAGATGTATTCATTTGATGCGTGGGTAATGCCGATTTTATGTTTGCTCTCTTGAAAATGTTCTTCCTTGTTCTCAAGTCCAGGTCGTAGGAGGGTCAATAAGCTGTGGCTGTAGTGCTCTTTTGGTTGCTGAAAGTGTTGGTTAGCTGTACTATCAAGGATTTACTTAATGTGTTCATCATTGCGAAACTACACAATTGGTTGTTTATTGGAGGGTCATGAGCTTATGCATCTTCTGGAGTCAGCCTGGAGCAGTTTAAGCTAAGAAAATTTGTATTTCTCTGTCTTCTAGACTGCATAACTGTTGTTATTGTCTGAAAGTTTGCAAGTTTTCTCATCCATATGTTGTGTTCCCTCCTTGACTGCCACTTTCAATGAGAATTTTTTGTGTGTTATGCAGGTCTTGCTATCTACGATACCATGCAGTACATAAAGTCCCCAATCAATACGATTTGCCTAGGCCAAGCTGCATCAATGGCTTCTCTGCTTCTGGCTGCTGGAGCTAAAGGCGAGAGGAAGTCACTTCCGAATGCGACGATAATGATCCATCAACCATCTGGTGGGTACAGTGGGCAAGCTGCAGATATTTCAATCCACACGAAGCAGATAATTCGTGTTTGGGATGCATTGAATGAGCTGTATTCAAAGCATACTGGCCAGACGGTTGATATCATCCAGAAGAATATGGACCGAGATCATTTCATGACCCCTGAAGAGGCCAAGGAATTTGGGATCATTGATGAGGTGATTGATCATCGACCGATGAATCTGGTTGCTGATGCTGTTGCCGAGGAAGGCAAACAGAAGGGTTCAACTTCAAACTAAAGACTGGATCAGGGGTAAGATTTTGGCAGAATGGACTGCTCTATTGTCTTATGTCAGAGTATTGCGCTAGCTTTCTTCGGATAGTTGTATTAGCGGATCATCGGCTTCTCATACGGAATTAGATTTGGTTAATTTCGGAGTTATCTTATTTATTTCTCCGTTTTATCTTTGATTTGCTTTGGAGTATCTAAAAGAGAGGAACTCAGAGGTTATATTTTACAGCAGTCGAATAATTGATGTCCTCATAAACTATTCATCCAGCAGCCATGATTCCATCTTGAATTTTTTTAATCATGCATGCAAGTATGCAACATAATTTTTACAATGTAGGATTAGAGACTTGGTTGTTCTTTGTTTAAGTGAGATTAGTTGTTCTGGAAACTGTGAACATTTTCGTTGTTCAAGCACTCGTACTGTCTCACTGATCATTTCCCTCTTATGGTTCTTTCCATATCGTTGAACTTTATCTGTTATCCAATTGCTTACCAGTTTAAGTACCTCAAGTTTTTGCAGAATGGTGAAGTGTTTAAGCTTTTGATTACTCTACTCTCTATAATGCACACGGGAAAGGTGATATACTTATTGTGCCGGAACTCAGGCTTTCTTCTTCTTTTGTCATCACCATTAGGGGCAGCCGATTCTTTTGTTCCATAAGTTTTGTTGGTTAAGCAAAACTTGGAATCCAGTCAGTCAAGCGTGTTTTTTATAGGAACAGGCTGTAAGTTCAACTCTCGTTTCAGAAATGTGATGGAAGTCAGGCTATAGTGATTATGGAATCCAAGAAATGTGATGGTGTAGCCGCCATTGAGGCTAACGAAATCGAGTTTGCTCTCGTATTTTATGAACTTAATCGCGTCCTCTTCGGGGTTTGTAGTCAGTTTGGTTCTTTCGCTTTTGGTTTGTGTGACTGCCAACATGAATCAGGCGAATGAACCAGGCACCTATGCGGCTTATTCGGGTATACCTCGAATCTAGCATGCAATCATTTGATTGCTTGATATACTCCTTTCTTCCATATTCTTTTTGTCTTTGCATTTCAGTCCTCGGTACTCGTTATTGTGTACAACAATCGTGATTTGTCCTACTTAAATGCCGGATTTGGACGGTTTTGTTTGTACATTTTTCGTCACATATTGGGAAGTCTGAACAAACATTTGGAGGTTGTTCATCGCCTCTTTGAGTCGGGTAAACCTAGCAATTTGTTAATCATATATGCTTATGATATTTCATTGTATCCTTAAAGCTGCAACAGTTCAGTCCATTTACGAAGTGTGGACGGTTAGTCTATTTCAAGTTGTCCATAACATAATTTTTTGGATCTTGGAGATGGTGGATTAGATTTTTCCTCAAATTATAAACGTCTAACATGAATCATTCCGTTATTGATTTATTAATGATCAATCACTATCGTTCAATCATATTTCTTAACATAATATTTGTATATGTAAAATTGTTGGTGGAAGGAAGCAACCAGTGGAAAATCGCCGACTTGGTGGTGACTACGGCTCGCTTCGCTACGCCATGCTTACCTTACCTGTCAGGAATTGTACACAGCATTATTAAACTCTCAGACTGAAATCCCAAAAACACCCCCACTCCACCCTTCTCCAGCAGAAGCGTGTTCACCCTCTCCGACCGACCCACAGGCCAACACCACCACCCACCCAGCCAGAACCAGAAGCAGAAGTAGAAGAAAATCCTAGACGTGAAAGAACTTGCCCCCCTTCTCTTCCTCCTCGCTTTACCCCCTTCTTCTTTCCTCGCGCTCTCGCCCCCGGTCCAATCACACCATCGTCTCCCGCAAAAAAACAAAATCGAACCCAACTCCTCTCTCCCGAAATCCTTCAAACCCTCCGCGTGTCGCTCTGCAATTCCCGAATGTCTCTAACCCTTCCTTCGCCGGAACCCTGACCCCTCTACTCCGCCGCCGCCGGTTGCGCCTTATGTTCTTTCGTCCGGAATCCGCCCCCCAATTGGATTCCTCCCCCTACTCCTCCTCTCTCAATTTTAGGTCACCACGCTCAATTCTGCGATCGACTTGAACGCCTATGGCTCCGGGGCGTAAAAGGGGAGCGAATAAGGCTAAGGCCAAGAGTCAGCTCAGTTTGGGCGATCTTGTTCTCGCTAAAGTTAAGGGCTTCCCTGCTTGGCCTGCCCAGGTCACCTCTTCTCTTCTCTCTTCCCTACTTTGCTTCTCATTCTTATTGTTTTGTTGTGTAAGGGGCTAAACCTTTGGTCTGCCCTTTTCTGTGCTGTGCTTTTTCAATGCTTTTGGTCACTCTAGTTTAGGTTTGAACAGCTTTCACGCTTCACTAGATTGATCTTGGTGGGTTGTGTTCAGTTGGCGTTTTTGGGTGGTCTAGTTCTTCACTTTGCATCGCTTTCTATGCTATCCTAAGTTTGTTTCGCTGGGGACTATGTGGCTATGTCCCAAAAGACGATTGGCATTGTTGGTTATGAGCATCCGCACGTTGTTTTGCATAACGTGTCTCTATTGCCCACTTCACTTGTATGGTTGATACGCAAGAATTTCGTGAGCCATGCTGTTCTATGGTAATTTGCATTGGTTAGGGAAGCTTTACCTAGGGTTTGCTACATTTTCAGATTAGTGATTACTACTTGGTCAATTATATGTTCTTAGGTGTGTCAGGATGGAGAACACTGCCTCTTTGTCTCCCGTTCACTTTTGAATTTTGGCCTTCTTTATGATTTATTTGCCGATATTTAACGAAAACCTAGGAAGGCCATGGATGTTGGCTATCCTCATTGTTAAGCATCTTGGTATATGTTCCTGCTTGGCGCTCTGAAACTGAATCTTATGGTTTTGGTTACAGATATGTCGGCCTGAGGACTGGGAGAAGACACCGGACCCGAAGAAACATTTTGTTTTCTTCTTTGGAACTCAAGAAATGTGAGTCCTTTCCATTTGCATTTGTTTTCTGATTTTACCGATTAGTGCAGTTGTGGTTTCTGGCTGGTTAATCAAATAAATAATGTGGATAAATACCAAGCTAGTTTGCTGTAGGCATTTACTTTACTTAATGAGAAAGCCCTACTTACGATGGGAATATATGGTTTTGTCACACTCAAAAGAACTGGTAGCTAGAAACATGTGATAGTTTTAATAAACATTACTTCCTTTTTGTATAAGGTTTGAACTTAGGCATATTACTCAGTGATGAGTGAATATAGTTACATTGCGAATGTTTTTTTTTTTAATTCTTAGGTAGACTTCCTTAGGAAAGGAATGGATACGGAGAAAACAGGGGTTCATGGTCGATTAATGTCTGATTTAGTAGAGCATAAGACTTATTGTCAAAAGCCTTCTGACATTAGGTTGAATATATGGTTTCTACTTGCGCCCCTATTTCCTCTGATTCCTTTTTCTTCTACGGTTTTTCCTTTTCTATTTCAGAGCTTTTGTTGCGCCTCCTGATATCCAAGTACTCACAAGTGAATTAAAGACCAAGTTATCTTCCAAGTGTCAAGGTAAGAGCAAACGCTTTAAAGAAGCAGTACAGGAAATTTGCGCAGAATTTGAGAAGTCACAAAATAAAAAGGTAAATGCTCGAGGTGAGACACCCGTTGCTGATGGAATGGGAGATGGCGGAGAGACCGACTTGAATGATGGTGTTGCTAGATCAAATGGAGAAGCATCAGAAGATGCAGGGGATTCCAGATCCAAAGGAGATTATTGTTCTGGAAGAGAAAGTGAAGCTGACTCTGAAGATACAGAGCCATCTGTGTCTTGTGGTACTGGTGACAGTCCTGCCGAGGCTATGTCATCTGACAAGATGTCTGGTGATGAGCAGGCGCAGGAGGTGGCATCTGGTCCTATGGTAACCACAGATGGGAAAGATGAGACCTCTATTTCTGCAGGAGTAAACGTTGGTGACACACAGGAAGCGGACATTGCATCAAATGTGCAGGAAAATGGTAGTAAGTCTCAGATTGGCACTGGCCGAGTTAGGAGAATAGATGATGCGATGAAAGGTCATAGAGATAGGAGCTCCAATTTGTTGGAAACGCAAGATGGGAAACCTGGTAAACTGTCTGATATTGGGAAGGAATTGAAAGACAAAGTGAAGGGAAAACCTTCTTCTAGAATTGACGGTAACCCTATGGGATCTGGTAATGGGAAGAAAAGAAAAGAAATGCAGAAAGCTAAAGCAAATTCAAAGGCGCCTGATGACATTCGTGAAAACATGGGTGATAGACAGAAAAGTTCCAAATCTGGAACTGAGAAATCCGAGGTTGATGCCACAGATGCTTCTCGTCCATCTAAAAGACTGAAGCGTGAAGATGTGGGATCCCTGGAAGATTCTATGAACTCTGAAGCTGTTGGTGGCAGTTCGAGCAAATCATTGTATGAGCAAAGGGAAGTTCTTCTGGGTCTAGCATCACATGCAATTAAAGTTAACGGTGATGCTTCTGCTCGGACAGGTAAAGCTAACTTTGATGCATCAGTTGCATCAGGTAAAGGCAAATTGGACACATCACCGCGGAAGGCTGGGTTGAAATCTTTAGCATCTGCACAAACCAATAAGGTGAAATCTTATGAATCTCGACAGATGGATAAAGTTAAATCCAGTTCATCTACCCATATTGGTAAGGTTAAGTCTGATTCCTCCTCCCAAGTGAGAAAAGTAAAGCCCAGTCCAATTGGTGATAGGGGTAAAGGAAAAGCAGATATTAGTCAAAGGAGTAATGTGCACGATAATTCTGGTGATGAGGATGTGTTACCAGTATCGAAACGTCGGCGGCGAGCGCAAGAGGCAATGAATGATTCGGTTCAAAATTCAAAAGATAGAGCCAAAAGAAGCGCGGACCCGAAGAATGACTTGTCGTATAGCAATGCTAGAGTTCATGCCAACCCGAATTTGAAAAGGCGAAGAGCCGTGTGCCTCTATGATGAGGAAGAAGAGGACGAAGATCCTAAAACTCCTGTTCATGGTGTGGCTGCCAAAAGTGTTAAACCTCCATCAGCTGTCCCTGGTGATATCAAGCATAGGGACGTAGAGAGTGGTGGTTCTCGTAGGCAACAAGATGGACGTGCTGTTAACTCCCAGTCAAATGTGACGGAGTCTACCAGACATCATGATGTGTCGAAGGAGGCATCTTCAGACTTGCAAAAGAATCGCCTTTCTCCTGGTGGGCTGATAACAGTGAAGACGCCCAGGGCTCCTGATTCACAGAGTCCACGAGAAGTTGGAGAACAGGTTGTGGCCAAGGAGGTAAGCACTGCTTTGACTTCTCCTAAGAACTCTCCTCGGCTACTTGAACCACCTAAAAGAGTGATGGAACAAGATAAAACCAGCAAGGTTTCTCAAAAAACTTCTGGTGCCCAAAAGATGCTTCATGCTGACGAAGAGCAGGCAATGTCCAAGGAGTTTAGCACCACTCCGACTTCTCCTAAGAACTCTCCTCAGCCACTTGCTCCTCCCAAAACAGTGGTGGGACAGCATAAGACCAGCAAGGCTTCTGTGAAAATCCCTTCTGGTGCCCAGAAGAAGCCCCAGGCTGACAAGGAGCAGGTAGTGGCAAAGGAGGTAAACACTGTTCTGACTTCTCCTAAGAACTCTTCTGTGTCACTTGGCCCACTCAAAACAAGGGTAGACCAGCATAAAACCAGTAAGGCTTCCGTAAAAACAGCTTCTGATTCTCAAAAGAAGCCCCAGGTTGTTTCTGCTAAGTCATCAGGCATGGTCCCAGATGGTGCAAAAGCTTCCCAGAATCATGTGGCTGTTCAAAGAAATAAGCAAGCTCTTTCTGTAGAGAGACCTAAAAGTACTCCAAAAGTCCCATCACGCATGGGTGATCATGCCATTTTGCTGGAAACTTCAATGGAGTATGATCCTTATACCTGGTGGAATCTATGTACAATTTTATGCATCTTATGTTCTTCATTTGTTATTTCATACATTTGACTATAACTGTGTCCTATTTTCAGAGTCAGAGCTGCTGCAGATGAGAGTAGCATTTCATTGGCTGATTCTGATGCATCAGATTCTGCCATATCTATGAAGAACCTCATTGCTGCCGCTCAAGCAAAAAGAAAAGAAGCTCATACCCAACATTTTTCTCTTGGGAACTCCAGTTATACCCTTCTGTCCATTAATGATGCTCATGGATGGAGCCTTAGTCCGCCGTTTATCCAACCTTTACCATCTGGCATGTCCAATGGGGCACAGGGTGATGCATCAGAGTTTCATCCTCGCCCAAGTGCACCTTCTCCATCTACACAAAATCATCCTTCAGGGCCTGAGACTCGAACAGAAAATGACGAGGATGAGGATCGAAGGGTCAGTTCTGGACATAGGGCTCCTGGAGGCTCACTAAGTGGTGGGACAGAGGCTGCTGTTGCACGTGATGCTTTTGAAGGGATGATAGAGACTTTGTCGAGGACAAAAGAAAGTATAGGACGTGCAACCCGTCTTGCCATAGACTGTGCCAAATATGGAATTTCCAACGAGGTAAGTTAATAGTTCTATCTGAAGATGATTACATAGAGCTGTTGATCTTGTACAAAAGCTGCTGGAAGGCTCACTGTATCCAGATTTATCACTGGTCCATCACCTTTGGCTGATGGGAGCTGTTGTGCATTTTGTCCTGTTGGTTGCTACTTCTGAGCCAGTTTAGTCTTCAGACCTTGTTACAATCTTAACTTGCCTCCCCAGTCCCCAATCCCCATACTGTTTATACATGGTGTGGGGTAACAACATGGCCGACACTTAGGCACAATAACATTTGTATCACATGTTATACTATGAATTTGGTGAACATGCCATTCACTTAATTTGTCATTAGGATGTTCTACTATGCCTTAATTCTTAAAGGATTAAATTTCATGTTTTCTTACAGCTTATTGTTCCTATGAATCATTTAACAACATGCTACCTTTTTTCAGGTTGTGGAACTTTTAATCAGAAAGCTAGAAAGTGAACCCAGTTCCCATAGAAAAGTAGACTTATTCTTTCTTGTGGATTCAATTACCCAGTGTTCTTCTCATCAAAAAGGTTCCTTTCATTTTGCTTTGAAGATTGGGAATCATATGTTATCCTGTAGGATATTTGTTGAATCATAATCTAAGAGTTAGTGTTTTCGTCTTCAATTGCTAAACATAACCAGGAATTGCTGGAGCTTCATACGTACCGACAGTTCAGGCAGCGTTACCACGTCTTTTGAGTGCTGCTGCTCCACCTGGAGCTGGCGCACGGGAAAATCGCCGGCAATGTCTCAAGGTTAATTTTCTTAGTCACCTACTGACTACATCTTCTATACCCGAATTCGGAACAATAATGATATTTTTCTTAACAGGTGCTGAAACTATGGCTTCACCGGAAAATCTTTCCAGAATCTGCTTTGAAGCGTTTTATGGATGAAATTGGGGGTTCAAATGATGAAATCTCTGGTGGTTTGTCTCTTAGACGTCCATCCCGCTGTGAGAGGGCTTTAAATGATCCTATCAGAGAGATGGAAGGGATGCTTGTGGATGAGTATGGGAGGTATGGTGGATTTATCTTCTAGGATATTTGAATTTTGTTCATACTTGAGAGAATAAATCCTGATAAGATGTGGGGCTGGCATGGTAAAAGAACATTTTGCTCTCCCGAGGAAATATAACAATGTTGGAAGAATTTTGTTCTTCTGTTTATATTGCTATGAGCAGTGTAGTCTATTGGATGTTTACTATTTCGTTTCATGTTCGTACCCTTTCCGGTTAGTAATCTGCTGTAGTTTGTTTAGATTTGTACTCTTAAGTGGGGCTTTTATCTTTAAGGCGCTTGCTTTGCTCAACTTATTCCCGTTTTGTGCAGTTAGAATATTAACTAGACAATCTTACTTGAATGAAATCCATGGGGATTTGTCTTATTACTGGTACCTCCAACAGTAGGTGTATTGACTAAATTGGTTCATACTATGTTTGTTCACTGCTGTCCAGTAATGCTACATTTCAGTTACCTGGTTTGTTATCTGGGAACTTATTTGAAGAAGAAGATGATGAAGATATAGTATTGGAGCTGCCTAAGAAAGTGGGCGACATGCCCGTGGTGGGAGAACCTGATCGCACCATCTTTGGAGAGTCGGAAGCATATACTGCTACTCCCACTGACAGACGTCATTGCATCTTGGAGGATGTTGATGGTGAACTTGAAATGGAAGATGTATCTGGTCATCATATCAAGGATGAAGGACCTGAAATGGATATAGAAGAAGACCATTACTCCGATAGGGTGGTGGTCAAACCGGCATCAAACAGTCCTGCTGACTCACCCCCTCTTCCAGATGGTTCACCACCGCTCCCTCCTGGTTCTCCTCCTCAGCTTCCACCTTTACCACCCTCTCCACCGCCTCCGCTGCCTCCTCCGCCACCAAGCTCTCCTTCTGAGCCTCCACCCCCTCCTCCACCTCCACTTCCTCTTCCGCCTCCGCCTCCACCACCACCTTTTCATCCATCACAGCTCCCTCCTGGACCACCCTCAGCTCCTCAGCCACCTTTGCTACATCAGCATTTATTGCCAGCTCAACCCCTACATCCTCAGCCCTTAATATCAACACAACCTTCTATACAGTCACCACAATTGGCTTATCAGCAGCCTGCAGCTCATGAATACTGCAGTACATCCAGTGTATGATCTTTGACTGTTTCCTAGAATATTGTGTGTTTTTATTCTTACTCGCTCAATACTATACTTGTATCATTTCCAGGGAAATAAAACAGGTCAAATGGCTGGAACTGCTCCTCATGCGAAGAATATGGATCATGTGATGAAAAGTCAGCAGTCACCTCGTTTTGCTCATTCAGCCGTTTGCAACTCTCGAGAAACTTCAGGATTCAGTTCTTCTAGACATCTGGAATATAGTCATAATGATCTGTACTTAAATCCGCAAGCATCCCAACACAATCCTCAATTCCAGCCGGGCAACACTTCGTTTGTGCCTAGACCTATGAATCCAAGCCTCCCGCAAACGGCACCGGGCCATTTTCCATTTTCAAAGCCAGTGATTCAACAACACCACCAGCAACCCTATACCCATCCTTATCCTGTGCCATCCCATCCTGAGGGGCATAGGAGATTTGTTGGTGATGATCAATGGAGGATGCCCTTGAATGAATTTAATGCTAATAATCAACATGGTGGATGGATGGGTGGAAGAACTCCATCGCATGGAGGGCATGCAATTGGCCAAGAAGGTAGGCTGTTCTCACCTCGAGTCCTTGATAAACATTGGGAATAGAGTAATGGTAATAGTGCTGCAACAGGCATGGGTTTCGCATGAAAATTTCTAATTCTAAAGTATATGGGTGGATTAATTCAATTGTGATAAGTTTAATCTGATAGTTAGACGATTGTGGTGCATGTGTGGTTGTGATACTTGTGAAGTTCAATTTTGACTCGCAACTGGCGTGTATGTTGACTATGAATGTCAGCAGCAGACAGTGGACCGATTTGTTTGTCCATGTAGTAGACTTTGGGATTCTTACTTTGTAATATTGCTTAAAAAAAAAATGAAAAAGAATGGGTGACATAGCTTACTTTGGGAACTAAGAGCATGCCACCTTACAAAATTGAGCTCCCTCTGCAGCTTCTGGAGAATCAAAATGACTAAATTGGCATTGGACAATCAATGTAATATTTCTGTGGAGTATGTACTTGTCAGAATGGTATCCCAGATCGAGAATTGCGATTTTTGTTTTGTATTTGTAATTGTTGTTTATATGACTCCATTGAAGTACTTTATTAATATATAAAGTCACGTCAAGTCTGTCAACCTATTTGTGTTGTGTCACTTGAACTGAGCAGAGTTCTCTCTTTTCCAACTGGATGTTTCCCTGTCCAAACTTTTTGGTTGACTGATTGGTTTTGGTATGTCAGGCTTCTTCCGGGGACCAGTTGAGAGGCCACCAGTGAATGCTGTTGGTGTTCAGTTCCCTGCAAGTAACAATTTACCACCTGCACCTCCAATTCCAGGTCATCCCTGCTTTTGTTTGCCAAGAAAGTACCCTGTCAGCCACAAAACTTATGTGGAGTTTCTCTTATCCCATATTTGTTGACTCTAGCTTGTGTTGTTGCAGGTCATGGTGTTTCTCCGATGAGGCCATGTAGACCAGACATGTCTGCCGTTAATTGCTGGAGGCCAGGTTAAGGATACGAGTATGAAGCTTCCATCCATGCCTAGGTAACTCCCTCCTTTTTTCTCTTCACTTGAAGGCTGTAGCAGGATGTTGTTTCCTTTTCTATGTTGAATCACCTTCATGTTCCTTCCTTTTCCCTGTGCCCTAAATCCTAACTCTTATTAAGTAATGCTTCTAGGACCCTTAGTGTTCTTTATCCAAGTATTTGGGACTTCATAACTATGCTCCTGACTTTATTCTGGGGCTACGTAGCATAGGAAGTTGGAACTAAATGTTTGTCGAGTTTTAAGCAGTGTCCATGAAACCATACCGTACCGGCGGTTCAACCACGAAATACCAGTATCGGAGGCTAAACCGGTAGACGGTATTTACCGATATAACGGTTAAATTACGATTAAATCACGGTTTTACCATAAAATACCCTACCACTGACTTTCCCGGTACGGTCTCCGGTACGGTTTCATGGACCATTTAAGTCGCCCATTGTTTTTCATGCTCATTTTACTCTCAGTAAAATTCAGGCATCTGATTATTTCTTACCTTTACGCTCACCTACTGAGATTTGGTGAACATCTCTTCCATGCTTTTTGTACTTTTAAACTTGTTTGATGAGATCCCATTGGCATGAATCTAATGTGGTTTTATTGTTTTTATTCTCTCTTTGATAATATTACTTTCCTGGCCTTTTCTGTTGAAGTCAATTTACTGTTTAATTTTTGTTCAAATGGTATGTTATTTAGGTTGGTGCCAATTTTGTGGGGATTAAGTGATGATTTTTCTTAGAGCTGCGGAGCAACAGAAAGAAGCAGTCACTGTGAGCACATACTCGAGCATTTGATAACACTGGACAGAATATCACTACTACAGGAAGTTGAGCATTTAGATCTTGTGGAGAATTTGGCAGGACGCTGTATATTGTATTTTTCCCTGACAAATGTATCGCGGGAACTTTTGCTTCCAAGTGTAGGCCCATATTTCTGACTTGGTTAGTATATCTGTTTCTTTGCTCTTGTAATTATATTGGTTCTTTTTTTTCTAACAATATAAAGAACTACTCAATCATCCACATTGCATCAAGTAGGTGACCTCATTCATGTAGAAGTCATATTCTTGTTTGTAGCCATTGCATGTTTTTTCATGCTACGCAGTCTCCAATTCACCAAGGATATACATGCATAATCATGAATGCTTGTTATGTACAATGGTTATGATTTATCAGACTAGATTCTGTTTGCTTTACACTTGCACTTCTTTGTAATTATCTGTGGGTTGTAGTAGTGGTCTGTCTAACATTATACTGAACAGAAGTGTATTATGTTTCTCGGAAAGAACTCGTAGCTGCAGTTTTTGTGTTTATCTCCTTTTGGATACATGACGTGATTCTTCGACATTTGTTTTCCCCTCTTACGAGCTTCCTGATGATTGTGCCCAAGTCATATTGATCTAGGTAGGAGGAGTTGGATATACTGATTTCAGCGAGACTTTAGTTTACTTTTTTCATAATGAGAGACTTTAGTTTACTTATTATTATCTTCATTTATTTATTAGCTGTTTCTTTTCTATATATTAAGTTGCTTAATAGTTGAAGGAAAAACAGCATCGTATAGGTGCAGATGAGATCTGTGACTGCTAAATTCCTCGCAGTTAGTAGTTGCAGAAAAGAAGGTTGACTTGCTTTAGTTTTAAACATTGTTATGGAGGTTCATATATTAGGGAAGAAAGAGGCTTATACGGTCAAGAAGTAAAATAAAGAGAGGTATGGTACACGGTAAAATAAATTAATTGTAAAGCTTCGTGGTTTCGGCATCCCTAAGTGTTATGGCCACAGAAGTTGCTATGCTCTTGCTTGGGATGTTGCTTGTTGAACCTTGATTTTGCTTCTAGTGTATCTCTCAGCTCTTTTGGTTTTTAAAAACTCATGAATACAAGGACTTACATCCCTAAGTTCCGGTCCATTGCTTTGTTTGTACTTGACCAGTATCTGTTGTTTGCATTATGTTCCACTGTAGAATCAGTTTCATTTCTTATCTAGTGCTGTGTGATCATGACACTCTAATCTTGTGGCATGCCTTTGTAATATTTCCTCTAGATTGGACTTAAAAAATGTAGCCTGATATCTTTTATACATTAGGTTAATCCCACTGCCTATTTAGGCCTTCTTTATGAATTCTTTCTGTGGCCAAATCAGAATAGAATAAAAACTCCTAGCATTAACAGCTTATCAACTGTTCTTAAGATCCCAGTTAAAGAATGCAAGATGAAGCTGGGTGGATTGCTTTCTTGCCTCCAATAGGGATCCTTCACCCTAAAGGATGTTAGGAATTTCGGGCTATCATTTGTGCTACAGAGGTTTGTTTGATTGCTTATGAAATCAAGATTAAGAACCGAGGGAGAATTGGCGTTATGTTTTTCTGATATTGTTGTCTTTGGTAATCTGTCTGATTCTGTAGTTTGCAGTAGTGTTGGGTTTTGAGCCTTGATGTGCATTTGATATTACTGTGTATCCTACTCCTGCAACCTTTTTTCTTCTTCTTTTCCTTCCACCTGTGGAGATAATGCAAGAGGCTATCTCAATGTTAGTTGTGTAACATTGAAAAGCGTTGTTCATCCATTTTCTGGATTGCATCTGAAGACTGCCTGAGCAACATGCTGTGTTTTTCTTGTTTATGTTTTGATACTCTCTGAATACACTCTGCTCAGCATTCTGCATATCTTTCCCACAATTTTCTAACTGCTGTTTCATATATACAGTTTCTATATCAATTGGTTCCTTATTCCCTTATTTTGCTTAGGGCTCCTATACTTGTATTGAATTTTGCCCATATGCAGAGATAGTTTTGCTATTATGTTACTGCCCGGTATTGCATGTAGGAGAGAGTTTTCCTGTCCAGACATGCTTCCATTGCTGAAAACTGAAATTTCCAGGAATTGGAGAGTTAGCTAACTTGAATAATTTTGAACCATCACTGAGATTTAACTTGTTGCATATGTTAACCCACAAATTGGAAGTTTCTGGTAATGCAGATTTTGGGTAAGCACAAGAGGCCCGGAATCGGCCCCAGTCGGGAGCTATCTCCGAGATAGCGGGGCAGATCAAATGGAGTTGAGATTTCTGATAGCCAGGAAATGCAAAGGTAAACACTTTCGGTAGATTTCTGAACTTGAGACGAAAGCCTCGGTGTCGCGATTATGTCTGTTGGATTTTTAAGATTAGCATAGGCATAGCCTAGGAGAAGTCTTGGGATTTTTGGAAAATTATTACTCTCTGGTATTACAGGTTCTCATTCCACCCTTTCCCTCTTGTATATGTGAATTCTCTTCATACCAAATGTACATGGATGACCCAAAAGAAAAAGGCCTGGAAATGGCTATTTGTTTCTTGATTTATTTTTCCACCGAACTACCGCCAGTCAAATGTGTCACCTGGGAAACAACCCAACCCGCTCTAGGTATGGCAAAAATGCAAATTTTGAGTTGTAACGAGCCTGTAACACAAGGCTAATCAGTCTTGGTTGTGTATCCGAGGATGTTCAATTGAAGAAATGAGACATCTTGTAAAAAAAACAGTCAAATCATACATGTACACGAACCGAATGTCTCCAGTTCTGATCATCTAGCCATATATTCAGAGCTTAAATTTCTCGATACAACTCAATCTCATTCATTACCGGTCAGGCTTGGCTGGCTCTCTCATAAAAAAGTGGGCAGTTTCCACACCAGTTTTTCAGCTAGATCGCATAAGAAGCGATAGCCAGGCAATGACTGCGCCTGATAGTGCATACAGGTCTTCCTTTGGGCTGTATTTTCGACCCGGCCATTGCAAATGGACTAGGACTAGGACTAGCTCTAGCATCTGTCTTGTTCAACGAGCTCTCGATGACCTGCTGCAGAAACCAGGTGCACGGTATCACCTGGATCTCTTAAACCGTCTGGTTTAGGGCTCAAGTTCTGCAATTATAATGCTCCAAGCTGTTGCCAAACCAATCCTACTGCCACTGACTCACCTCATCAGCATGTTGGTGGATGTCGGCTTCAGATTTATTCCGCCTTCTTACCTGTAGTCGCTTTCTGAACCGTCGTTCTCATCCAGTTAAATGTTGACTGGATGAGAGTATGAGACCTATCTTCCGGCTGAGGATCTTGGCCTCAGGTTATGGAATGAATCTACGAGATCAGAGTTAGAGTTGCTTCCTCTGCAAACACATTGTTATCACCAGTTGATGCGCCTGCAAATACATCCGAGATTACAGTCCACATCACGACTTCAGCATATCAGAGAGATTAGTATCAAGTAAAGGAATGATAAATTATATAAAGATTACATGTAACTCGAACCATTCTCTCCTCTGTTCATATCCAATAATAAGACCCTAAACATGATCCTATGACACGTTATTACAGTTGCGAATTTTGCTTTCTTTTCCCTATTTTGATAATCTAGCTATATGTTCAGAGTTCAAATATCTCGATACAATTCAATCCCATTGCTCGCCAGCTAGGCGTGGCTCTCTCCTCAAAAAGTGGATAATTTTCCACACTGTGGATCCGTTTCTCCAGCAAATAACATCAAAAGTAGTAGTAGCATGTATATAATGGCTAACCCTAGTCAACAGCTGCTTTGTTTCTCCACCCACTCAAGGGCTTCGGCAACCCATCGAAGATGGGCCTAGCTATGGCTGCAGCCGACAAAGCCTGCAGATCTGCTTTCAGACTCCATTTTGGAGTCGGCCATGTGAATGAACCACCACTGCCATCTGTCTCATTCAAGCTCGAAGTGCTCGAAGACTTCCTCACTGCAGAAACCAGGTCACCGATGTCCGCAGGATCTCCTCCTGCACCAGCTGGTTTATTAGGGCTCAAACTGCCTGCTGCTGCTGCTGCCTCGAGTTCTGCTATCAAAGCACTCCGGCTTGCTGATTTGGCTCTTAATGCTAACCCTTTACCTCCAGCTTTTCCTGCTGATACTGAAGCGCTACCATTGCTGTTCTCTTCCCTCATCAGCATGTTTGGGAAGTCAGCTTCCGATTTCTGCCGTCTTCTTACCATGGAGTCACCATCTGCAGCATTGCTCTCATCAAGTAAAACATTGACATAGCTCCTGGATTTCCGGTGATGGGTTAAAGGAGGGTTGGTGTCTGGAGAGACTCTGAGATCAGCAGGAGAAGGAAGACCATAGTAACCATGTAAAGACGTCATTGCAGGAGAGGCCTTTCGTCCAGAAGAAGACTTTGGCCTCAGGGTTTGAAATGAATCGAGGAGATCCGTGTATCCACGATCGAGTGGCGAGTGGTCCAAGTTGCTCCCCCTGTAAAAAAGAACTTCCCAGTGTTATATGAATCACAGTGGTGTGAAGTGGCAGTATACAGTCTACATCACATGTAAGCAAGAAACTGATTACATCACAGGCCTCCAGAATAATGCACATAAAATAACCTACTGAAACTCTGCTACCATAAGTTGTAGTGCTGCATCTGTTCACATACATAATATATTTGCAAAGATCTTCATGCCATAATCCACCGAACAAATTTTTTGACCAAACCCATCAGCAGAGAGATTCAAGGCTCAAACCCACCACTAAAATCTACTCATACGAACAGCACGCTCAGTACTGTTTAAAAGTTCTTGCAACAAAAATCCCCACTTTCCCGATGGTAAGATAGGAAAAAGAATCTGGACATGAAAATGCTGACTTAACTCTTGAATTGGTCACTTGAACAATGATTACCCAGACGTAATATTAGGCTTCCATTATGGTTCATAGAGATTAGATTCCATCTTTTCCATTATGGTTCATAGAGATTAGATTCTATCAATCAGGTGGAAGCACAATGAATGAACCTGAGCAGTATCAGCAAGGAGGAGAAAAAGTAAAGGTAAATATGAAGAATACCCAGAGTTCTCAGCACCACTTGATAAACATGGGGATGGAGGGTGTCTCCCAGGTAGAGGAATTCGGAGTGTTTTCAGGGCAAACATTTGATGATCTGTAACCAGGCCATTCTTCTTTTTTATGTCGGCCACCTAAGATTCCACAAAACCAGGTGAGCATACACATAAGTTAACAATCAATGCCTTTCAACCTGTATTGACTAATGACTATTGAACAAACAAAAGGGGAAGAGAAAGAGAAAGGAAGGAAAAGGCAAGCCAGACAAAAAGCAGTCCACAACAACTGGCATTACAAACTAAATGATTTCCATTCAGAATCAACAACACCTTCTACCAATGCCAGGGAAGGAGACAATCATTGCATTATCCACTCATTGTCACGTTCGGGATGCCAAATAAAAGGGAACTCCAATCAAAAGCTTTTACCCACCCAAACAGAATACAATACAACACCAGCTGGGGAATCACACGAGTCCAGGAGGGGAAATAACATTTACCTCAACGCCATACTTGATGGCAACGCCGGCGAGGGTATCGAACTTTGAAACCGGATGCTCAATGAAACCACGGGAGACAGGCGACGTCGTCGGCGAGGAGTTGGTGGAGGTGCCCCCGCCGCTGGAGGGCTTGAATGGAGTAGTAGAACCATTTGCATTGTTGAAAAAATTGTGACTGTAATTATCGAATCCTCCTAAATCATCATCAGCGTTCTGCAGCTGCCTATCATAATCATTGCTAAACTGACTGTATCTATGATTACAATTACTCATCATGATTTCCTTCGTACCCTCCCTCTCCATCTGCTGCGTCCCCAATCCAACATAAAGAGACACACAGAAAACCCCTCCCCAACTATGAACACCAAACAACAAAACCAAAAAGAACCCTTTTTTATCCGAAACTCAGCAACCCATAACAGCCAAGAAAACGAAGATGGCGGATTTTTTCCCCTTCGGTTTCTCGGGTAAGTGATCCCAATTGGGGAGCACCCAGATTTCCCCTCAACTCGCCCACAAACGAGACAGATCAAGTGGGGTGTCGCAATGCGGATTCGAGCGGCGGAGTCCTCCGAATCAAGAGATCGGCCCGAAACCGACCACGGGAATCGCGATTATGCAACAGCTGGAAGTCGGTGGAGAAAATCGCGTGAAACAAACAGAAAGAGGGAGAGAGAAAATTAGAGGAATAACGACAAATTGAATAGAAGGAAGGAATAGGAAAACCATTCAATCAAACCAAACAAACAACAAAGAGGGATGAAGGGGAAGGAAAGAATGCAGAAATCTGAAGATCCAGAACCAAATAGCGGAAAGAAGATTGAAAATTGGGTGGGGGAAGGGGGAGATGGAAGAAGAAAGGAGAGGAGAGAGTATCTGCTCTGGTTTTCCCCCTTATTTTCTTTCTTCCCCGAACCAAATTTTCCGGGAAAAGGAAAACAAATCCCTCTCTCACTCTTTGCTTCTCGCTGCACCAGGCCCTCAAATAACGCCATTTGTTAGATTGCGTAATTTATATTATATAAATTGGATTTTAATAATTGCTGTTTAATAAAAGTTAGAAGTCAAAGGAGCCAGATTAAAGGAACGACACAAAGCACAGCCTGATTACTGATTAACCTTCAATCCACGGAGTTAGTCGGTTGTCATTTTGTGGGTGGCAAATTGAAAAGCAAGTGATGAGAAGATATTTGATAATGCTTCGATGATTAAATACCATTTCACTTTGTGCCAGCAAAGAGGTTGAGGCTTGCAAGTAGCGAGTGAAGCTGCTCATGTCCTCTCCCCCCCATCTCAACCTAGGGATATAACCTTCAGAACCTAGTTCTAGCGTCGAAGATTTACGAGAAGACAAATCTTGTTTGATGATGCTTTTCGAGAGATACCCAACATATAGGTATCGACATTGTGATTAAAGATAGATGCTAGTGGGAAGGTTTATGATGGTAAGGCTGGGAGAATTCGCAGTTGTGCACTTGTGGTGACAGAAGACGCTCGTCGTCATGATCGGGAGAACTCATAATGCCCGGATCAAAGGCGAGATCTGCTCCAGGAAGTAGTGAAATTTTCCACGAGCGACCAATGATTTACTTGAGTTATTTCTAATTGTAAACAAATTATATGTGATTATAAACAGTGAAAAATCAACCAATCATAATTGATTTGTCACGCTTCTATGCTTCCTCTCCAATTCGTCGTGTCTCATTTGCTCTTCTTTATTTCTACTCACCAAAACCATTTCTATAACAATTAACCATTAAATGAGAAATTTGATGCCTAGTCCTACTCCAAGAAGGTAAAGGCTTCTTTTATCAACAATTCCATCGCAATTGCATTCCGATCAGCAGGATGATGATCCACAATTACACATTTTTAGTAGGCTGATCATTCTGCTATCGAATTTGTGATTCGTCATTCTATTATCATAATGTTATTGATACGTCAAATTCGATCTATTTAATACGCTCTATTTCCAACAGGAAATCCAGCCATTGGATCATTAAGGTTTTTTATTATTTGGTTTACAGAAGTTGACCGGTTGAGAGAGAAACTTTAAACAAGAAAGGGGAGGAAGGAAAGGTCCTCCTCAAATCGATGTTACATGAGATAAACCCACATAAGTCGGTGCCAGAGTACAACACCAATAAATAGCAACGGGGAAGCAAGAAGAAATGCATGTGGTGGTTGGATTGGATTGCAATTTGGAAATGTCTGTATCAGCAAGTGTAAATCCACCCTAGACTAAACCTGAATCCCCAGGGCCTTACCTAACCAAGATACAAAGATCAAATATTCGAGCTAAATCGTATTCGAGAAATAAAATTGAACATATTTTACACATGAGATAACCGATGTAGATTACAACGAGCCAATAATTATACTACTTTATTACGAAAATACCCAACAAAATAAAACAAATAAATTCGAAGTCCAACAATGGCTCAAACCATCTGGTACACGTAGGAATGGCAATTTCGACCTGACCCGTTTTACCCGACCTGTTTGACCTATTTTGGGTCGGGTCCGCCCCGCCCCGGGTCGGGTCCGCCCCGCCCCGGGGCGGGGCGGGCATGGGTACTCTCATCGACCCGACCTGCCCTGACCCGCCCCATTCTCGACCCGTTCTTGCCTAAATTACATGTAATTTTAGTCAAATTACTCAGGATTTTCCTTTTATTACCTCAATTTTTAGCTATAATAAAGTTATAAATTAGTGAAAACCTCAATTTCTCCAATAATTTAACTATATTTATCATAATATTGTTTGTTTTTTTTTGGTCTTATAATAAAAATAACGAATATTTCTAATGTTTTTCATACAAATTGCATACTCATTGGGTCGACCTGATCCGACCAATGACTCGTGATAAATTACCCGACCTGAACCCGACCTGACATTCGGCAGGTCTGGGTACTGAGAAACCCACCCCGGACCTGCCCATTGCCAGTACACGCACAGCAAAATGGGGCGAGCGCGAGGCCATCCAAAGCCCGGTTGAATTGGGCTTGATGCTGGCTGGTGTGGAAGGCCCAGTGTTGTCATAGGATCCATATGACTATCTTCCCCGTCAATTGACCCTGGGCCCAGCCCAATAAATATAAACAAACAATGGGGAAATAACCACCGCGCTAGCCCATCAGCCCACCGCGTCGTTCGCAGTTCAACCATCGCCGACGGTCTTCTCCATTGACTTGCAAAAACACGGCAGAATCAATCAATAATTTTTTTTAACAGTACATAACAACAAAAGTGGGGAAAGGAATGTGAAAGGGAAACCCACCCTAATTTGGAAAGGGAATGGAAACCCGCAGTTTGTGTTGAATAGTGAGATACGCTTTACATTATTTTTTTTTTTTTTTTTTTTTTTTTTTTGCTTACACGGGAGGCAAAAACTGCCGCAGAGGGAGAAGGGAGACGGGGGGAGAGAGGGTTACAGAGAGGGGGTGGAGGCAACGGAACTTAAAATGTTCCTGGGAAAAGTTTGTCCTCTAAAGTCGTCTCTAATGATAGTACGGAGCCCTTGGGGAGGTAAATCCAAAACGCACTTACCATAGGGATAGACGAGACTGTGCTTCGAGAGCCAGTCTGCGGCTCTATTCCCTTCTCGGTAAGTGTGAACTAGCTTTACCACCCAATCCTGAGCTATTCTCCGTCTGATAGCCGTCAGAAGAGTCGCTTGAGGGTGAATCCGATCATTTCTCTTCTCTATAAGCTGGAGGGCCATCTGAGAGTCGGATTCCACGATGATGGTTCTGCTGCCAGCCTGCCAAGCTACACCCAACCCATGATAGATGCCCCAGAGCTCTGCCTGAACCGCTGAACACGTCCCAAGATTGACAACAAAACCTGTAATCCAAGAGCCAAGGTGATCCCTCAAAATGCCTCCTGCACCTGCCGGACCCTGCGTCCCATTAGCTGCGCCATCCACATTGATCTTTGTCCAACCTGCCGGAGGTGGAGTCCACCCAATTTCTCTGAGCGTGCGCTGAATCGGGGCAGAGCAGCGCCCGATGATGTCCGGCGGAGCCATCCAAGCTTTGTGCCATAAATTCGCCTTGATCTTAATTGCCTGGGTCAAGGAGGGTGGCGAAAGGGTCTTGTCACTCCCTTTGAAGACGCCCTCGTTTCTGTTCTTCCAAAGACTCCACAGTGCAATGCTGAAGAAGGCTTTCCAGGGGGTCTCGATTCTCGGCATCTCTTCCGTCTGCAGGTTTTTCTTTAGCCACTGTCTGAACTGCATACTGAAGAACTCGTCCTGCTTCTCGGTGGGGATGGTGCGTGCCCAAAAGAAAGCCGCAGGGGGGCAGTCTCTGAAGATGTGGAGACAGGTCTCCTCCTGAGTCAAGCACCTGTAACAGAAAGGAGAGGAGGTGATTTTCCTTTTATACCTCTGCACATTACTGCTCACCTTATCATGTGCCACGAGCCACATAAAACAGCGGACTCTCTCCGGGACTGGCAGGTTCCAGATCGTCTTCCAGAGGTCATTAGGGTCGTTTGTTGTGGGCTGCTGCGTGAGCTGAAAAGCACTTTTAGCTGAGAAGTTGCCATCCGAGGTGGGGTGCCAAAAAAGGACGTCGTTCTCTCCCGTAAGCGGATCGACAGCACGCGCCGTGATTTTATGGACCACACTCTCCGGAAGGAAGTCTTCGAATTTTCCGGTTAGCCAGGCTCCTTCCTCATCCACGTAATCCGCAACCACGGCGTTCATCTCCTCCTCCGGGACTGGGCTGGTGGCTATTTCCTTTAGAGGAACCTGCAAAATCCAAACATCGGACCAGAAATGGGTGAGATTTCCTCTATGAATATTCCACCCACACCCTTTTTTCAGCAGATCACTAGCTTTTGATATGCTGTTCCAGGTAAAGGAACTTCCCTTTAATTGCTTAATGATGCTGAGATCCTCCCTGCCCTTGCCATACTTTGAACGCATTATCCGCGCCCAGAGGGTCTCTTTCTCTGTTAGGAGTCTCCAGCCGCACTTAGCTAACATTGCCAGGTTGACATCTCTCGCCGGGCGGAGTCCGAGCCCTCCTTTCTCCTTTGGGAGGGTCAACTGCTGCCACCCCACTAAATGGAGCTTCTTTTTTTCCTCTGAATCTCCCCAGAGGAAACCACGATTGATTCTGTCCAGCGAATTGCAGATCATTTTGGGCATCAGCTCCACCTGCATAGGATAAACAGGTATGGACGCAGCAATAGACTTTACAAGAGTCATCCGGGCTGCAAGAGAGAGATGCTTAGCTTTCCATGGTGCCAGTTTCCTTTGGATTTTGAGGAGAAGATCCTGATATCTGCCCCGGGTCACCCTTCCATGAATTGCCATGACTCCGAGATATCTCCCAAGGTCCACCGTAAGAGGGATCTCCATGCGCGCACTCAGGGATCTCGCCTGTCTTCTGCTGATGTTTGCCGAGACGAACATGGCTGACTTGTGGAAGTTCACCCTCTGCCCAGAGCTACTGCAAAAGTCGTCCAAACACTGCTTGATAATCCTGATCTGCGAGCCCCCTGCTTCTGCAAACAACACAAGATCATCGGCAAAAAAGAGGTGAGAGAGAGGAGGGCCGTCCTTGGACAGCTTGATCGGCCGCCAGAGCTTATTCTGAACTGCCTGGTCGATTCTGTGGGACAAACGTTCCATACACAAGACAAAAAGGTAAGGGGAAAGGGGGTCTCCCTGCCGAACTCCTCTGGACGGAATGATGGGGGTTGACAGCTCGCCATTCCAGAGAAGGCGCATCCTGTTATGCTCCACGCAGTACATGATGCACCCTATCCATGAGCTAGGTAAGCCTATTTCCTTGAGTGTATCCCGCAGGAAATCCCACCTCAGACGGTCGTAGGCCTTCTCGAGATCGATCTTCATCACAATCCCACCCTTCTTCCCTTTCTTTCTCCGAAGGGTGTGGAGAACCTCCTGCAGGACGATGATATTGTCGGTGGTTTGCCTCCCCGGGATGAAGCTGCTTTGGCGAGGAGAGACCAGCTTCTTCATGATCGGCTTCAACCTGTTGGTGATGGCCTTCGTGATGGCTTTCAGGCAGACATTGTTAAGAGATATGGGTCTGAGCTGGGACGCCATTTCCGGGTGCTCCACTTTAGGAATGAGTACCACCGTCGAATCAGTGACATTTTCCGGGAGGCCACCTGCATTAAAAAACTCCAAAGCCATGTTAATCAAAGATTTTCCCACAACTCTCCACTCCCGCTGGTAGAAAGCTGCATGGAATCCATCCGGGCCAGGGGCTTGGAACGGTTTCATCTCATGGATCGCCCGATGGATGTCCTCTGCTCCAAACGGTCTCAGCATAGCAGCAAAATCCTCTTGGCTAAGGCGGGGGAACGCCCCTCTGGGCATGAGGTCCTCATAATTGTTATTATCCTGCACAAACAGAGAGACAAAGACATTATAGACAAAATCAGCCAGCTCCTGGGGATCATTGATCCACTCCCCAGTAGCTCCTTTGAGGCTGCTGATGTTGTTCCTGCGCCTACGGATGACCGCCTGGTTATGGAAGTATCCAGTGTTTCGCTCTCCCTGTTGGACCCATTTTTCTCTTGACCGTTGGAACCAGAATAGCTCCTCCTGCTCGAGAACCTCGTCTAGCTCTCTCTCTAACTTGATTTGAAGCTTGAGGAGACCGGGAGAAAAAGACGTAGCCACCCTCTCTTGAATCCCGTGGATGCGTGCCATCAACCTTCTCTTCTTGTGGAAGATACTTCCAAAGGTAGTTTTGTTCCAATGGTTTAGATTGGACGCCATTTTCTCGAGGGCAGCTGGTAGGGAGGCGTGATGGTCCCATCCCCCTTCCACAACCTGGTCAAAAGAACCACTAGTTAGCCAAGCCGCTTCAAAACGAAAAGGGCGGGTAAAGGAGGAGTTGACTCCCTGGTTTCCAATGGTGGTAAGAATAGGGTGATGATCCGAGTGGAGGCGGGGGAGATGCTTGACAGTGGTGTTCGGTAAGCACGAATTCCAGATAGTGTTGCAGAGGCTTCGATCGATGCGGCTTGCTTTGTACGTGTTGGGATTGTCCCCTCTTGTCCACGTGAATCGCGGACCTGAGAAGCCAAGATCAATAAGTTCCGCCTGATTTATTCTGTTGCTGAAGACTCTGCACTTATAGAGCGTGGAAGGGGAGGGTTGGCCTGAATTCTCCTCCGGTTTCAGAATAGAGTTGAAGTCCCCGGAGAGAAGCCAAGGCAGATCGTTCGATTGGCTGGTGCGTAGGAGAGTTCGCCACAAACTATGTTGTTGAGATTGCTGAGGGCTAGCATAAACTGCTGTAAACAACCATTTAGGGGCAGATCCAGTAGTGACTTCAACCGACAGATGTTGTGAGCAGGCTGAGATCACTTGAAGCTGGAAAACAGCAGCATTCCAGCAGAGCCAGATGCCTCCTTTCCGCCCTTCAGACTCTACTCGCATAATATTCGGGAATCCCATCCTCTCACAGATTTTGTTGGCAGAACTTCCACTCACCTGCGGCTCCAAGATAACAAGAAAGTCAGGATTATAATTCTTAACAATCAGCCCAAGGGCTCTGGCCGATGCAGCACTACCAGCACCCCCAATATTCCAGGCAATGATTTTAAAATTCTGAAATTGACTAAAAGACATGGGGAAAAAAAATATAAGCAGAGAGTAAAGAAGGGGGGGAGGGGAGCCGAGCAGCTAAGGAGAAACAATCAGGGGGCGACGAGCTGGGGATCTCTCTCGGTGGCCGCCGAGGAGCTGTCGCCGGTGATGGTCCGCGTTGACTCGGGGTCCTCTGACCGGCAAGCCGCGCCCGTCCACGCCTCGATCTCTTGGAGTGTCAACGCCGCCAGCTTGGATCTTGTTTTGCCTTTCCTCTCCTTCACCGGTGTCCAGACTTGGAGCACCTTGGTTACAATCGGTCTCGAAGCTTTGCTCGGGGATTTCAACTTCTTCCTTTGTTTATTCTGATTTTTGGTGCGAGCAGAGGCCGATGGTGTTATTTCCATTTTTTGCTGGTCGGTGCGAGCGTCTGTTTGAGAAGGGGTAACCAGCTGGATGGTTGTTCCCTTTGCGGTTGAGACGGTTGTCAGAGAGGGAGGGCTTGGGGCCTGATCCAGGCCATCATTGAACTCCTTCCGTGGACTGGGAGATTGTATGGGCTTAGTGCCTGAACTCGACGGCCCATCGGCTTTAAGTGAGACACTTTTGGGCCGCTGAGAGTTGGGCTGTTGCTTCTTGGGGACAGGCCCGAGAATGCCCTTCCCTCTCTCTTTCCCATCAGAAATCTCCGCCCCTGCTTTCCCTTTCTTCTTCGCCATTGTCCCCCGATCCCTTTCTAATTTTTCTCCGCTAATTGCTCTTTCCAGCCGTTGAGTCCCTGCGCCGCTTGCTTCATGATGATGCTCGGCGTTCGTGTGGCCCTCCTTCACGGTAGCCTTTCCTTTTCCTCCCTTTCCTTGAATTTCGTTTTGATTATGGAAGGAATCAGGGTTGTTTCCTTTTTCTGTGTTGCTGCCTCCACGCCGTGATTTTCGGGTAACGAGCATCCACGGCCCGAAGCCGGACTTCTCTTCCGGTGCGGTAACTGGTTCCGGCGCCGGCGAACCTCCAGCTACCACAATACTCCGTTGCGGGGATGGGGATCTCAGGTTGGGGCAACTCTCCTTAGTGTGGCCGACTTTTCCGCACTCAAAACAGCACACTGGTAGGTTCTCATATTCCAGATACTGCCAGGCTCCATCAAGCCGGACTCTTGTAATCAGTGGCTTTGAGAGATCAATTTCCACTGCAATTCTTGCGAATCTTGCCCGTTGCTGATGGAGAGTGTGATAATCCAGCTTGATTGTGCGTCCAATTATATTCCCCAAAGAGAAGAGTACTTCTTTGTGATAGAAGTGAATCGGGAAGGCCGGAAGTTGAACCCACACAATCATCGAGCTCGGCAGTTTGTCAGAGAGACGGAATTCCGGGGTCCATTGTTGAACAAGCAAGTAGTGATCGAAAATCGTCCAAGGTCCCTCCGTGAGAGCGCGGAAATAGTCCATGTCATTGCTGAGTTTCACCATAAAACATTCCGATCCGAGGAGCATGACTTCCATTGGTCCTGTTGGTCGCCACTGAGCACGAAGCTTACTACTAAAAGTGGTGAAGGATATCTGTAGCCCTAACGTGCGGACCACCAGAGACCGCTGCCAAGGTTTGCTGAGTTTGGTCCTAAAACTGTCGGATACCTTCAGTTCTGGTTCTCCATTGAATATGCCTCGGACCAGATCATGTTCGCCCACTGGTGTCCAGGAAACCATCCCCACAGCAGGACTAGCAGACACCCCGGCGACTGCATTTGCATAGGATAAAGGTACAACCTTAGTTGGTCCTTCTGCAGTATTATTCGGCTTATCGTCAACCGCCATGGAATCGTTCCCTGTGGCGGAGTCTCCATTGGGCGTGGCTGAGGGATCGTTTGAAACACCCTGCAAGGGAGCCGGAGGCACCTCTTGGTCCGGCGGTCTGTCAGAAGGGGAGAGATTTCCTGTCGCCGGTAAGACCTCAGAGAGCATTTTTTTCCGATTTTTCCATAAAACTTATGAATATAAGATACGCTTTACATGTACATATCAACAATGAACTATTTTATATATGCATCTATAAGCTGGGAACCGAATCCTCAGCTCGTGGTATTTGAAATTCAATGTATTCAAGATTCCACCTCGTCAACTCTTCAATCTAGTAATGGCTGCTCTATTCCCATAATTCAACCCTGCAAACGAGTTTCACAGCACGCCAATACCGGTTTCAGCAGCTATACCATGCCAGTTCCAATTTGTTCCGAGTTCCGGTTACCAGATCAACCCAATTTGGAAACCTCTGCCCACTTGCTTTCTCTCTTTCCAGTCTCCTAACTTCTCTTCCCCATGAATTCCTTCCTCCCAAGCCACTGATCATAACCATTTAAGATAAGCTTCCCACATATGTTCTGCACACAACAAACCTCTAAACGATTAACAAACATGGTCGACATTTCCTCTGCCCCTCTTCTTGCCCTTCTCCTCTTTCTACTCTCACAGACCCAAATCCTACCGGCGACCAGCGCCGGCGGGAACGAAACCGATATACTGTCACTCCTCCAACTCAAATCCACACTGATAGACCCACTTGGAGCTCTGAGCTCATGGAACCAAACCCTCCATTTCTGCCAATGGCAGGGAGTAACCTGCAACAACGAAACCGAACAGAGGGTAACCCAAATCGACCTCAAGCTAAACCAGCTCAGCGGCTCCATCTCCCCACACATCGGCAACTTGTCCTTCCTAACCCACCTCATCCTCAACAACAACACCATCTCCGGCGAAATCCCGCCGGAAATCGGCCGCCTCACCCGCCTCCAGCAGCTCGTGCTAGTCCAAAACTCAATCTCCGGCACCATCCCGCCGAACCTCTCCGCCTGCTCCAATCTCACCATGTTGCGAGTCGGCAACAACGGCTTGTCCGGCGAGATCCCGACACAGCTCTGCAATCTCATGAACCTCCAGCTGCTCTCAATCCATTTCAACAACTTCACCGGAAATTTCCCCTCCTGCTTCGGCAACGTGTCTTCCCTCCAGGCGATCTCTGCGGCTCGGAATCAATTCGTCGGCGGAATTCCGGAGTCTCTGGCCAGATTGAGCAACCTAAACGTAATTTCTTTCGGGGCGAATCGATTTTCCGGTCAATTCCCACTTCAATTCTTCAACTCCACTTCCATTCAAATCATTAGCATCATTGAAAATCAGCTCTCCGGAACCCTACCTCTAGGGTTAGGGTTTACTCTGCCGAATCTGGTCCATCTCAATGTGGCTTACAACAATTTCACCGGTCGAATTCCCGAATCGATCTCCAACGCGACAAACCTGCAGGTTTTGGAGTTGGGTTACAACAATTTCCACGGCGGAGTGCCTTCATTGGCGAAGCTGAACCGGATTCAACTCCTGGGACTGATTAGCAACAACTTGGGCAGTGGAGGAGAAGGAGACGATCTGTTCTTCCTCCATACGTTGACCAACAGCACGATGCTCCAAGTGGTCAACGTCGGGATGAACAATTTCTCCGGCGTGTTGCCGCACAGCATAAGCAACTACTCCGCAACTTTCGTCAGGCTGTCTCTGCGTCTGACCCCAATGATCACCGGAACCATTCCGGCGGGGCTCGACAGGCTGGTCAACTTGGAGCAGCTGGATTTCAACGGAAACAGTCTCTCCGGCAATCTCCCGGTTGAATTGGGGAGGATCCCCAAGTTCATGACTCTTCAGGTTCAGAACAACAACCTGTCGGGAACCATTCCTTCCAATATCGGAAATTCAACCAAGTTGCTCACGGTGTGGCTGCAAGGGAATCAACTGGAAGGTGAGATTCCTTCGAGTTTCGGTCAGAGCAAGGATATGACGCTGCTGAATCTAGCAGATAACAATCTCAGTGGGGGGATTCCGCCGGAGATTCTCGATCTCCAGGAATTGAGTTTTGTCCTTGATCTTTCTGGGAACAGGTTGAGTGGCCGGATTCCTGAGGAAGTTGGGAACTTGGTCAACTTGGGTCAACTGGATCTCAGCAATAACATGCTGTCAGGTTCGATCCCGTCGAGTATAGGGAGATGTGTGAGACTGGAGACCATAAATCTGACGGGGAATTTGTTTCAGGGCTCTATCCCTTCGTCTTTTAGGGCACTCAGAGGGTTAGAAGTTCTCGACCTTTCTCGCAATAACTTGTCAGGAACGTTACCCGACTTTCTTCAGGAGTTTACATCGTTGGTCACACTCAACTTGTCCTACAACAACTTCCAAGGTGCACTGTCAATGCAGGGTGTCTTCGGGAATTCAACTACAACTTTGGTCATGGGAAACAATGAGCTCTGTGGGGGAATGCCGGAGTTTGGATTACCAAAGTGCTCCGTGGAGAGTTCAAAGAAAGGCGGTCTCAGCACGGTAGTGAAGATCATAATCTCGGTTGTAAGCTGTCTCTTAGGACTCGCTGCCCTTCTTTCATTCCTCTACTTTTGGTTCCTGAGGAAGAAAACCAAAGACCCTGAAGCAGCTTCACTCTTTACCGGTAACACACTTCTGGGGCCTACGTATAATAATCTACTCCATGCCACCGATGGGTTTTCGTCTGCTAATTTGCTCGGAGCAGGCAGCTATGGCTCTGTGTACAAGGGGATTATAGCCATAGAAGACAACAACAAGATGTTTGTTGCCGTCAAGGTGTTGAATCTTCAGCATTCCAGAGCGGTCAAGAGCTTTGTAGCAGAATGCGAGGTGTTGAAGAACATCAGGCACAGGAATCTTGTCAAGTTGCTGACTGTGTGTTCAGGAATCGACTTCCAGGGTAATGATTTCAAGGCCCTGGTGTATGACTTCATGGTTAACGGGAGCTTGGAGGAATGGCTTCATCCCAGGCTTCTTGATGAACAAGCAACAGGAAAAACAAAGGTAGAGTTGAGTCTCCTCCAAAGGTTGAACATAGCCATTGATGTAGGAACCGCACTGGATTATCTTCATAACGAGAGTGGAGTACCAGTAGTTCATTGTGATCTCAAACCTAGCAACATCCTGCTGGATGTCAATATGGTGGGACATATTGGAGACTTTGGGTTAGCAAAGTTCCTTCCACAAGTAGAGCTCAACACTCCAGCAAATAGTATGACGAGTTCTTCGATTGGTGTTAGAGGAACAGTTGGCTATAGCGCGCCAGGTAAAAAGCTTTCTTTCGCCTTTTATTTCCTTTGTGCCATCATCTTTTTCTCTGCCATTTGCTTTATCTGTATTTGGCGAAACTTGCAGAGTACGGAATGGGGAGTGAAGTTTCTACCCACGGAGATGTGTACAGCTATGGCATTCTGTTGCTGGAGATGTTCACAGGGAGAAGGCCTACCGATGAAACGTTCAAAGATGGGTTGAATCTCCATAACTTTTCAGCAGCAGCTTTGGCTGATAAAGCAACAGAGATCGTAGATCCCACTGGGCTTCTGGAGAGACAAGACGACAGCAGCAGCAGTAGATCGAGCGACGATCATAGCAAGAATGAAACGCAGAAGGTGTCGACGGAGGCAGTGGTTTCGATTATACAAGTTGGGGTTGAATGTTCAAATGAAATGCCAAGAGAACGAATGAGCATCAGTGATGCTGCAACTAAGCTAACAGCAGTGAGGGACAAACTTGTTAAAGCTAGAATGTAGTGAAGAGACATAATTATGCCCAGAAAAGTGGTCACAATAACAGGACAATAGCATTTCGTTGCTACTTTTGATGTATCTGAATGTATATGATATTGTACAAGTAATCTGATGAGGGCAACTGAACAATTGTTTCTCGGCAGCATCATCGAATCCAACCTTTGCTGTATCAAGTCAACTTCTCCCTAACTGAATGAGAAGTCAAAGAAATGGCGCCGCCACCAACTTGCAATAGTGATTCCGAAACAGAGTGGGTGAAGCATTACCCTTATCTTATTGGCAGGCCCCTTTCTTTCGCTGTCGAATATCTTCTTCGCTGTGTATGATCACATCTGCGCAAATCCGAAACCTCTGCCCACTTGTTTTCTTCCTTTCCCTACAGTTCTCTTCTCATTCAACTTCTCTTAGGCCATTGACTTTCTTCCATATCCCAATCTAATGATGATCAAATCTTGATTCTTTTCTTCCACTACAGAAAAAGATTGATTCTTTATTATAACCGAGACCATAATTTCGCCCAAGACAGGACTTAGTTGTGATAAAGGGCTAGAAATGGAAGACTGATTCTTTAACCCTTGTACACACTTGCAAACCTGTAATCACCAACTAAAAGAAGCAAACATATGCCCACCTTGGTTGACATTTCCTCCTCTCGCAGACATATAATAGGCCGGTGACCGAAGCGGGCAGCAACGAAACCGACGGAGGATCACTTCTCCAACTCAAATCAACACTGATAGACCCAATGGGAGCTCTGAGCTCATGGAACCAAACCCTCCACTTCTGCCAATGGCAGGGCCTAATCTGCAACAATGAGAAAGAACAGAGGGCTAACCCATCATCATCATCATCATCCCCGCCGTGTCCTTCCCAGTTCAATCATTGCCGACGATCTTTCTCCAGTTCATTGACTTGCAAAAAGACAGAAGAGAAGGCAGACAAACGTAATCAAGAAATGGTAAAAAAGGGGAAATGAGTGTGAAAGGAAACCCGCCCTAATCTGGAAAGGAATGGAAATCCGCAGTTTCACAGTTTGTGTTGAATAGTGAATATATTAACATAAAATATTAGGCAAGTACCAAACCAACCAACAACCCACTTGCATATATATAAACAAAGTTAAGATATGCATCTATAAGCTGGGAATCGATTCCTCTGCTCATGGTATTTGACATTCAATGAATTCAAGAGCCCCCTTTCGTCAACCCTTCAATGTAGTAATGGTCACTCTGTTCCCATAGTTCAACCTGCAAGGAGTTTCAGTGTTTCACAGCACGCCAATACGGACGCCAGCAGGGCTTCAACTGGGTTAGAATTTCGGCGCCTCTCTGCGGATTAAGTAAATCATTCCCTAACTTCTCTTCCCCATTGAATTTGTTCATCCTCCTAGTCCAGTGATCATAATTTCATAACCATAAGAGATCGGCTTCCCACGTGTGTTTGTTCATCTCGCTAGTGTATTTAATCATTCTGCACACAACAAACCTCTAAAGAAAAGAAAAATGCCCACCTTGGTTCACATTTCCTCTGTCCCACTTCCTGCCCTTCTCCTTCTTCTACTCTCACTCTCCCAGATCCATATTCAACCGGCGACCGCTGCCGGCGGCAACGAAACGGACAGACTAGCACTTCTCCAACTCAAGTCAGCACTAATAGACCCACTGGGAGCTCTGAGCTCATGGAACCAAACCCTCCATTTCTGCCAATGGCAGGGAGTAACCTGCAACAACGAGACAGAGCAGAGAGTGACCCAACTCAACCTCGAGTTAAACCAACTCAGCGGTTCAATCTCCCCACACGTTGGCAACTTGAGCTTCCTAACCCACCTCGTCCTCAACAACAACACCATCTCCGGCGAGATCCCGCCGGAGATCGGCCGCCTCCGCCGCCTCCAGGATCTCGTCCTGGCCCAAAACTCCATCTCCGGCACGATCCCTGCAAACCTCTCCGCCTGCTCGAATCTCACCATGTTGCGAGTCGGTTACAACGGCTTGACAGGAGAAATCCCAATCGAGCTCTGCAATCTCATGAACCTCCAGCTGCTTTCAATCCATTTCAATAACCTCACCGGAAAATTTCCTCCCTGCTTCGGCAACTTGTCTTCCCTCCAGGCGATCTCCGCGCCGAGGAATGAGTTCTTCGGCGGGATTCCAGAGTCTCTGGCCTGGTCCAGAAGCCTAAGAATCGTTTCTTTCGGCGCGAACCGATTTTCTGGTCCGTTCCCGCTTCAGTTCTTCAATTCGTCTTCAATTCAGGCGATCAGCGTCATGGACAATCAACTCACCGGAACCCTCCCGCCAGAATTGGGATTTACTCTGCCGAATCTGTTCCATCTGAACTTGGTTCTCAATAATTTCACCGGCCGAATTCCTGACTCGTTGTCCAACGCAACAAACCTGCAAATTTTCGACCTTGGTCACAACAATTTCCATGGCGGAGTTCCTTCTCTGGCGAAACTGAACCGGATTCAATTCCTGGGAATGATGAACAACAGCTTAGGACATGGAGGTAAAGATGGCGTGGACGATCTTCTCTTCCTTGATTCTCTAACAAACAGCTCGTTTCTGGAAGTGGTCAACGTCGGGATGAACAATTTCTACGGGAAGTTGCCTCACAGCATAAGCAATTACTCAACGACTTTCATCAGGCTGGCGCTAATGCTAACCCCGGGGATTACAGGAACAATTCCGCCGGGACTTGATAAGTTTATCAACTTGGAGCAGCTGGATTTCAACGACAACAATCTCTCCGGCGAAATTCCTGTTGAATTGGGGATGCTACCTAAGTTGATGACACTTCAGATTCAGAACAATAACTTGACAGGAAAAATTCCTTCCAATATTGGCAACGGGACCAAATTGCTCCATGTTTGGCTGGAAGGGAATCACCTGGAAGGCGAGATTCCTCCGAGCTTCGGGAAATGTCAGGATTTGTCGGCGCTGAGTCTCGGGGAGAACGAACTCAGCGGTGAGATTCCGGTGGAGATTCTCAACCTCCCGGCCTTGGGTTTGGTTTTCAACCTCTCCTGGAACAGGTTGAGTGGCCGGATTCCTGATGAAGTTGGGAACTTGGTCAACTTGGGCGAACTCGATCTCAGCAATAACATGCTGTCAGGTTCAATCCCGTCCAATTTGGGGAAGTGTGTGAGATTGGAGACCCTGAACCTGATGGGGAACTTGCTTCAGGGCCCTGTCCCTTCATCTCTTAGGGAGCTCAAAGGTTTGGAAATTCTGGACCTTTCTCGCAACAACTTGTCAGGAGAAGTACCAGACTTTCTCCAGGAGTTCACCTCGTTGGTGACCCTCAACTTGTCCTACAACCATTTCCAAGGTCCTCTGTCGACGCAGGGAGTTTTCAGGAATGCAACTAAAGCTTTGGTCATGGGAAATAATGAGCTCTGTGGGGGAATGCCTGAGTTTGGATTACCAAAGTGCTCCGTGGAGAGTTCCAGGAAAGGCGGTCTCAGCACGATAGTGAAGATCATAATCTCAGTTGTAAGTTGTCTCTTAGGGCTCATTGCTCTTCTTTCATTCTTGTACTTTCGGTTCCTGAGGAAGAAAACCAAAGACCCTGAAGCAGCTTCACCCTTTACTGGGAACACACTTCTGGGGACTACATATCATAATCTACTCCAAGCAACCGATGAATTTTCGTCTGCTAATTTGCTCGGAGCAGGCAGCTATGGCTCTGTGTACAAGGGGCTTATAGCCATAGATGACAACACCAAGATGTTTGTTGCTGTCAAGGTGCTGAACCTTCAGCATGCCAGAGCGTTCAAGAGCTTTGTAGCAGAATGCGAGGTGTTGAAGAACATAAGGCACAGGAATCTTGTCAAGTTGCTGACCGTGTGTTCAGGAATCGACTTCCAGGGTAATGATTTCAAGGCCCTGGTGTATGAGTTCATGGTTAATGGGAGCTTGGAGGAATGGCTTCATCCCGGGCTACTTGATGAACATGAAACAGGAAGAAGGGAGGAGTTAAGTGTCCTCCAAAGGTTGAACATAGCTATTGATGTTGGTACTGCATTGGATTATCTTCATAACGATAGTGGAGTACCTGTGGTTCACTGTGATCTCAAGCCTAGCAATATCTTGCTGGATGTCAATATGATGGGACATATTGGTGACTTTGGGTTAGCAAAGTTTCTCCCACAAGTGGCGCTCAGCAGCCCAGCAACAAGCTCTTCAATTGGTGTTAGAGGAACAGTTGGTTATAGCGCACCAGGTAAAAAAGCTTTCGCTTCTTTTCGCTTTTTCCTCATCTTGGTCTTGTTTTACTGTCTGCTTGATCTGGATTTGTGGAAACTTGCAGAGTACGGGATGGGTAGTGATGTATCGACCAGTGGAGATGTGTACAGCTACGGTATTCTGTTGCTGGAGATGTTCTTAGGGAGAAGGCCTACAGATGAAACGTTCAGAGATGGGTTAAATCTCCATAACTTTGCAGCAGCTTTGGGTGATAACGCAGCAGAGATCATTGGTCTCATTGTTGTTCCAGGAAGAGAAGAGGACAACAGCAGCAGATCAAGCCACGATCATAGCAAGAAGGAAAAGCAGAAGGTGTTGATGGAGGCAATGGTTTCGATAATACAAATTGGGGTTGAATGTTCAAATGAAATGCCAAGAGAAAGAATGAGTATAAGTGATGCTGCAACTAAGCTAGCAGCAGTTAGAGACAAACTGGTGAAAGCTGGAATGTAACCAAGAGACATAATTAGTAACAGTTTTAGCATTGACTGGTTCCAAGTTTCTCAGGAAACTTTTGATTATACACAAAACTCATTTTGACATCAACCTTGCTTGATGTTCTTTGTTCCACAGTTCAACCCATTTCCATGGATTCCCTTTCGGATAAGAATCCGGTTTTGTAGAGGAACAAAAAGAACATTAATAATACATATGATAGATATACACAAAATCCTCCCTCTATCATATACGCAGCTTTCCCATCTTTACAGAGGTATTGTAGCGCCTGAGAGCACCCAAAACTGCAATGTAGCTCATTTATTGCTGGACAATAATAAACTCTTCTTATGGAGCAGAAAGTAAAAGGATGTTATGAATTACCTCAATACATGGAGCACATTAACCAAGATACCGTAGCAAGACTCCATCATTTCCTAGAACGAACCCTTGATTTCCCTCCATAAACCTGCCATGCAAGCAAGCGTTAGTTGCTCAAAGCTAGAAGAGATGGATGATATTAATTAATACCCCACAGTAATTCATAAATCATAAGGTTTTACTCACTTCACGGAGTAAAGATTTGCAGCAATATTGTCGGCTGCCTTGTCTCGAATCCATGACTTGCCTCCATTGGTGGTTCTCAACAAAACCCCACTGCCTCCTGCTGCCCAAGCCTCTTCCTGCATGGAGAAAACATTCATAAATGATAAACACAGAGGTGAAATTCCAAATGGAAGATCAAAGCCTAGCAGCTCTCATTTTGATTGCGTTTTGTATACTGAAAATCCTACAGCAGTTCTGGAAGAAGAAAAGTGTCGTAGAGCATGGCTTTTTTATTCACTACTGAAACATGAAAGCCTGAAAATCTCGAAAACACACTAACCTGAGAGCGGTAGCCAACATCAAGAATGCCAAAACCACGACTTTGAACGGGGATTTCCTCAAAATCCTCTGTTATCTGGTAATAACGAATAACAAACTTGTGCATCAAGAAGAGCCAGAAATGACCAGACCAGGAAAGAAATGGGGAAATGAAGGAAAAGGGTAGGTAGCATTCAACAAAAGACCATCAGTCATGGACCAAGAACATATATCACAAAACTTAAAACTATATGAGAATTTGATGAGTCAATTCCTTTTTACTTACCCCAGTCCCCTTGCTGAGATAAAGTCCTCCTCCACGAACGAGAAGCCAAAGACCCCCATCAGCTCTCCAACCCATGTTCTGAATCCTTCTTGCCACTGCTCTATTATGTGGCTGCCAGAATGCCTGCACCCAATTGTGGAGAAATACCGAATTTATTTAAGATGATGATTGATTGATTGCCCTACTTCCCAAGAAACCAAATCAAATGTCGGAATGAAAAATGCTCCAGAGTCTAATCTTGAGATGGACAGCAGAACTATAAGTGAGGAAAAAGCTGTCACCTGACCAGGCTCCCATGTCATATAGAAGTTGCCCCGACTGGAGACAGCAACATATCTCCCATCCGGTGACCGGTTAACAGTATTGAAGCTTCCTGTGTAATAACTTGCACCACTAATACCACTAGAAACTGTTCTGCAAAAGAATAGAAGCCGCATGAACATCTTCACCATTACTAAGTTGAACAGTTTCCCGCAGCAGTCTTAATTATTGTAGCTTTACACGGGGCAAGCAATACCAGAAATCCATCTACCTATTCAGTGTAGCTGACACAGTCTCCTGAACTGCAGCCTTCCAGTTATAGCCCCTATTCGACGTAACATAGATAGCCCCTTCGTCAGTAACCATCTCTGCACTTTGATCTCCTGTTGCCTTAATGTATACCTGGATAGAAATTAAAATCTAAATTGTCAAATTTGGAACACAAAATCGACATTTGAGATAGAACACAACACCATTCCAGAACTCACCATGTCTCCGGGGAGCTGAGCACTCAGCGGTATCCTTTTCCAGGTTTCGCCGGCATCAGGCGTGTACAACAAAATCGCCGGCTTACCAACAATCCAGCCTTCGTTTCCTTTGAAGCTAATGGAATTAAACCTGTAATTGAAGTCTTCTTCCTCGGCTGAAGCTATGGATCGCGGAAACCAAGTGGCTCCCCCATCTTTCGTCTCCAGAAGAGTCTGCCTTGTCCCCAATACGAACCCTATAGGTGAAACCAAGCATGGAATTCAATTCAATTTCGACAATTTTCCAACAAATTGAAACCTTAGCGCGAGAGAGAGAGAGAGGGAAAGAGACCGTGTGTTGGGTCATCGGGGACAAATGCAATGTCGAGGAGGACGACGCCGGGGTCGATAGGGAGGTAAACTCTTTCCCATTGAGAAAGCGCCTCGTCAGCTACTGCTGGACTCTGATCGATGAGCGTGAGAGGAGCTGTGGCAGCGACAATGGCGGCGGTTTGTGAAATGAACTGCCGCCGGTTGAGCTGGATACGGTGCTGGTCTTGGGATTCGTTCAGGCAAGCTCTCGGAGGCAGTGGAAAGGAACGGTGAGCAGGCTGGTGATTTTGGGAGTTCGATCGGAGAAGGAAAGAGGCGTTGGTTGTGGTGAAGGGAGACGTTACGGACGCCATTGTTGCTCGAAAGCTCTCCTCTTCTGTTCGTTCCTTTTTCCCTCTTCTTATCCTGTGGTGTCTTGTCAAAAAAAAAAAAAAAAAAGATATCCTGTGGTGTGGTTGGTTAGCATCAACGGCTACGCGGGTGATTCAAAGCGTCTCACTGATTTGCCACGTGTACTAGCCCAGATGCCCTAACATTTTTAGCCCAATAGAAGAAGATTGCTGCTTCATTGGGCTTTCTTTCGCCATCTCCAGCCCATATACTCTAGAAGGAGCATTACTTTCCAATTTCGCACCCCCATTTGTTTATAGTGGAATAGTAGGGGTGGCTATACGGTCCGGTTCGGTTTGATTAAATTGACCCAAATTGATCAGGTTTTTTCGTGAATATAAGGATTAAATATTGGATTTGATACAGTTTGATCTTTATCCTGTCCCAATTTGATTTTGATTTTAGATTGAACTTGTGGGATTTAAGTGGTTTTAGGCCTCAAAAGGTGAGGAGTTGGTTAAATTTTGGGTGTTGAGCTCTCGTATCCAGTTTTCAGTCCGGTCCCGAACGATTTTTACCTCAAATCTATGCCCGAACATGGAATTAGATTGTTTGCTATCCGGTCCGGTCTTGGTCCGGGTTATATGGTCTAGTTTCGGGTACAACCAAAAAACTCGGACCAAATAGCCAGCCCTATGGAATAGTGCTTACCACAAGTGCAAGTGTAGAAGTGGTGGTTGATCAGAGTTTAGGGGTTTGACCTGAGAATTACTAGTCGTTTGCTTTGTGGATTTGAAAAATGAAGGTTTTAGTAAAACTTGGATTTTGTAAAACCATAGCTATATGAGGGTTTTGGATTCATTATGAACTTGAAAAATACCATTGTTTGCTTCGTAGATTTCATAATGGAATTGGTTAATTAGATTTGTATGTATGAAATGAAATTTACCTTTATAACCCTCATTGGTATGAGAAGAGAAATGAAATGGGAGGGGTATTTAGGTCGTAAATGATAGAATTGATTAAAGTCCATGATCAATTCCTATATAAAGTGGTGGAACTTTCAATGTCTATGGGGTCCATGGATTTAGACCCTTAAAGTTCGTGAGCCCCACAGATTTGTTGCTCCTAAATATATGAAGCAAACAATGAATTTTGGACAAAGTCCATGATGGATCCAAATCTATCACAAAATCTATCAAGCAAACAACGAGTTTAATAATTATGTGGTGGATTTTAATGACGTGGGTGGGTCGAGTTTGATGGGTTTTGTGTGAAAAATTAGGTGATTGGACATTTTTTTAGTCATGTAACAAAAAACTGACTTCATTAACAAAAGCTAATCAAAGATAGTATACAATGATCAAACTTGAATTGTTCAATTAATTTCAGAAAGCACATATAAAATAAAATGTTTTTAGTCACTACACTTACAGATCGCTTGGTATCAAATGAATCGAGAATTCATTTTATTGTAAAATGAATTACTGTGTAGAATTCATTGTCAAATGAAATATTGTGTTTGGTAAGTCATATTCAAATCGTTAGAAATAAAATAAATTATTGTGTAGAATTCATTGTCAAATGAACACATGTGTTTGGTATGTCATATGTATAAGTAATTCAGTTAATAAAAGAGAGTAATTGTATCATTATATTATAATTAGTAAATACTTGTGGAATTCATTTGAAAATTCCATCTCAATTATTCAGAATTGCTATAACTAGTTTCATTAAGTTTCATATAATTTAAAATTTAGAATTGAAAATAAATTCTTTTATAAACCAAATACAAAAAATATCATATCAGAATGAATTTATCAAAACTTATAAAATTTATTTGGGTAAATGCAATATATTATCCATAACTATTAAGTAGCGGGGAATTATAGCCACAATTATCGAAATACAAATTATTAGCCATAACTATTGTTGTGGGCCAAGATTTGGCTAACAGCCCGTTACTGTTTTCAAATTTTTAACGTAGAAGGTCATGTCAGCATCGTAAAAAATATGATATGATGACTGCCACGTGGGAGCCAGCTCACCATCGTAAAAGTTTAGTCATCATTACTAACAGAAGTGTTAAGGAAAACTTAACGATTGACTAATAATTTGTATTTCGATAGTTGTGGCTATAATTCTCCGCTGCTTGATAGTTATGACTAATATATTGTATTTGCCCAATTTATTTATATCAAACTTAAAAAATTGTATAATCTGCATACAAAATTCTCAATTTAGAACAAATTTGACGGGGAAGTAAAACGGAATTCCAAGCGGCGGTTTCACTGCCCCACTTTCTCATTATTCGTGTCACAATTCAGGAAAACATCCCTGATTCAAGTTTCCAGCTTTCATCTCATTTCATCAAAATCCTTATCAGATTCATTATTCTTAATAACTTCCTCTCGCCGCGGATCTGAATTCACTGCATCGCAAATCATCGTCTCCAATCGTACCGGGAAAGCTTGCGACGATCCCCTTCCCGAACAATGGATCTTCCCACCACGGCTGCGCCGCTGGTTCGCTCTCCCATGGTTCGGAAGCTAACCTCCGTCTTGTTCGGTTATCCTCTTTTCTCTTCTTCTGCTGCGTTCTTAATATATAGAAGCTCGATCTTGTGATGTTCCGAATTCCCATCATTGTAATGCTCAACAGCTGGAGGTAGTCGAAGCTTGAAAGCCAGCATTTTGCTGTTTCCTATTTCCTTCCAGATCACTGGACTGTAATGAACACAGAGCATTGGGGTCGAGCTTTGATTGACGAGGAATTTGGAATCGGAGTTGATCTCTTAGTTCCATTTCTCTAGGATGCAATTTCTAATACAGTTTCGGTCTATGTGCTCCATTGCAGGATAATGTTGATTGACATAGAGGTTTCAAGGGAAATTGGTTCAAATTGTAGAGGATTATAAGGAAAAAATAACTTAAGATCGCATTCAGGTGGTCTGCAGTGATGCTGCCGAGTAGATTCTCTTTGTTCGGTGGCGGCGGGGTTCAAGACAAGGGAAGAAGTTCTTCTGTTGATGGCATGAAAAGTGAGCTAGTGCCGACCTTTAAGCTTCAAACTGATAGAGATGTATATAGGCCTGGTGATTCCATTTTTGTTACTATTGAGATAAGTAATCCCTGTGATGGAGCTGCTCAACAAGGCATGCCTGCGGCATCACTCTTAATTGAAAGGCTTGGGTTCGAAATTAAGGGGATAGAGAAGTTGGATAACCAATGGTTTGCTACTCCAAAGCCTGTCTCTGGATCCAGGCAAAGAAGAGGTTCGTATTGGTCTTTGCACTTTGCACAGAATCTACTATTTTCCCCCCTGAATTTGGATGCTACCTGGAATTATATCCCACGGATACTTGTGTTTGTTTCTAGAAGTTGTCAGTTGCCGTGCTCACTGTCTAGCTATTTTTTATGAGATTGAACGAGAGTGTCTTGCTTTCAACCTTTCAGGTGAACATGTTTTCATGGACTGCTCAACATCCTCACTAGTTTCCAATCATGTCGTATCCTCTGGTGCTACCAAAACATGTAAGTTTGGTTAAGTAGTATGGTACCCTGTATTGGCGATTGTATATGTGTAAATACGAAAGATGTTGATGATGTACTACAACCTAGATGGTTACATCCCTGTTCTCTTAATGACCCCGTATGCTGTTTAACGATTTATGGGGTTAGCCTTCGTTCATGCATCAACATGGTACCTTTCTTCTTGATTTCATATTTATTTTGGGAGTATGAGACTGAATCTGTTGCCTTGAATACCTTAGTTTTGATGCTTCTTCCTTGACAGTGGAATTCAAAGAATGTAGCTACTGTTCTACCCTGCCAGAGTTTACACTAAAGCAATCAATTATTACCTTCAAGATCTTCTCCACTGTTGGAACTTACTGATACGCGAATACCACAACAGACTCTAAGTTGTTGCTTCTCCATGAATTAGGGAACATAACAATCTTATTTTGCTAGCGAGGAACTAAACATATATTGCGTATTTTGTATGAGTTGATGGACTGATTTGGCAAGTCGATGCAAATGTCCAGATGTTATTCGTACAGTTCTTCCAAGCACGATACCTCCATCTTACAGAGGTGCCACCATTCGATATATGTACTATGTTAAGGGTATGCTATCTGCACGATGGCTGATACTGGACAATGGCCACTCCCGGAAGGAGTCAAGGAATGACCTTATTTTCCTAGTGAGTTATATTTGGTGTCTTACTCATACAGAGATTCTGAAATTTGATTTTTCCTAACTTCGTGATGATTTCCATATAGAATTTCTTTTTATATGTGATATCCTATAAAAAATATCCCACATTAGTTCTCAAGATAGCTCGCCTTTTGTCTTAGCATAATGCAATTTTATGGGTTACAGATATATGGTTTTCCTAGTTTACAAGTGGCCTAATAATGTTCACTAACCCAACGGGGATATGTTCAATTCCTGGCAGGAAGCTCGTAATCCATTGCAAGTATGGGTGGCCCAAAAAAACAATGGCTTGACAGTGGAAGAAGGTCCAAATGAGGGTCAGTATGCTCACCCTCGAGTATTTGTCTCTGAACTGTAATTAATCTTTTGAAGATAGTGAAATATTGGAACCACGAAGTTAATGATTTTCCTGTTTTCATGATTTGATTTCTCTAAGGGTGGTAGTATATTGAGAGAAGGCTAATACAAATAGTATATCATTTCAATACTCAACCTTGAGGGATATATATAAAAATTATTTTTGCAGGTTTTCCATAGAGTACAAAGATGTATGGCGAGGGATTATGCCTCATAAGGTTTCTGGTTACGTTGTTAGATTTTCATTAAGTTCTCTTCCTTTCTGCAGGGATTGTTCCAGCCAATATAATTCAACTCGACGTATACTGGAGAGAGATGGATGGGGAATCTGAATGGGTAGGTTGTTTGTCATGCTGTTTAATTTCTTAGAAGTGTCAACTGGTGAACCAGTTTGTAATTTTCTAGCTATATTGTGGAGCCAGTTACAAAGCATTATAGCCACCACATCTACAATGAGTCAATTACTTTCCGTCAACGCAGGCCAGAGCCAATGACATAGAAGATGCACTTGAGGAAGGGTATGAAAGCTCAAGGGATGAAGTATCATCCGTTTCTTCTTACAATCCTGGCAGAGAAAGTATACACAAAACATTTGGAAGTTCCTTATCGTTGCAATCTGCTTCAGCAAGGTCTCCTACTCCGCCACTCCCTCGGCTCTCCGTGGCTGAGGTTCTATATGACCCCGCTACAGGTACTTTGACTGGTAGCATAATTTATTGCTGTATCTAACATAGTTCATAATGGCACAGAGAAATTTGGCTTCAGTTGTATGCCTTGGTAATATCTTTCATGTTTTTTCATTCTGGGTCTGCTTTGGTGGCCATTAAAGTGAACAGGAAAAATAACATTTGCAATCTTCTTTTAGGCACAAAAATAAGCATTTTCTCTTTACATTTTGTTGTCTGGCAGATTTATCATCTTCGGACAAGAATTCTGCAGTTGCCTCCCCAAGGTTGCTGCAGAAGACTGCAAAATCCCATATTGAAGATGAGAATGCAGGGGTATCTTCTGCAGCTCCAGCAAAAACTGATGAACCTGCTCCATGTAAATTATTGAAAGGCTTCTCTCCCTCTTCCCTTGTCCATTTCTCCCCACTTGATTTTGTATTTACCACGTATTTAGATTTTGAAGATGGAAATTTGAGAAATCTGATAAACTTATTCGTTGCCAACATTTTCTGCAGCAGAAGGCTTTAGTCGAGGAAGGTCATATAACATCAGGATGGATGACCGTGTCTTGCTCAGATTTTCCCCAAGGAATTCTGACTCTACTTACTACTTCAGTGATATGGTATAGCTTTCCAACACTGCTTCTACTGCCTGCATCTGTTGACTTTCCTAAACTTTTTGCTTACCCATAATTCTATTACAGATTGGTGGAACTTTAACCTTTTTCCATGAAGAAGGAGCGAGGAGATGCCTGGAGGTAATGGCCTTATAGCAGTAGAACATTATAAAATAGAACTTATTGCTTCAAATATAAATTAGAGGGAACTAATATCATCAGTTGGAGGGTTAGAATGAACTTAATCACTCTTCAAGATAACGAGTTGGGTTGGTGTGCAGGTTTCAATAACATTGGAAACTTCAGAGACTATAAGTCGGCGATCTGTTCATCCTTCTCGTAAAAATTCACCAACAATAACGAAGGCACGCTACCTGATCTTCTGCAACGTATCTTGTAATTTTTTTCTTCAATTTGGGCATTAGTATCCAACTATATTGACAAATTTTTGTTTGTGGGGAGTGTAGGTTCAGAGTGATCATCATGAGGTTGTTGCAGATTTGCAGCAGACAAGCTTTCTTTTCTCGATCCCCATGGATGGGCCGATGTCATTTTCCACGCCCCGTGTCGCTGTACAATGGGCTTTACGATTTGAATTCTTCACCACCCCAAAGAATGTTGACTGGAGAAAGTATGTATGACCGACCTCTTCTCAGGAGATGTTGACATTGGTGACTTCCTTTGGTATAAAACTACAAGAGTAGTACTTGATTCAGTTAGTAGGAAGAGTCCTAACTCAGCATTGTTTTCTTTTGCCTCCCAAATCAACAGATATGAGCATCCACTCCTGATCGAAGGGAGAGACAAGAGTGACTGGGTTCTGCCTATCATAGTGCACGCAACTCCTCCAGCGGCTCAAGCAGCCCATGCCCGGAATGAGAAGCTGTTTTCTCTGGACCCATTATGGGTTCAGACTTGAATTTAGGTAATGCGAAAGGTTAGAACTGTCTCGTATATTCAAGCGAGCTTCGGGTTATAAGTTACTGTACTTTGGGGCACCCTGGTTGATTCTCAAGTCAGTAACCTTAATGTGGTTTTTTTTGGCTGCAGGGTGGTATCGATCTTCTGCAAACATGACCCTCGAGAGCTACAGACAAAGCTTTCAGATTCAGATTGTGCAGTCCGGCTACTTACTGCATTTGTCATGTGGAAAGTCGCCTTCAAGAAGCCAACGCCAGTCGTCGGTCTGTATATCCAGTCCAGGTGAAAATAGAATCGGTTGCCCGTTTAAACGTTCATATAATTTTGTAAACGTTAGCAATGGCAGGAAGGAAGCCATTCCATTGGTTGGATCCTTAGCCAAACAAAGCCTTCGTCTTCGTTTCCTACGTTGTTCTCTTTATCCAGCTGGGGAATGTATTGCAGATTTTCATAAACAGTTATCCAGAGCTTCGTGTGCTTCCTTTCGCTTTTCTATTAGATGATTTCTTTTCGATTTATGGGGTCATTTGGATGCAGGTTTTGGGTGTGGGATTTGGGCACAATCCTACATAATGTGGGATTTTATTAAAATCACTCGTTTGGAAAGCAATTATATGATAAGAGATTTTAAATATTAGAGATTTCAGAAACCCACAATTGTGGGATTATGAAATAGCTGATGGTGATCAGCTATTTTAAAATCCCACACAAATCCTACAAATTAAAAACCTAGGTTTTTAAACAAGTGATTTGAGCCAAAATCCCACAAATTAAAAACCTAGATCCAAATGACCCCTATACGATTTTTTTTTTTTTGGTGTAACTAAAATTCATATAAACAATTGTCAAATCCTCCCTCGATTGATACGTACAAACAATCCAGAATCACCAACAAGACAATTATTTATTTTTAATAAGTGGAGTTTCAGTAAGTCTTCCTTAACCGTATATCAACCTATAAAAAAGTAGTAGCTAATCTATAAAAATCATGAAATCTACCTATTTGAACCTCTCGTTTATTCTACGGATGTTTCACGCTGTGTCATGCCATGTATTATAGGAAATTGAAATGAAAATAAATCAAGAGCACAAGACGACGATTTACGTGGTTTACTCGTTTATTGCGAACTGGACTAGTCCAGTGAGAACATAGACTCCGGTTTAGTTTTGTTTTTTGAGTATTATTTCTTCTGCACAATAGATGAGCTCTTTTGCCTTCTATAAGCCGAGCCTTATTCACCGAATAAAATCAAACTAACTTTACTGATCAACAAATCAACTGATCGACAAATGTGGAAGCTTAAATGTGCAACCGGGCTCCAAAATGTGCCTGCCACACATTTGTTCTGACAATATGGAAAATCAAGAAACAAATTGTACATTTTTTTCTGTCAATTTGCTCTTTTTCGTATTTAAAATTTGCATCATCTCCCCTACTTACGGTGGTAAAAAAAAACCCAGAAATTCATTTAGGTTAATTTTGACTCCGTCACCTCCCACTATATTTAAACAACCGAATCACATTGGTTTATGTCCCCGATTAACTCTTCTTCTCCTTCTCTTCCCTTCCTCCGTCTTCCCCATTCTCTGGTGTTCCCTCATTTCTCCGGTCAGCCATGGCTTCCCTCCACGATTTCGTCAACCTCGACCTCTCCGACACCACCGAGAAGATCATCGCCGAGTACATCTGGTTCGTTCTCTATCCCCTCCCCAATTTCTAATAACAATTTCAATCTTCCACTCCGAATAAAACGCAATGTGATTGATCCTCACGTCGGCCTTCTTTTCCTCCAGGGTTGGTGGATCTGGTATGGACATGAGGAGCAAAGCTAGGGTGGGTTTGATACTTTGATTCCTTTTTTCCCCAGTCAATTTTTTTTAAAATTTCTCGCTTTGGTTCGGTTTTCTGATCGCCCCTGTTTCGGTTCCACAGACTCTGCCCGGACCAGTGACCGACCCGTCCGAGCTACCCAAGTGGAACTACGACGGCAGCTCCACCAACCAAGCCCCCGGCGATGACAGCGAAGTCATCCTCTAGTACGTCCTGCCTCCTCCGGCCTCCTTCTTTTTTTTTTTTTAGCTCTCCGGCGATGAATTTTTAATTTGGGATGTTTTGTTTGTGTTGGGTGGTCCGGTTTGACTCGGTTTTAGTCCACGAGCGATCTTCAAGGATCCCTTCAGAAAGGGAAACAACATCCTGGTAAAAAAAAAACTCACGATTCTCTCGTAATAATTAATCACTTCATTAATCGTTAATTAGTTGAATTGTAATTGATAAATTTGCTATTAATTATAGGTCATATGCGATTCATACACCCCGGCCGGCGAGCCAATCCCAACCAACAAGCGGGCCAAAGCTGCCGAGATCTTCAGCAACCCCGACGTTGAAGCCGAGGAACCATGGTAACTATCTTATTCCTATAATACGAGTGGTATTATGTTATACAATGAAACCGTTATGAACATTATTAAATAGATATTAATATTCCGACATTTGTATTGTTAGGTTCGGGATCGAGCAGGAGTACACACTTCTGACGATGAGCAAGTGGCCTCTTGGCTGGCCCGAAAATGGCTACCCTGGCCCCCAGGTATCTATAGCTTCTCCCCCAAGAAATCTCGTTTCGTAACAAGTTCGTTTCTTTTCGCAATGTACATTTTTTTTTTAAAGTTTTTGTGTGTGTGTGTGTAGGGACCTTACTACTGCGGAAATGGAGCTGACAAGGCATTCGGAAGAGACATCGTCGACGCTCACTACAAGGCCTGCTTGTACGCCGGAATCAACATCAGTGGGATCAACGGCGAGGTCATGCCCGGCCAGGTATATATATATATACAATACACCCAACCCACTCTAGCTTAATTCCTTGAAACGCACGCCACCTCAAATATGTACTTTCTTGTCTCCTTCAGTGGGAATTCCAAGTTGGACCTTCTGTCGGCATTTCTGCTGGTGATGAGGTCTGGGCCGCTCGTTACATCCTCGAGGTAATTAATCATCTCTTCGTCACTTTACCCACAGTGTATATCTGTGTCATTCTTGTTAACGATGTGGGTTTTCCCCCCGAACAGAGGATTACTGAAATCGCAGGAGTTGTGGTCAGCTTCGACCCTAAGCCAGTTCCGGTATGTGACCTCGTACCATTTTGCTTTTTCTTTCTTCTGCTAGCCACGACGACGTTGGTTGGTTCATCATGTCGATTAGCGTGACGACGAGAATGTCTTGAATCTTTTTTGTCTAGGGTGATTGGAACGGCGCTGGTGCTCACACTAACTACAGGTTTGTGTTGTGCCCCTATACCTTGACTGGAACTAGTTGTGTACTTGTTTTGTGTTGAGTCGGATTTGTTGTACTGTTGTGTAATGTCGTAACGCGCGCAGTACCAAGTCGATGAGGGGCGACGGTGGTATCGATGTGATCAACGCCGCGATCGAGAAGTTGGAAGCCCGCCACACCGAGCACATCGCTGCTTATGGCGAGGGTAACGAGAGACGATTGACCGGCAACCATGAGACTGCTAGTATCAACCAATTCACTTGGGTATACGTCTTGCATTCTTGTCCTTTCTTCTTGCTGAACCGTTTCTACGGAGATGTCGGAATGTTGATTCAATGTCTGCGCGCGGATTTTTACAGGGTGTAGCCAACAGGGGAGCGTCGGTTCGTATCGGTCGCGACACCGAGAAGCAAGGAAAAGGTTACTTCGAGGACAGAAGGCCGGCTTCCAACATGGATCCCTACGTTGTCACATCCATGATCGCCGAGACCACCATTCTCCCTGCAGCTTGAAAACAACAACCCTAATCAAACAATTGTTTCTCTTCTTGTAAAATTGACACATTTGAAAATCAATTTTGTCTTATTAATGGTCTCCTTTTCCGATTTCGAGTCGGGTTGGGTCAGGTAATTTATCCCGGTTCGATTTGGTCAACGGGATTTTTTTTTCCTTTCTGTTTTCTTTTTCAGCAATTTCTTTCTACGGTAATAATAATAATTAAAAAAATCCAATTTTGTTTTTTCCCTAAAACACCCCATTGTCGGCGGCGTCGTATTATGCATGCAAATGAATCATCCGCAACCTCGCCACGTGTCACCACCTCACTCCACGTGTCCCTCTGCTTTCCGCTATATATGTCTCTTATCAATCTCCCCATCTCTCTCTCATCTCCGACACTTTCACAATGGCTGACCACCGTCGGCACGATTACTACGGCCGTGAAGATCAAGACCAGTACGGCGCCGGCGGCATGATGAAGAGCATGCTGCCGGAGCGCGGACCTTCGACTCAGCAGATTCTAGCCGTGGTCACGCTCCTGCCGCTGGGCGGGTTCCTGCTGCTGGTAGCGGGCCTCGTGTTCGCGGCGACGCTGATCGGGCTCGCGGTGGCGACGCCGGTGTTCGTGATATGCAGCCCGGTGATCGTGCCGGCGGCGCTGGCGATCGGGATGGCGGTGATGGGGTTCCTGACGTCCGGTGCGTTCGGGATCACGGCGCTGTCGTCGCTGTCGTGGATGGCGAACTACATTCGCCGGACGAGGGTCGGGGCGGTGGTGCCGGAGCAGATGGAGCATGCGAAGCGGCGGGCCCAAGATGTGGCGGGCCAGGTGGGGCAGAAGGCTCGGGATGTGGGCCAGGCTGTTCAGGGGAAGGCCCAGGATGCCAGCAGGGGTGTCCAGGAAGGTGTTGGGTCCAGGAGCCCTGGGCGTACTTGAAATGAATGAGAGGGCTTTATTATAGGGAGCAGTTTCTTGGGGTGCCCTTTCTCAAGGCTGTATGTATTTTCATTTTGAGTTGGTCATTTTGGGTGTTTCTATATATGTCTCTATGAGCTTCTTCGTGTTGTATACTTCTATGTGATAACTGAAAATCTGGAATAAATTATTGTCAGAGAGAGAATCTGAAATAAATTTGTGTATTTGGATGAGGGTATTGAATTGGATGTTTGGGTTCAATTTCATGAGATTGGCTCCTTGTTTAGAAGGGTTGGCATTTGAAAATGTCACCATTTTCATATGGTGACCCCAGATGCCAGGTTGTCAATACGGTTTAGTCCAGGCCCAATCGAGTCGCCAGGTTGTTAATTTGGTCTAGAAGAAGTCAGCGGTAGATGACGATGAGTGGAATATCCTGAAGGAAAAGGCCCACTCGAGACTCGACCATCATGCTATCGTTGTCTGATGACGTCATCATTGAAGTCGCTGCTGAGAAGACTGTCGCGGGCTTGTGGTTAAAGTTGGAGAGTCTGTATATGACGAAGTTCTTAACCAACAAGCTGCATCTCAAGCAACGATTGTTCGGTTTGATGATGCAAGAAGGTACGCCTTTGAGGGAACATCTCGAACAGCTTAACTATATTCTGCTGGATCTGCGTAATATAGATGTTCAAGTTGATGACGAGGATGCTGCCCTAATCCTGCTGGTTTCTTTGCCGAGTTCATATGAGAATTTCGTTGATTCTTTTATTGCTGATAAAGAAAGCGTGTCGTTGGAGGATGTCAGGTCTGCTCTTCATACGAGAGAGATCAGACATAAGGCGTTCGGATCTGGTATAGGTGGTGAGGCATCGGGTTTGGCTGTTACAGGTGGAAAGGGAAAGAAGAAATTTGGTAAAGGGAATTCGAGCAAGAATTCCAAGGGTCCCGGTCCACGGCCAGGTGATGCTTGTCACAACTGTAAGGAAGAGGGGCATTGGAAGTACAACTGTCCCAAGAGAAGAGGGCAACAGAAGAAACGAGGTTCAGTTGCCGTGGCAGAAGTGGACAACAGTTCTGAAGACGATCTCCCCTTGGCTGTAGATGAGAAGGCACATTGTGGGGATGTGTGGTTTCTGGATACTGCAGCCTCATACCATATGTCTCCGAACAGGGATTGCTTCACAACCTACGAGCAGATAGATGGTGATAACGTGGTCATGGCTAATGGAGCTGTCTGCAAGGTTGTTGGAATCGTGTCCATAAAGGTTCGGACACATGATGGTTTGTTCTGTACCGTGAATGATGTCAGGCATGTTCCACGGATGACAAAGAACCTGATATCCTTGAGTCTACTCGACAACAAGGGCTTCAGCTTCAAAGAAAAAGGTGGAGTTGTGTATGTCTGCAAAGGTTCAAAGAAGGTGTTGAAGGGCGTGAAGCGTGGGACCTTGTATGCATTACAAGGATCTGTGTTGTCTGGTTCTGCTGCAGTTGCATCGTCTCAGGTTCATAAGGAAGATATGACCACTCTCTGGCAAATGAGACTGGGGCATATGAGTGAACGGGGGATGCACGTTTTATCGAAGAGGGATCTTCTTTGCGGGCACAAGGTGCAGAATTTGGAATTCTGTGAGCATTGTGTGTTTGGGAAGTTACATCGCAGCAAGTTTCCCAAGAAGGGTATCCACCGGACGAAGGGGATACTGGACTACCTCCACTCCGACTGTTGGGGTCCTTCACGAGTTGAATCCATTGGAGGCAGCAAGTATTTTTTGTCTATTATTGATGATTATTTGAGATTTACTTGGATTTTCATGATGAAGCAGAAAAGTGAGGCTTTCACGAAGTTCAAGCAGTGGAAGACATTGGTGGAGAATAAGACCGGGAAGAAGATCAAGAAGCTGCGAACGGACAATGGTCTGGAGTTCTGTAATTCTGAGTTCAACGAATTATGCAAGGATGAAGGGATTGCCCGTCATCGGACTGTTAGAGATACACCCCAGCAGAATGGCGTTGCAGAAAGGATGAACCAGACATTGTTGGAGAGAGCACAGTGCATGCTCTCTAATGCTGGACTAGAGAGAAGATTATGGGCAGAAGCAGTGAACATGGCGTGCTTCCTGATCAACCGTGGACCTCACACAGGTATCGAGTTGAAGACTCCTTATGAGGTGTGGTATGGTAAGCTTGCTGATTACTCTTCACTGAAAGTTTTTGGGTGTCCTGTTTATTATCATGTGGATGAGGGTAAACTGAACCCAAGGGCAAAGAAGGGTGTATTTGTGGGTTACGGAGGTGGAGTTAAGGGATTTCGAGTCTGGTCACCTTCTGAGCATCGAGTTAAACTCAGTAGAAATGTGATATTTGATGAGAAGTCTATGTTTAACCCCATGTTGAAGGTCACTGTTGTTGAAGGTAGCAGGAATGTTGATAAGCAGGTGGAGCTGCAAACTCTCAATGAGAGTGAGTTTGAGCACCAAGGTGGAGAAGATCAACATGATGAGGATGTCTCTGCAGAGCCAGAAACTTCAGAGTCCAGTGCACGAGCTAAACAGTCTATTGCTTCCGGTAGACCGAAGTGAGCGACTGCAGGAGTACCTCCACAGAGGTATGGCTTCGAGGACATGGTGGCATATTCATTTCAGGTTGCTGAAGAAGTGGATGCAGGTGAGCCACAATCTTATAGAGAAGCCATTTCGGGTGGTGAAGCTGATCAGTGGCTTGCCGCAATGGGAGATGAGATGGAATCCCATGACAGGAATCAGACTTGGGAGCTAGTCAAACGACCACAGGGAAGGAAGATTGTTACAAACAAGTGGATCTACAAGAAGAAGGAAGGAATCACTTCTAAAGAGGGCATGCAATTTAAAGTTCGGGTGGTTGCACGAGGCTTCTCGCAGAGGGAAGGAGTTGACTACAATGAGATTTTCTCACCAGTGGTCAAACATACTTCGATCAGAGTGCTACTAGCAATAGTGGCACATTATGACTTGGAGCTAGAGCAGCTAGACGTGAAGACAGCTTTCCTGCATGGAGAGTTGGAAGAAGAAATTTACATGACTCAGCCAGAAGGATTCGACGTTCCGGGAAAAGAAGACTATGTTTGTAAACTGAAGAAGTCCTTGTATGGACTTAAGCAATCTCCGAGGCAGTGGTACAAGAGATTTGACAGTTACATGCTTGAGCTGGGCTACAACAGAAGTCCATATGATTGTTGTATATATCACAGCAAGGCAGAGGATGGTTCGATGATATATCTAGTTCTGTATGTGGGTGATATGCTCATAGCTGCGAGGTCAAAGTCTGATATCCAGAAGTTAAAGGGGCTTCTCAGTGCTGAGTTTGAGATGAAGGATTTGGGAGCTGCTTAGAAGATCTTGGGTATGGAGATTTACAGGGACAGGTCGAAGAAGAAGCTTTTCTTGTCATAGAAGAGCTACATCCAGAAGATACTGTCGAGGTTTGACATGTCTTCAGCAAAGCCCTTAAATACTCCTAGTAGGGGTGGGCATTCGGTCGGTTCGGTTCAAACCGAACCGAAATTATGCATACCGGGTCCCCGAATTCTAGCAAACCTCAAACCGAATTCGAACCGAATTATAATTCGGTTCGGTTGGTTCAAACCAAATTATAATTCGGTTTGGTTCGGTTTTTCATACAAAACCGAAATAGTGAGGTAAGCTTGTATCTTCTCTTTTTTAAATTAGTTTTCACCCATAATGTGAACAATAAATATGCATCATCAATGATAAAATCAAACATTTCAACACATAAGTCATAAATCACTAACATGATACAAATATTTAAGTCTCATAGTAAGTAGAAACATAAAAATCCACCATTTAAAGCTTGCAATTATAATAATTCGGTTTTTCGGTTCGGAATTCGGAAATTCGGTTCGGTCGAAAGGACCCTGATTTCTGAAATATGCCCTTTTCTCTTCCGAATTCCGAACCGAATAACATTAATTCGGTTTCGGCTCGGTTTATATTCGGCTCAGTTCGGCTCGGTTCGGTTTTACCGAACCGTATGCCCACCCCTAACTTCTAGTGCTTCAAATGTTCATCTATCCTCAGCGTATGCACCGCAGTCAGAGGCTGAGAAGGAGTACATGTCGAGAGTCTCATATGCTAGTGCAGTAGGTAGCTTGATGTACGCTATGGTATGCACTAGACCTGATCTTGCACATGTTGTTAGTGTTGTCAGCAGGTTCATGATACAACCTGGAAAGGAGCATTTGCAGGTTGTGAAGAGGATCTTCCGATACCTTAAGGGTACACCTGATGTGGGGATTAGCTTCGGAAGTGATACAGAGTGCTTGGTGTTTGGGTAT